ATAAAATAGTATGTAACTACTTCTAAGAGGTAATAAACTAAAATTACTACTAGCCCTTTAGGAGGATACTCTACTACTAGAGCTAGACCTATAGTAGCTAGTATAGTAATAGTATAAAGATAGCGTATTATTATACTCTAAGAAGTAATAATAATAAGTAGGAGTATAGGATATATACTTAATACAGCAGTATAGGGGTAGAGCCTTAATATAGCAGGTAAGGGCCTTAAGGGTAGTCTAGATTAGGGTTAGTAATAGTACTATATTAAAAAAGGAAAGAACTTACTATAATTACAGTCTAGCTATTAGTTATTACGCCTAGAGCGTTCTCTAAACCTATAATATATTAGTCCTAGCGCTAGAACTACTCCCTAGTAGTATATATAATTTAGTAAGTTATCTAGTTACTAGGCCTGTTATAGAAATATAATAGAGTTATAGGAAGCTAAAGAAAGGGTAAAGACTTAAACTCCTTCCTAGTAGTAAGAAACTATACCTCCTTATAATAGGTCTTAGTAATAGAATTAAATAAGACTATAGGGTTCTACTTCTAAATAGTACACTTAAACGTATTATTAAAGGTATATATTAGAGTGTAAAACTCTTAAGTAAAAATATAATATATACTAGTTATTAGCTTCTCTTAATTAGTGCTATAGGTACTAAGAGTCTTAATATAGTACTTATTATTAGCCTAATTTATATTATAGAAGTTATACTAAGCGTAAAATATACGTTAAAGAGTAGAGTTTATAGAAAAGAAGTTATTATTAAAAATATAGGTCTTTTTACCCTTATAGTAAGCCTTATAGGTAGTAGAGCTATAACTAGGCGTATACTTAGCGTAACTAAAGAAGCGTATTAAGGAAATATATTTATAATAAAATTAGTTATAATATAGAGCTATATTATAGGCCTTATCTTTAGAATCTTCCTGTATACTAAAATTACTAGCATAATAGTAAGGCTTCTTCTACTTAATAATTAGCAAACGTATAGAGAGATAATAACTAGATATATAGGATTATTATAGCCTAGAGGACTACTCTAGTTATTATTAGGTAGCTTCTTACTAGAAGCCCTAGTACCTACTATACTAGAGGTATTATTAAGAGTAACGTTAGCTATAACAAAGAGCAATTAGCTATGTAAAGAGGCTAAAGGGGCGTAATAGAGGAAGGTAAGAGGGAGTATAGTAGGAAAGTTAAGGCAGCACTCTATAGGTATAATAGTTATAATAGGAAGAAAGTATAGGGTTAGTATAAAAATAAAAATAAGTATAGGTAGCTATAGTGCTAATGTATAATAAGCTACTAGTAGTTATAAGGCTTAGTATAGTATAGAAAGAACAGCACTAAAATAATAAGCCTACTTAATAGGCATAATAAGATATAAAAAAAAAATAGAGGTAAAGTAGAGAGGTATATAATAGGCTTAGGCTTTACTTATACCTTAGTCTTAGCTTAGCAGGATTAGAGGGATATATATATATATATAGAATCCTTCTCTACTCCTTAGAGAATATAATACTATTATTAACACTTATTACAGCTTAACTCTAAGGCTAGTCTATAATAGATAAGGGTTTATCTAAAAATTTTATATAGTCCTTAGATAAAATAGGGACTAGATAAATTATATTAACTAGATACTAGGATATATACTAACTTAGGTTTTCTACGTATAGAGATTTGCTACTATAGTAAGAGTAGTAAGATAGTTTAGAATATACCCTTACTAGTAGTAATAGGCAATATTATTATAGAGATAGATAAGCTAATATTATCTATATTAGCCTATCTAGAATATAATAAAGTAAATAGACTATTATTTACTGTGCTTTATAGAATTATAGAGGATTATTAGTTAAGAATATTTAAAGAATTTAACTAAAAAATTACATATCTCTATTTAGTATAGGGTAATAAGGTTATACTTATTAAGAAAGATCTTTATTTCTAGGTTATGTTATAAGAGTTAAGGCTTAAGGGTATTCCTTATATTAAACTCTAAGTATATTTACTATCTTTTATTTTAAATTGCCTAACTTTCTATATAGGTAATCTTACTAGAAGAACCCTCTAATAATAATATAGCTAATATAGATATTATTAGCGTCCCTAGTAATAGTAATAAGGATTAAAATATATATTTAGCTACTTAATTACTACTAAATAGGTTATTCTACTTCTATATTTATATCCTAGTCTATACTAATTACTTATAGGAATACCTACCTACAGTCCTTACTATACTGCGTGCTATTTAACGCTAGCTTAGAAGTTAATTAAGAAAGGGTAAGGATAAGGAAGAGAGTAAAAATATACTTAAAGTATTACCCTTACTTTATAAGCTGCAAAAAAAAGAGTAATAGTCTAGCTATAGTAGATAATATATATATAATATTATATCTAAGTTATAATCTTTTGGCTATAACAGAAGTCTAGTAAGTTATATATTGTCTTTATTAATAATTATTTAGTCTAGGGTTTCCTCTTGCCTAGTTTTATTGCTATAATTGTTTAGTCTTTAAATCTTAATTAAATCTTATATCTAGAACAGTAGATAGGCAGACTTCTATATCTGTTATAATAATATTAATATCTAGTTAAAGTACGTAACAATGTAAAGTTAGTACTTCCTTAGCTCTGTAAGAAGTGCGTACAAGTTTATTAATACAAAGTTTAGGTTTGCTATCTCTAACGCTATTATACTATTATAATTAACGGTATAATTTAGATTACTTTGCGTTGTATTGCTTTGTGTTGTGTTGCTTTGCGTTGTGTCACTTCGCGTTATATTACATCGCCTCTCAATTATTGCCAGGTCTTAGGTTATATGTATACTAAGATAGAATAACTTACTATTAGGTTAGGTTTCAGGCCCCCAGTCTCTTAATGGCTGAGTGGTTGAGCTTTACACAACCTAAGATTAATATGGTGTTAGAGCGGCCAGAGTTTAACCTACGCAACGATCTCTTGCTGATATAAACAACACTTATATTCTTTTTTTGCACCTAACTACTAATCCGCCGGTACGTTGCTTAAATAGGGCTGAGCGAACGGGAAGCCTTGTTCTTAACGTCCTATGGTTGTATGTGGAAGTTAATGGTTGCGGAAATCGTTATCAACGCCTTGCTTCGTACTTGACCCATCGACGGCGTGTCTGATCATATCTGTCAAGGTGTTGTTATGCAAGCTGGTATAGGGTATATGACCAGCCTAGCGATGATCGGTAACGCTATTATGTGTGACACTATTTGAGTGGAGTGAGTGGAGGCGAAAGAGCGATGGTGAGGTCTAGGGTGTGGCAGCAGAGTGAGACGTGGTAATGTCGGTGGGTTGAGCCTCTCGACGATCTCATGCCTTGATTGCTATCTAGTGTAGACAAAGCGTGCTCCGTGATCTCAAAAGACGCAACTCAAGTTATAGGATCTGGCCGTGACTAGCGATGTGATTTCATGATCCAAAAATGGCTGGCAATACGCTATTCTCGGGTGCATGTCAGTTTATTGAAAGAGGTATTTCGGGAGGTTCGTATACAGATTTGTCTAGCGAAAGGTATATCTGGAGGCGGTGTCGACGACGTAGCCTGCATGCTAGGTGCAAAGATTGTGAGATGGAGTTGAAGGGGGGCTAGTGGAGTATATGGGGTTTCTATGAATAGACTTGGTTCCCCCAGGGGTCACACGCGATTGCTAGCGGTTAGCAATTCCATTGGTACCATAAGCGCCCATGCCTCAAGCGTCCCATTGTTAGGTGAGGCGCAGACGGACGCTTGACGGGTTATTCCATCCATGTCGAACGAGAGGGAGTGATAGGGACTAGGTTAAGCTGGGGTGTCAACCGCTTTTGAGACAGAAGCAGGACGATCTCGCAAGGTACCACATGCCAAGTTCGTAAACCAAGTGCAATGACGCAGGGCAGCGTATGCAGAATTGCTTCTTTCGAAGACGTCGCATGTTGGTGTTGGTGATGCTGAGCTCCGAATAAGGCCGCCAGAAATTATTGAATGTGGTGGAACACGGAGGGCGAAGATCGAGCCTGCAATATGGGCAAATACCAACTACTGCATCACCTCCTGCGACCAATTTCAAGTTTTACGTCGCGTCTGGTTCCTGAACGGGTTGGAATTGTAGACTCTCGGGCCTCACCCGCGTCCTACGCAGGGTTCCGCAATTGCGATATTTCGCGGGCAGATCTTACCGTGAAAGGTATGTAAGGAATAGAAGCGACTGCAGGCGAACGGCCTACTGCAGGATGATCGTATCAGGAGGTTATTCGGACGCTGGCCAACGTCAGAACCTTACTCGTCCCGTTGAGATGCATTGGCGGCTGGCTTGACGCAGAGACCACCAACCACATTCACGTGCATGGGTGCCGTCTTTCCAAAGCACGCTTAGGACTGGAGCAGGTCCGGGTGCGGTACCTGATCAGTCATAAAGACGGGCAGCCTGAGCGCTTGCTCGGACTGTATTGCCCAGCGACTTTCATCCCGTCTGGTGGGGTTATCCGAGCGTCTGCGCCGCATCGTCTGGCATCTGTCCACATCACTTTCGCTGTTCTCCTCTTCCATGACCCTCACACTCGCTTGATCTTCTTGTTTCTCTGGTCTCTAGCCCTACTGATAGTACGCGCGGCTGTCGGAGGACCCTTACATGCACTGTTGAGCTCCGCCGCCTGCTCCCCCGCTTAGTACGCCTCGCCCACGCGCCTGTCCTGCACAGCTGAGGGTCCTCGATTACTACAGATTCTGAAACACGTTGGCTCGCACGCTCTCACCTGAGAAGCAACATTGCGTCGTGTCTGACTACCGACAAGGCTCGCCTACTGGACCCTCTATCGACGTCCTCCCCGCACCCGCTCGCGTCTGCCACTTGCAAGTCGCACCTGCCTTCTACCCGTGGCCGCAAACGCCACCCGCTGCCTAAACAAAGGCGACTGCACACGTTACATATGCAGCCCTTCGTCAACGGGTCGTCGTCGAACCCCCAGTTCGCCATGGCGTCCCCCGTCCCCCTCCTCCGACCGCCTGTTCCAGGCGGACGTAACCCCACCGGTGGTCGCGGACCACCACGTCTTGGTCTTTCAATACCCGCGTCGCCGCACGCGAGACCCGTCATGAATGGCGCGGGCGATGCGCCCCCGCAGCTCGCCCGTCCTATGCCACCCCAGCTACGTCTCGCGACGCCCATGGGCTCCAATACCACACCACACGAAGGTCGGCAGCCTCCAAGACTACCCCCGCTGCAGATTGGCACAGGGCTTTCCGCATCCGGATCGAGCGATGCGAGCGCACACTCGAGGTCAGGAAGCTTCAGTGAGATGCAGGCAAACGGGTCATCAGCATCGTCATACCAGGCCGGCTTGAGCTTTCCCAGCCTCGCGCGACCTCACCAAGGGTCAGACCCCATGTCAGCTATATCACAAGCAGCAAGCGAGAATGCTCAATCGATGGAGCGTCAGAACAGCGCACAGCCGCTGCCAGATCTGGAGGCCATGGCGGCAGAGAAGGGACGACCGTTGGAAGTAGACGACCTTGATAATGCAGCATGGATGGCGGCAAGTGCTAAAGGAATGATAGAAGAGCTGGGTAGTCTCGGAGAGGGAGCCGGTGGAGCTGTGACGAAGAGTAAACTCAAGGGTGGAAAGACTGTCTTTGCGCTAAAGGTACATATTCCATGCTCTGCGCCCTGTGCCAGCTAACTCGTCGATACAGATCATCACGACGAACCCCGATCCAGATGTCAAGAAGCAGATTGTGCGGGAGCTGGAGTTCAACAAGAGCTGCGCCAGTGATTACATCTGTCGATACTACGGAGCCTTTGAAGATGCCAGCACAGGCACCATCAGCATTGCAATGGAATTCTGCGAGGGTGGATCACTAGACGCGGTATACCGCGAAGTTAAGCAGCTAGGTGGTCGAACGGGCGAAAAGGTCCTCGGCAAGGTTGCGGAAGGCGGCTTGAATGGATTGACGTACCTCCATTCCCACCGCATCATTCACCGAGATATCAAACCCAGCAATATCCTGCTATGCCGGAACGGTCAGGTCAAGCTGTGTGATTTCGGTGTGTCCGGAGAGTTTGGAACCAAAGGCGATGCCAACACCTTCATTGGCACTTCATACTACATGGCACCCGAGCGCATCACCGGACAAAGCTATACCATCACCAGTGATGTGTGGAGCTTGGGTGTGACTCTGCTCGAAGTCGCACAACATCGGTTCCCCTTCCCAGCAGATGGGACGGAGATGAACCCTCGAGCTGGTATGATCGATCTGCTTACCTATATTGTCCGACAAGAGATTCCCAAACTCAAGGACGAGCCAGCCAACGGCATCAAGTGGTCAGAGAACTTCAAATACTTCATCGAGTGCTGGTAGGTTTGACTGTCTTATGTATGAGTATCTATGCTAATATTTTGTAGTCTTGAGAAAGATTGTCCGCGACGAGCTACTCCCTGGCGCATGCTTGAACACCCATGGATGGTCGAAATGAAATCTAAGAAGGTCAACATGGCCCATTTCCTCAAGCAAGTATGGGACTGGAAAGACTAAACTCGCCATTACAACTCAATACCTTCGAAACAATACGTGTATTTTACCCACTCCAGGGGTCATGTGTTGGAAGTATATGTATGTGGGCTGACAGGATTCTCGTCGACCTGATATGAGGCACAGGGATGCGGAACACGATTTACAATAGGATTGCTCGATGGGGCTGCAGCGCATATTCCAGTTCATTTGATGTTCTGGATATCTATGTGACAGACAAGGGACATCATACGAAATAGGCGAAAGATATGCGGTATGACACTACGAACGGCATTGGCTGGCGTTTGAACTTTGGTTACGATGTTGCACATAGCGACTTGATTGTGGATACAATACTGCGCAATACAACTAGATACATTTCAGTTGAGAGTCTACATCGCGAACGTCGTGACATTGCTAAATGTAAAGTGACGACGACGTGCATGTGAAGGTGGGATGTTTTGAATGGTGCCTGATTTGTTTTAGCGCAAACATTCGGCCCGGCAAATCATCCGTAGTGAGTCGAAGTCCGCATGGAGTCATCGAAACACTGCGCGCTCTTTTTTTCTCGGGACAGTTTTGACAGCGTAGTGAAATTCGGGAGAACGGGAACTCACCGCAACGTTGCTAATCGAGAGCCCGCACCGCACGAGAATCCGCCCACCGCGTACAACGACCCCTCGAATTACCCCACCATACTACACGAAATCGCTTTCGAACATCACAACAGCGCGGAATATACGCCACAATGCCTACCATAGGTGTAGACAAAGCGGCGCTCTTCAAGGAGCTGGGACGCGAATACACTACCGAGGAGTTCGACGAGCTATGCTTTGAGTTCGGTATCGAGTTGGACGAGGACACAAGCCAGAGCACCAAGCCAGAAGACAAGGCACAACCGCCGCAGCTCAAGATTGAGATCCCAGCGAACCGATATGACATGCTATGTTTCGAGGGAATTGCTATGAATCTGAAGGTCTTCCTGGAGCAGCAGAAACTGCCAAAGTGGACGGTGACGGCGCCAAAGGACGGCGAGTTGCAGGTGCTGGAAATCAAGCCGGAGGTAGGACAATCGCTGCCAGGAAGGCATGAACAATACGCGAGAGGCTCTCTCTGACAGCATGCAGACTCAACAAATTCGAGAGCTCTGCTCTGGCGTCATACTGCGCAACATTGACTTCACCCAGGAACGATACGACTCCTTCATTGCGCTACAAGATAAACTCCACGCGAATCTGGCTCGCAATCGGACTTTGGTTTCGATAGGAACACACGATCTTGATAGTGGGTGAAACGTTGGACAGAGTCGGCGGACACAGCTAATAGGAGGCAGCGGTCAAGGGCCCCTTCACATATGAAGCTCTTGCACCAGAGCAGATTGAGTTCATCCCTCTGAACCAGACAAAGAAGATGAACGGCAAGGAGCTCATGGAGTTTTACGACGTATGTTGCCACAGACTGCTCCGGAAAACTGCATGACTGACGCGAAGTAGAAAGACAAACACCTCGGACGCTTCTTACACATCATTCGGGACTCGCCTGTTTATCCTGTCATCTACGACTCGAATCGCACCGTTTTATCGCTGCCTCCGATCATCAACGGTGATCACAGCAAGATTACGCTCAAGACGAAGAATGTCTTCATTGAGATCACTGCGCTTGACAAGACCAAGGTCGAGATCGTGAACCACATGCTCGTCGCCATGTTCGCCGGCTACGCTGAGTCGGTAGAGGCCATCAAGATCATTTCTCCACACAACAACGAGTCCAGAGAATCCCCTGACCTTTCACCGCGCGTCATGCAGGCTGAGGTAGACTACTTGAACCAGGTAACAGGCCTCGACTTATCGCCTGAGGAGATCTCAAAACTCCTTGCGCGCATGGGTCACGACGTATCGCCGTCGAAGTCGGACAAGAATATTCTCGATGTATCAGTCCCAATCACAAGAGCTGATATCCTTCACCAAGCCGACATCATGGAGGACTACGCCATCGCCTACGGCTTCAACAAGCTACCGCGCATATACCCCAACAAGACCTCCGCTGTCTCAGCGCCACTACCGATCAACAAACTTGCCGACATCGTGCGCCTCGAGGCGGCAGCATCAGGGTGGACAGAGGTCATGCCCCTCATCCTTTGCTCACACGAAGAGAACTTTGAGTGGCTGAACCGAAAAGATGACGGCAAGACGGCAGTCAAGCTCGCGAACCCCAAGACCGCGGAGTACCAGCTCGTGCGCACATCCTTGCTACCGGGTCTGCTGAAGACGATCAACTCGAACAAGCACCACTCTGTGCCCATGAAGATCTTCGAAGCCAGCGACGTAGGCTTCATCGACATGTCGGAAGAGAGGAAGAGCAGGAACGAGCGACACTTCGCAGCAGCTGTCATGGGCAAGACGAGTGGGTTCGAGCAGGTGCATGGTCTGCTGGACAGGCTAATGACAATGCTGAGGTCCAAGTTCTTGACAAGAGAAGATGGGTTGAAGAACGAGGAGCTGCAGGGTTACTGGATAGAAGAGGTTGATGGTAGGTTAAGCTATGGGCCGCAAGATGAACGAGGCTAACATACTGCAGACCCGACTTTCCTCCCAGGACATGCGGCGGCTATCAAGCTCAATCTCGGTGGAAAGAACCACACCATTGGTGTGTTTGGCATCCTGCACCCGAGTGTGTTGCAGAAGTTCGAGTTGCCGTAAGTCTTCCTGCGTGTGGTTCTATGTGACAAGACTGACGAGTTGTCTAGATACCCCGTCAGTACAGTCGAGTTCAACCTCGAGGTCTTCTTGTAGTTTCGTCGCGTTACGACGGTGTGTCGCCGCCAAATTCAGCGGAGCAAAAGCATGAGAGGGAGGATAGATGAATACCTAAAGATGACATGAATGATGTATGAATGCATGGCCGACCCAAGAGTACGGTGTTGCACTCTCTCCACTTGCTTCCTTGCAATGATCATCTGATATTTACACAAAGTCCCCGACTTTTGATCACAAGTCTAGTTCTGGAAAGCGAGAATTGATGTTGTGGTCGAGGCAGGTTGTACGATAAAAAGTCAGGTGCAATGGGATAATCTCCGAGGTGCGCTCAGCTCTCATCTCCACACCTCCAGCTCCACGTAACCGGGGAACACAAACAGCCATCGAACGCCACGGTTGATACGAATGCTGAGCGTATGTTTTGCATGTTGAGCAGACATGCTCTGACGCCGCCATCTGGTATTTCGCCTTCACACCAAGAAGTATTGAGGGCCTGGATCTCTTTGGGGGGCTGGCTCAGCTTCTCGCGATTCCTGATTGATGCATACTTTAGGAGATTTATCACAGACGATGCGAGGAGCTTTTTAGCTGCGCGCTCCTGTTTTGAGGGAGTTAGGTGGGTTGCACGGCCACAGCTGTCGCATGTAGTCACGGTCGCTCCTGTATCCTGGCCGTGTTCTCGGGGTGACGATGCCCTCGTGGTTTGGTAGCATACTGGGAATTTGCTATTGGATACTCTTCAACTGCTGGCAATAGGGTATGAATAGCTTGAATTACAAGCAACGGTTACTTTAGCAAGGGCTGAGGCGCGGATAATCACTGTCCGTATTGCCTATGCCAGCCAGCCAGCCATTTTGCTGAAGTACCACCGATATGCATCTGAGCTGTCTGTGCTTCGTGCAAGAAGTCGCTACAACTCGAACATTCTTCGACATTTTGGCCCACAGAACATACAAACCAAAGCATTTGGGAAAACTACGATGATGCAAAGACAAAAACCTTCGCGATAACCCGGCATCTCTGGTGTGTGTGTGTGTACGACTCTTTCAGTATTCGATTTCGGCCACTCTATTGTCAATATTGAATGTAGGAATTCGGCTTCAAGCAAGTCAGCCACTCAAGCTTAGGCTTCAAAGAGTTATCTGTGATCCATGTTCTCATAGGCACAGAGCAAAGTCCTCGGCCGCAGGCTTTGTGGGTGCAAAGATCTTGGAGCCCAACGGCGTCTGTGTAATTACCACCATCCTGACAATCACTTCTCGACTAACCATGTGGTAGCACTGCTCGACCTCAAATTTCTCCGCTGAACTGAACACTCCCCACTGTTATTATATGGACGGACGACAAGCCCTCAGAGTCCATCCCTGCTGGCTGTATCGAGATCAACTCCTCCTCCTCCGTAAGTATGAGTGCGACTATCTCTCGATCAGTCTCCGGATCCACATCTGTTTCGACCAGCTCGGTTTTTGTTTCGCGCTCTTCTCCTTCGTCCAATACTGGCTACAACAACTTGAAGACGTGCAAATCTGGATATGGTGCCTCGACCGCTCTTACTTACAGTAAGCCTTCCAGCAAACCTTTTAACGATAACAAGAAATACGTGTACCCGACTCCATCCAGCTCCACGTATGACGACGACTGGGACAACGCTCAAGTCTCAACCGCTCCCTACCAATCCGGCTACATACTAGCCACCGAAACACAGACTAAGACCAGCGTTCGAACTATTACGCAGCACTTCGGGTACGAAAAACAATGTCTACTCAACTAGGCTACTCTGAGCTATGTCACAATGGAGGTTAAGACACGCACTGTTGCCGTCAATGTGCCGACTATCACCGAGTACGTCGCGGACGTTGTCGCCGTCTGTTCCGCTGGTCTTATCACCAACACTGTCATGACTACTGCGCCCTGCGATGCGGGATGCACTGAGCGTCCGACTGGTGTGCCTCAAGGGTATGCTACCAAGGAAGTCTACTGCTCGGCCTGCGCTACATCTTCGATTGTGGTTGTTACCTATGCCACTACTTCTTCTACCGCTTACGTTGGTAGCCACTTCTCAGCACACCATGTTCTTATAATTTAATGTTGAATATGTTGTGGAATCGAAAACAGCGAGACGATCGCGATCTATCCGAAACTTCGACCGTGAAGATTGGATAAAGGTAACACATGGGACAAAATTTAATCTTAACATTATTGATGGTCATATGTAGTTCCGATAAAAGACAAATAGACCTACGCAGCCATATCATGACAAAATCGTGTGTACCATACAAGCCAAAATCAAAACGCCTGTAAACCATCTCGCCATTTGCGCCTCATGAAAGCAACCTCTTGAACCCTTACAACCTCAACTTTGACCTACACACAACTTTCAATTTCCCTCTTTTCTAAAGCCAGATGATTCGTCGTATTCTTAATCACTATCTTCTCTATCATTCCCTTCCGTGGTGTTGTTCATATCGACGACCTCCGAACTGGGACAGTGGTACTCGATTCCATGGGCGTTGTCGGGTTCGATGTTGTCTTTTGATTGCTAGTAACCTCTTCGATGTCAGACTCATATTCGTCGTCGTCATCGTCAGCGTCTTCCGAGTAGCCGTCTTCGCTCTCAATAATATCAAATGCCCTTCTCTTTCCATATCCGCTTCCAGTCGTCCTCCAACAACCATGAGTTCTCTTCTTGGTGAAGTACTTCTTGAATGTCTTTGCCATTTCGCAGTAGCGCTCGACACCACTCATCCCAGCAGTTATAATATCGAGCTTGCATTGAAGGTGTCCAATCCTCACAGTCCCAATGATGTATGTCAACTCCTGCCTCGATTGAGATGGCTAGAACTTCTTCGAGCGTCTTTGGTAAATGGAGATCCTCCGAGTCGATACGATCGCGAAACACATACATAAGCTGCCCTAGCACAGTCTTACTAGAATACGTGTCAAGATGATTGATTGCTGCGCCCGCATCCAAAATTAGGCGCAACAGACCAGGAAATAGCTCTACAGTCCATGTCCCATTTTGAAAGAGCCTTATGTGTCGTGCGCAGTTGTGACCAAGCTTCTGCAACTGGTTAAGACACCATATCAGATTGGACCGTTGTAAATCTTGAGCGAAGAATAGTAATTTCGTTATCAATAATAAAGCCAAGGTCGAAATAAATGTCGGAGGATCTGAAACCCTCTTGATCATGAAGTCAAGAATCAAGTTGTCTATCCTTCCAGTGTAATCAAGGTCGAAACCAGAGAGTAGACTGTAATCATGGCTATTCTGAGTGAGCACACACACAATGATCTACTCTCGGCAAGACCTACCGAAGATTTGAGATACCGATGCCCTGGCACTCCAGATAATCGAGGATTTCCAACCGGCGGGCAACTGCTGCATACTAGAGTGAATTTTATCAGTGACCACAGAATATAAGTTTGTTATCAAGGTTTAACAAAAGCGGTGGCTTACATATAGACAGAGATTATCGCCTTCCTCATCAAGTACATAAGGAGATATTTTCCCTTCTCGGAGGGCAGTATCGATATCCTCTATGGATCCACTGCAAAAGAGTTCAGAAAAAATCCTGTGACTACCGGATGTCACAGTGAAAACGTTCAGTTGTGCGCATATTGTTGGGCACATTCGATGGTCCAAGGTCCGAAGGAAGTGAATGTTAATAACTGAAACCCGTTGAGGGAGATTGCTTTCGAACGAGATGCTGACTTCTTCCGTGTCTTGCATGTTTTTGTTCTTGTCTGAGCGTTGTGGAACAAGCAAGCTTAGAACACCAGACGGCGTGTTGAAAGACAACGCTGTTTGAGTTCGCTTGGACGACTTGCGCGGCCTCGATCGTTCATTCATTTCGCTCCCCAGCTCATTTGAGTCATCGTAGTCTGGTGTGTTGGTCGCGTTCCGTTTTCTTGGGTTATTCGAAGCTTTGATAACATCTCCGGAATATGACCACTGATCGAATGGAGTGGCAGTTGAGTGCGGGTAACGAGCCGCTTCTTCCTGAGCAGCAGAACCTAAAAGACTCTGCAATTCAGGCTCCAGCCAACGTACGTGTTGTGCTTTCGAGAACAGATCGTCGAAGACTGCCTCGAGTTGTTCTTGGACAGTATAGAGATAAGCCATGATCTTGTCACTTCTTTCACCAACGAAATGGATCTCTCGACCACTCTTTGTTGCTGTCACAGAGTTCTTGGTGAGCGAGATATGGAGCTTCTCAACTTTGGTAGTCAGGTTTGTAATGGCGCTTTGGGTCTTGTGGTGGTTCCTCATCGAAGCTCGATTTCCCCGATCTACCTGTTTCGATACGACAGCTGTTCGTTTGGCGTTCTGTTTCGAGGTTCGAACTAACAAATTCTGACCACATGAAATGTTGGCTTGTGATTGTCGAATCGATGAAATCCGCCGGCCATTGACTTCGAGCTTGGAAGCAAGTGCTTGGTGCTGAACATCGTGTGTGGCTAAAACCTTTCGGTGATGATCATCAAGCCTCGAGGTAAGAGCCTGGTTATGCACGTTTTGAGTTGCTTGTCTCTGGCTATGGTGGTTGTCGAGTGTGGAGACTAATGCTTGCTGGTGGCTATCAAGGGTCGTCGTCATGGTATGAACAATATTGCCCAAGTCGAGACCGACCTTTTGGAACCCTTGCCGAACGTGGCTGACAGTCTCATGATGATCAAGGGCAGATAGTTCTCTACACAAATTGATAGTTAGTGAACTGGTATCGACGAAAGCCTGTAACCACTTCTATATTCCTTGTGCGACAATGAGTAAAGCACGAACATGATTCACACGATTATACTTCTGTGGTCTTTTGGCCACATCATACTCGCTGGAAGAGTGGATAGAACTCACCTGCCGGCAAGTATCAACGCGTTGGCAAGGAGTGTCTTCGAGCGCTCCAGACTCTCCAAAGCCTTATCGATTTTGCGCTCATCCAGGGCGTATTTGATCTTACTCCATGTCTTGTGTGAGCCTTTTTGTTTCGCAAGTAGTTTCCCAAGGCTCTCAAGTTCACGTTTCAAGGCTTTCAAGGCTGATTCAATCGATGCGGTTGGTCCATTGAGTGGTTTGGCATGGTGGTCCAACTTTTGAAAGCACTGCCTTGCAGCTCCAGCCAGGATGGCGGTTTCGTTGATACGTTCGGAGAGTTTGCTGATATTCTCCGGCGCGTCTGCGATGTCATGGAGGAAGCTGTAGAGATCACGGCCTGTCCGTATAACGACGTCGGCTACTCCAACAACTGCGAAAGCGCCAGCTGCTAACTCGAAGGCCCCGGACATTATTGTCAGTAAAACATTGAACGATCAAGCCATAGCAGTGGGTAGCTTGAGACAGAAGAGAGTGTGGTAAAAGAGAAGGCTGAGGAGACGACGAGATGGCAAGAGGGGAAGCGACGATGCACAGCCTCGCCTAGGTTGTGGCAGTGATTCTCAAGCAGCCTTGGGTGAACCTCTGTTGTCACATTTATAGGTCGAACGCCGAGAGTTTGTTTCAGACGTTCACAACTGCGATGAAATCTTCAAACTACTTCATTATTTTGGATTTTTAGCGTATTCATGCTTGTTGCACAAGCAGATAGACGCAACACAGTAAGACTACAGTATAGTAACTCAGTGTAGAAGCTTACACCCAGCCCCTTTATACACAGTAAATATCAGTAAGAGTTCACAATGACAGTAATCAAACTACTTCATAGTGAAGTGGCTTCCACCGCAAATCTCGCCATTCACAGACGCATCTGACTTCCCCGCGAGCGTGCATGAATTCAGCCTTGCAACTTCATATGACACTCTTTAGTCCCAAAGTAGAGCAGATACGCGAAGAAAGCTGAACGACGAGCCATTCAATCGACGATTCATTAGCAAGGCCAGGTGTCGGTGTGTGATGGGCTGAGCAGATATGCAGTATCACGCTCAGGCTGATTTCGAAGGACAAAACGCGAGGCAGCCTCGACACGCGATCAAGAGTTCGCTTCTCTGCCAAATGCTCTGAGATTATATAGAAGGAATATTACAATTACTACATATTGTAGTGAAGGTCTAGTGGGTCACACAGAGATAGGATATACACCATCTAAAACACAGCCACAAAATCTATACCAAGCCCATACACCCATCTAAGTATATCCCCAAAACGCCGCACAATGCCCATATCCAACATTTACGCTCTCACAACCGTACCCTTCCCTCCTCAGGCCGACCACCAAAAAGACTCATGAATCCCTGACTCCTATCCTGCGCTCTACTGCTCCTTCCAGCAACCACCTCATCCTCATCATCACCGCCCATCCACTTCGGTTTCTTGAATGAAAAGTCCGTAGTATCGAGTGTATTTTTGACCTTCGCGCCGAAATTCTCAAAGAAGTTCCCTGTGTCCTCGTCGTCTTCGATGAGCGGCCTGCGACGCTCCGGGCGTGCGCGTTGCGTGCTAGCTTCCGCAATTGGGGCGGGAGGAGTGTCTGAGTAGCTTGCTGCTGGTGGGGAGGTAGAGGTTACTGGGCGTTGCGATAAGCCGAGCACGTTTCCGCTCGCGCCTTGTAACTCGCGCTCGATGAGTGCGCGGCCTTCGCGCCATGAGCCAGTGCCTGCATAACCGCCTTCCGCTGTATCCTCCTCGTCGTCTAGCAAGTCACCGAAACCGCAGATGTTCTTCGCTTTACCGTACAGGCCAAACGTCGTAGCCAGTACGGGAACGAGGATGAATATGGGGAAGAAAGCTGAGAACTCCTTCCCTAGTGGTGACAGATCGATTAACCTTCCCAAGAACTTCTGGAACTGGGTTTGCGTCCAAACGGGTGGATCAGTCAGGGTCAAGAAATTGTAGCTCAGCGGAACAGTCAATTTGGCAACTTGAAGACCGTACCACGTCGCGCTTTCTTGGTATGTGTTGCGTTTGACGAGCGCTCTGCTGCGCCAAGTGACGACTTCGGTGAGCGAGAAGAAGGCGCAAATGCACATGTAGCATAACCACATAGCGGCGATGAGTTGTCCACCGAAACCGATCGAGGAGCGTGACGAGGAGTGGCGAGACATGACGGTGTAGCCGATCAAAGAAAGCTTGTGGCCACCAATTTCTTGGAGTTCACGCACACATTCAGACCACACTATTGCAGTGGACGCGCAGATTGTCAAGACCCAAAGAACGTAGGTGAGCGAGGGGATAACGTGGACGTGCAGGTTGTAGCGCATATACGGTGTGAGAAGCGTCACACGGTCCAGTGGACCTCTTGCTGCGGCGCTGAATTCAAGGCGTTTGCTGGCTTTGGAGTCGAGGATGGCTTGGGTACGGACTGCTTTGCGAACGGTTCTATCCCATTCGTTTTCGAAGCGACATTTGGCGTGGCGCGCTCGTTTCAATTTCCTCGTCAGGTCTGCGAGATATCTCTCTGTGATTACGGGCGGAATTGTCGTTGTCCTTGCATTGCCCACCCTGCTCTCAGGCAAATTGCTCTTCTCGGCCAGCTCATCAATCCACTCTTGAAACTCCCTCGTTGTGGCATTCTTCCTTTGCTTAAGTTGCACAACCTGACCTTCATATCCCTCCAGCTTCTCCAGCGCCTCGGTAAGGTTATCGTGAACCTTGGGCGCCTGACTTTGAATCGATCTTAGGCGATGACTGATGCTCGCATATCTCCTCAAAGTTCTTGGGAATGCCACAAGCCCATGGCCCATAAGGTATATGCCCAGTATAAGACCCCACGTATACGCCAGCGCCATGGCTATACTTTTGAACGTATCCAACTCGAATCCATTGAACCAGATCAGATAAATCGACCCAAACACTGTGCACCCAAGCACAATAAGCCAGTACCGCCCATTGCTCCGCAGCGCATACATCATCCTAGCCTTGGGTTCGCGGTATCCAGAGTCGCAGTACTCGCCCAGCATGGGCAGGATGGCCCATGTCAGCGCAAACGTGAGCCAGTAGATGATGCGCCATGACTTGTACACGACCGTGTCGGAGAGCCATATGCCGCGCGCAGCCTCCGTATCCGTGCCTGCGCTGCTCGCGAGATCGATGGGGAGGAGCACGACGATGCTGGCTGGTAGCGCGATGGCGAGGAAGACGGGGACGGTCACGTAGGCGGGCGTGGTGCGCAGCGGGAGGTAGTAGCGCAGGACGAGCAGGACGAGACCGCATATCGTGAGGAGGGAGAGGATGAAGAAGGCCGTTGAGCCAGCCGCTGAAGACGTCATCATAGGTGGGAGGTGATCATGTATCGCGAACGGTGTTGTGTTGTCGATGGATTGTGAGAGTGTTGAAGATGTTGAGGGCCTGGGCCAGATGTTTCTCTCTCCAGACGAACGATGGTGGAACGTCACGGAATCTCAAACGTCAAAATGTGAGGATGCAAAAGTACTTTTCATGATCTCGCCATAGTCTCTATAGTTACTAAACACCAATAAATGTCCTGTAATCTCTATGCATCAATGAAAACGCGCTCTCTACCTCCTTACAAGACCATGCACAACGCGTCGTCATCCATAACCCACTACCCCCATTTCGCAACGGCAAACACACTCACAATCGCCGACCCAGCTCCGCCACCCAAACCTCTCTAAAAGTGGCAAGCGTTCACCCGCGATTGCATCATCCGCCATATCTCGACGACAGCTGCGGGGCGCGCATACATATTAACCAATCTACCACTCCTCTACCTACCTCTTCCAGCGATTCCAAATCTTCTACAATCTCCCACCTACAAGTACGCCTCCCTCCCTCCCCCCCTCTATCTATCTACCTATCTATCAGCGTCTAACACCCCACCCCCAGTCCCCAAAAAACCGCAACCACGTCGTTCCTGCGCACCTTCTTCACGCGCGCGCCCTCCCCCGCCACAATGTCCGCCACAAAGACAAAAGTCCAGTCCATCATCGACGAGAACGCCGTCGCCGTCTTCTCGAAGTCATACTGCCCTTACTGCCGCCAGGCGAAGCAATTGCTCAGCGACAGCGGCGCCAAGTTCTTCGCCATCGAGCTGGATCAGGTTGGTATGTACACATAAATTTCTGTCGCAATGCAGGGGTGTTGTTATTCGACGGCGCGCGAGTGTCGAACATGGGAAAACAAATGCTAACATGACGTTCACCAGATGATGGATCAGCTATTCAATCTGCCCTTGGCGACTTGACGGGCCAGACCACCGTCCCCAACATCTTCATCGCCCAGCAGCACATTGGCGGAAACTCGGATCTGCAGGGCAAGAAGAAGCAGCTACCTTCGCTGCTCAAGGATGCTGGTGCCATCTAAATCATGGTTCAGATGCGAAGTTATTTGATCTGAGCAGTCAACCAGGAGCATAAATGAATAAAGAAATGATATCACACAACCTGCTCCTCATACCTGAACGCCGAAATAATGCATTACAAACCATGACTCATTACAGTTCTACCCTGGGTAATCTCTTGATCATGTTCCATTTCATTTCGCCCAATCCTCAAGGCTCTGCCTGTCTTAGTACGCTACAAGACTTCAATGTTACCGAGTCCAAGCATAGGCTTTACTCCGTCTATCCATCCACCTCATTATCCATACGCATCCATCTGATTCCTCATAACACCCGGGTAATCGGATGCAACACAACCTCCTAAGTCTGCATTGAGTCCGTGAAACTCTGCGCCGCCGTCGTCGCAAAGTACCTGACATCCACATCGTCGTCCTGCTGCAGCTTCTCCAGATTTGGCAAAACAATCTTTGTGATGAGTTCGGTAGCCTTGGGGCAACCTTGGCCTGGTGTACCTGCCTTCTCGAGCGCAAGAACGTTGCCTTCTTCCGGTAGTTGCTTCAGGGTGTTGATCAGAGTACCATATGACTTCGCAACGTTAAAACGGATGTTGGGAATGTCGTCGTTGACCAGCTTGTCCATGATAGGCAGGATGGACTGCTCAATCACGCTGAGGCTGAGCGCGGGAGAGAGTGTCTGGTAGCAGTTAGCATGTGCACAAGAATGATTGGGAGGGACAGACGTACCGAGACAGCGAAACAGGTCGTCATCCGGTAGAGATAGTTGGGATGTTGGCCCATGGCCACGACCTTGGGAACAATAGCATCGTTGGCCCACTCGACACCGAAAACCTCTGTGAGTTTCTTGAGATTTTGAGTAGAAGCCTCACGGATGGAGAAAACAGTGTCGCCGAGCCAGCTCATGCACAAACTGCTAAGCTTTTCGTCAAAGAACTTGACGCCGAGTTGCGATGCGAGAAGGGGAACGTATTCGATGATGGCCAGGCGAACTCGCCATTGCTTGTCTTCAGCAAGCTGAACAATGGCGGGAAGAAGGGACTGGGATAGAAGTTCGATGCCAATCACTGTCAAGCGTAAGTGAGTGAGATTTGAGTGACGTGACGACCAACATACCATTGTTAACAGACTCAAGCTTCGAGATGATGTTGAGTCGGACATCAGGGAACTCGTCCTTGAGCATCTGAAGAAACATAGGGAGGAGATGTGAAATTGTTCTGGACATCGTTAGTATGCACGTGGTCACGCGTGAACATTAACGTACTCCTCCTTCCCGAGGATCGGGGCCAGCCCGCTGATCTGGGTGCCAAGGGCAGCGCGAACATGCTGCGATTGATCAGAGACGAGCTCCTCTATGCTAGGCATGATCTCGTGAAGGAGAGTCTCGCGTTCGAGTAGTGTGCAGAAGCCTGTATTGACGGTCAGCAGTGCACCATGTCTCTGGCATTTGCAGCCTTACCTGGGATCTGTCCAGCAATCGCGCTGCGGACCTCTGCCTCGGTATCTTTGAGAAGCTTCACGAAGGCAGGTACAAGGTCGCGGTTGACAACCTCCTCGTCGACTGCTTTCGCAATCTAGACCACGTTAGCCCAGACCTGCTCTGCCCGTGTCCTAAACCAACCTTCTCAAATCGGTCTGCAACCATGTATCGCACCCTCCAGCTCTTGTCCTCGAACAAACTCCGCAAAGCAGTCAGCAAAACACCATGGCTCGACTGTTGCTCCTTAGGGACTGCCTCTGCAATCGCGATGAGGATATCGACCGTCAAGAGCCTGACGCTGTCCTGATCATCTGCCGCAAGGTGCTGGAACAGCGGAATCATCTCGTCGATGACAATTGATGGGGGCATTGCCTTGATGAACTTTGCAAGGTTGTTGGCCGCTTGTCTTCGGACCATGGGGGTGTCATCGTGCACAAGCTGGCCGTAGTGCTGTCTGAGGCCCTCTTGCGATGGGGGTGTGGCTCGGGTGTAGGGGGTCTGGTAGAGACCAGTCGCGGAGATCTTTGATGTGAACCAGTCGGCTTTTGAAAGGCGCATGACGAGAGGGATGAAATGCTCCTCGATCTGCGACTGCGACAGCTCCTCGCAGATCTTGTTGAGAGACTCGACGGCCTAGACATGTCAGTGAACTGGTGTGTATGGCGGGATATAAGACGCGCACCTTCTCCCGGACGAGAGGCTCCTCTATCGCTGCAAGGTTCTCAAGGGGTGAGAGAAGCACATGCGCGTGCTCTGGCCCACCAACGAAGTCGACGAACTTGCCCAATTCCTCGCTCAATGCGGTCAGCACCTCGTCCTCATCCTCAACTGACTCTGAGCATGCTATTAGCTCACATGCAGTCTTGCTAGTGTGGAGGCAAAGGCTCACCGTCCAAAAAGGGTATCAGCTCATCCCTTGTCCGCTCAGCGCCCAACGCCAGAGCTATCGTGTTCAGGCGATGGATTGCATTCAGACGCAGAATCACGTCATCGTGCTTCAGCTCGTCGATGAGCACGGCAATGGGGTACAGCTCGTCGTTTTGAGTTGCTTCCATGGCGGGCGATCAGGGTCGGGTTACGGAGAAGCGACTTCGAGGCTGGCGACCGTCCTCGGCGGGGTACAAGGCGAAGAGGTGGGTGGCAACGTGGGAATTGGGTTTTGTCTATGCGTCCGCTGAGCCGTGTGAGCTGGTGATGTGCGGGGCGGGGGAGCTATCGCGCGGCCGTGGTGTTGACGTACCTGGTGTTGGCTGGGGAAAGCGACGAGTGGTCAGGGCAGGGGCGTTATCAGGGTTGCGGGGGTGGCAGCAGAAGGGAAATTCTTTGGGAGAGCTGGCTGCCGCGGATCTGGTGAATGCTGGGGCGGGTAGATGAATCGCGCGTGGGTGTCTGTTTTGCAGTGGTGCACTTCATGGGCATCGAGGTGCGAGTTCTAAATGCTTGGCACAGCCACTGGCGGGGCAAGCACGACCCAATTCTTTGCATCTGACATCGCACCCAGCTCACGCTCATGCTGAAGTATTCCGTTTTGGATCCCTTTCCGTTGACCTTCCACTGTAAACCTCACTTACTCTCTTGGGGTTCTGCATATCAGTCCCATCGTTTCGTTTCGAGTTGCCCTCACCACCTCCTTCCCCGCTCCTAGTGTCGGTTTTGTCGTCTCGAACCTGAGGCTTGGTTGGAATTCGTACATCCTGACATCGCATAACACAGACAAGTGAATTCGAGAGCGGAAAGTACTGCTTGGGATGGAAGGCAGGCATGATTCGGGTCAGGGCGAAGGGCAGGATGTGCCAAAGTACACCACCCAAGAGACGGAACCACTACTAGAACGACGGCCTTCAACAGCCTCGCGTGATACCCAACAGTCTTCAAAACAGCTCACCACTCGTCACGCGTTTGCTATACTAGTCTCCCTGCAAATTGGGTCAGGTGTTTTTGCTTCGCCGGCCCAGGTCGATAGTAACGTACCCTCACCAGGTGCTGCTCTTCTTGTGTGGGTTGTTGGAGGCGTTCTCTCCTGGGCAGGAGCTGCATCATTTGCAGAGCTGGGTGCTGCCCTACCTCTCAACGGAGGTATGCAAGAATATTTGCGTCACGTGTTCGGCAATACAGCCGCTTTCCTCATGGCCTGGGTGTATATCATGGCGGTCAAGCCAGCTTCCTTGGCCATCCAAAGTATTGTTATAGCAGAGTCGATCGGTTCTGTAAGCTCTGGTGAGCCTTTGGCTGGTTGGTTTTTAAAGCTGATCGCAATCGTGGCCCTTATCTCACTAATCTTGCTCAACTCAATAAACACCAGGTTCACGCTGCGACTGAGTGAGACGTTCACTTTATTTAAGATTTCCACTGTAGGCCTGGTTTTTCTTGGCGGATTGGTCGCAGTTATTTCTCACTTGATCAATCCTGATTCTTCCCTTTCTGGGGCTCAGGATTGGTACTCGAAAAATTGGTTCCAGACCCGACCAACATTCTCAGATGGACACACCGTTGACTGGACATCTATGAACTCGTGGGATCGTTACGGTCATTACTGCGCGGCTATCTACGGAGGACTATGGGCATACGACGGCTGGGACAGCGTAAGTGTTGTGCTTTGGCTCGAAGCACCTTCCTCGGTTCCTCTCAACATAAGCTTATCCCTGTTGGTCTACGGAGATTGGAGCTGTGGATTTCCAATAGCAGCTCAAGGTTATTTGCAGACGTCGATAGTCGAAGACCGTTCATGACGCATGATGGGACTTTTCCCACTTCCAGTCCACACATCACGACTAACATACAAGTAGGCCAATATCGTAGCCAGTGAGATACGCGATCCTGGTCACTCTCTTCCAAAAGCCATCAAAGCTGCTATGGTCGTTGTCCTAAGCTCTTACGAGCTGGTCAATGTTGCTTACTACGTGCTTCTGCCGTGGGACAAATTGAGTGCCAACAATGCTGTCGCTGTAGCAGCCGCAAGCTCGCTATTAGGGCGACCTGCAGGCATAGTTGTAACACTTCTCGTTGCCATTTCATGTGCTGGCTCTATCACAAGCAATGTCTTCTCCGTAGGGAGATTGACAATCGCCGCATCCCAGCGGCATTATCTTCCCGCCTTCTTCAGCAAACGAGGACTTCCAAAGTTTCGACGAGGAGGAGAAGATGTAACTTCCAATCCAACGTTCGACGCTCCAATGCATGTGCCTTTTGGAACCTGTACACAACTCACAGTGTGCTAATATAAGCCACAGCTACGCGAACATGTTAGCCCTCGTCATCACCCTTGTCTACATCCTGACTGGTAGTTTCCGAGCCCTCTTGACCTTTGTTGGTATGGCTGAATGGGTCTTCTACGTGAGCACCGTCGTTGGATTGCTCGTCCTTCGCCGACGCGAGCCGCAACTGGAACGACCATACCGTCCCATCATCGTTCTCCCTATAACTTTCGTCATTGTAGGCACGTTAGTCATCATACGCTCTGCCATCTTCGCACCAGTTCAGAGTGGAGTACTTGCAAGTCTGTTAGTCGTTGGTGCTGTTATTAGTAAACTTCGTGAGAGATGAGGCCAGGCAGAGTGTCAAATCAAGTAGAGCTTCATGGTCTTGTAACAAGCATCATGGAGACGAAATATCGAGTATCATAGAAAAGATCCACGATCTACATCTGTAGAAACCTTCACTCTGTTTCGATGTGCTTGACACTTGGCCTTGTTGTGTTCATCGCCACCACTCATCAGCCGGGACACCTTATAGTGTCAATTCTCATATCGATGCACTGTTTAAAATTTGTGTCAGAACCTGACCGTATAGCATACGCAGGTATGGTCACTATCTTCTCCTTTTTCCCCACCTCGCTCGTCACTTTCCATGTGTGAGTAACATCGCTGAGACTTTTGACTTGCAGAAGTCGCATAATACTTGCCACGACACCCCCGATGCGAACGCTAAACATAACATCTAGTCCCTTTCTTGCCGCTGGTAAAATTCGGAGCCTGTACACTAGAATCGCAACGATAAATACCGCGAAGGTATCCGGCACGCCCGTATATGGCCAGAGCAGGAAGCCGGGAATTGTGTAACGGCCGAAACCTGTAAAGGTTCAAATATGGGAGAACAAACGACATGCAGATGCAATACAAATCGTGTATCTTTCGCACGTTCAATCATGTCAAGAACAAGCAATATAATTTTCAAAATCCTCCCCTGTACAACTCTGTATTTCCAAATGCAAAATTATACCCGTCACACACAAGCGCCCTCAAAGCTACCACTTTCAGCGCTTATATGCTTAGTCGTACTACCTTCCAAATCCATACATCTATGTTCTACGCTCCACACTCTCCACTTTACCACATTTCTGTGACGCAAACAGACGCATGGCATTTATATAATACACACGACTGTACGACAAAATTCCATCTTTGCCACCTCGCATCGTATCTTCAAGTCGTGACGCCAGTCCTGCCATGAGCCCAATTTATCTGTCTTCTTGGCATGTTTACAAACACGTTGATCCTGACGTGTATCTACCGTGCCCATATTTGACATCCTGCTGCTGTCATACTGTTTGGAGGCGTTAGCGGTACGCCAGGAGGGTATGAATATATACTGTTGCGGCGATGGCTAGGATAAGCGCAGTTTGCATGCAGATGGTGAACATTGTGGAATCTACTCGGAAGAATCGTATGTTTTGAGACATTTGGGGGAGTTGGGTAATGAGGGAGTTAGCGTTTTGAGAAGCATCCCATTATCAGGACTGGATGCGAGAAATAGAAGGTGTGTTGACTGCTTGAATTTGTAAGGTGCATGGTAGGAGAGTTGTGTGGTTGATGGGTGCAGTTCGAGTTTTTTATGGTTAAACATATGGAGCTATAATCTATTCCAGAAGTCTACTCCGTTATTGAGTTGTTGTTGATGTGTGTAGATGAGATGAAAGCGATGGTGAGATTTAACGGATTATGGTCGTGACATCGTTTTGGCAGGGATCCACACACCAGTTGGAGGATATTAATCTTTGCGATCAAGAAACGGCAGTCAGAGAAAAGATGAGTGAACAATCCTTTCAGCAAGAGCAACAGATCGAAATGCAAGGTATAAATTCACAAAATCTTTCGTAGTTTAGGGACTTCATCTGTGACTCGCGAGGAGTCAAAAGCGAAACGTAAGTAATGTTGAGTGATAAGTGAGACTCGAAGAAGAGTGAGGAGCTTGTATGAACTACTCTGAAGACACGACGATGTATAGCGACTTAGAACACTATTGGAGACAGCCCACGATCATCTACTTGACATATGTCAAAGGAGTGCAGAACGTTCATGCAAGATCACTGATAGTTTCTTCACACAGCGCTGTGTGGGTACGTGTCAAGCATATATCTATAACGAAAGAGTGCACCAACCTTTAATCACGATGTGGCGAAGTTCTTCAGAAAGCATGTCCTCGCGTCCGGATCAGGTAGCGTTGCTCTTCGTGAGAACCACACGAAGTCTGGTCTATACATGGCATGCGACCTGTGCCAAACGAGGGTACAATCTGGCTTACGAGAGGCTATCATCTTGTGGCGATCAAATTCCGACGGAGAATATCATAGACTGCAGTGGCCCGATATGGTACCTTTGATTTGACGTCCCGAGATCTGCATCAAGTATCTTGCTTTACGTAAAAGAGGAGACTTGAACATCTTGAACAGGGGAGTAGTGGGATAGAAAAAGATGGGTCATTGAGCGTTGTGTGGGATTTACCACGGTTTTGGCCATCGACCTAGCACGACTTTGTGCAACTTGTGAGCTGTGGAGATCCGAGAAATGGAGCAATGCGACGAGGGGAAGATAAGCGTAGGACAGATACGAAACACGGATGAGATGTCTCGTGCCTCCAGTTGACCTTGACCAATTGCAACGGCTGCCCTGTATACCACGAGCTGCTAACGCGAGGCGGCATTTAAATTGGCTCCATTTCGCCTATGCAGTAAGCTTTCCAAGATCAGCCTGATATGGTTGCTAAATGTCAAGAATAGGTTGGATCGACATTGCCCGTTGCGAGCAACGTTGCTCAATTGGAGGAAAGCCACAAACTCTCTCCTGTTCACTGATGTGCTCCTGGACGAGGCAACAGAGTGAAGTTTATTGCAAATGAGCGTGAGGCGGTCAGCAAGCCGTGCCAGAGCGCGCATAATGACAGTCAAAACTGCCGTAAATTCAATACAGAAAAAGACACGAGACGAGCCAATGACGGCATTGAGATGTTGAATTGTGTTGTTGAGCAGGCCAGTCGTCCAGCACGAAGCGCCGGAAGGTGTGAGCGTTGATGCGCCCCGTGGGATAAATTGTCGATGCTTGGAGCAGACGCCATGTGACTGCGCTAGCCAATAATAGATCAGCCCCGCTTTGTCCCCACAATACAAGTGTTTACTTTTATCGACTTTCGGGCCAGAGCGCCTCGCACAAGTCCGGCAAGCCTTTGTGCAGCCTGGACGATGCCAACTCAGCGTGCGAGCGACGATACATGGTTTCTTGGTGCAGCAAGAAGCCACAAGACATCCCGGTACGCTGGCAAAGCCTGGTTTCATATTCAGCCGTCGCTCGAGTCCGATGCCTAATCGGCTTGCTGTTGCTGACCAGTACCGCAGAACTAGACCTGACCACAGCAGCCCTAGGGTTCAACATTTCGAAATGATCTGTTTCTGCAACACCGATGCAAACAGAGACCCCCCATGGACGCTATGTAGGAGTAATTCCGGATAGAGATCGTCATAGCTTCATTTGGCTGCGGAGACGGGGGTGGTACTGTCTGATAAGGATGCCCCTGAAAACCTCCAGTTCCCGTTCAGGCTCTAGTTCGCTCATGGACCCGTTGGTCCCTGGACAGTAACAAATGTCGCCATCCAATGTCGAAACTACAGGAGCAGCTTCTTTGCTGACACCAGCGAGACGCGAACTGATATTGCCGCCGTTATTAAGCCTGGCGACGGGACAGCCTTTGCCCAGTACCAACGCCGCAACATGGATGGCACTTCATCTCTGGAACACGAGAAGCCATTGTAGCCACTCGTGAGCAACCTGCCGGTCTGAGACTAGGTCTAGTCACGTATGAGCTCTGAATGGTTGTTGTAGCGCACGATCGCTTCGTTCCTGCATTAGCCCATACATCCGTCAGTCCACTTGCAGAACTCCAACGCACGCCGCCCCTGTCACCCTGTTCCGTTTCCCCCTTTCAGTGGCCACTTATTTCGGCCCGGGCTGCATGCTCGTAATCTCCCTTCTGTACATAAGACCGCAGTATGCTCTCTATGTAGTTTTTCTTCCTTACTTCACAGCCAACTCTTCGAGCTTAAGTCCTTTGACCTTCGGTCGTCCATTCGTTGTTTCCAACTAATACTATCCTTAATTAATACCCAACGCTCCAAACTCTCTCACCACCACCACCACCACTTTCAACCACTCCAAACCAAAACCAACCTCCAATCAGCCAAAATGCGTTACACCATTGCCGCCGTTGCTGCTTTTGCCAGCCTTGCCACCGCCGCTCCCGGCTACGGCTACGAGGCCCCTGCTGCCTCTACCCAGGTTGAGGAGTACCCTACCTACCCTGCTACCTCCAAGACCTCTGAGGCTCCCGCCTACGCTGCGTCTTCCGTGGCTCCCGCGTACCCAGTGTACCCCGTCTCATCTGAGACTCCTGCATACCCCGCGTCTTCGTCCACTTGCACCGAGGAGCTCACCGTCTCCACCAAGACCCCCGAGGCGTCTACCAAGATTCCTGGTTACCCTGCCTCCTCGATGGCCCCCGGGTACCCTGCCTACCCTGCCTCGTCCAAGACCCCTGAGGTCCCAGCTGTCCCGGCGTCATCCAAGACCCCCGAGGCGTCTACCGAGGTTCCAGCCTACCCTGCGTCTTCCATGACCCCCGGCTACCCGGTCTCGTCCATGGTTCCTGGCTACCCTGCGTCCTCCATGACCCCTGAGGTCCCGGTTGCGTCTTCCATCCCCGGTGGCTGCAACCCTGCTCACCCAGGCTCGTGCCCATCGTCCGCAACCGTTCCTGGTTACCCTGCGTCTTCCGGTAAGCCCAGCCCATCGGCCTCTACATCGTGCCTCAGCTCAACAACCATCACGGTTACAGTTCCCTACCCCGCTGGTAGCGCCACTTCCGTTTACCCAGGTGTGCCTGGTACCGGCGTTCCCTCCAAGCCTTCCGCGCCTGGTTACTCCGGCATCCCCGGCACTGGCGTTCCCGTCGTCCCCGGCCAGGGCAAGCCCTCCAGCTCTGCTCCCTACCCCATTGTTGGCACATCCACCAACGCTGTTGGCACTGGTTACCCTACCTCCACCGGGTAAGTTTCTCTCTTCCACTGTATCTTAATCTTAGCTAACATGTCGTAGTGGTTACACCAAGCCCAGCTCGCCTTCCCAGTTCACTGGTGCTGCCACTGCCCTCAACGGTGCTGGCTTCATTGCTGGTGTTGGTGCTTTCGCCGCTTTCTTCTTGTAAACGTCATCTTTCAATCAAGCTTGTTAGTCGCAGGCTATGACTTTACACGATGGGATGCATTTGCATTCTTGGAGTAGACGTGTTGGTGTCAGGATCGGTAATTGTAATTGGTCGAAGTCGTTTGTAGGAAATTGAAAACTTAAAAACTACGTTTGTCCATAGTTGTGATTTGCTTGAATCAGCAATTTGTCAACTGTGTTTTTGTGTCTAATTCTAACAACATCTCCGTGCTCTCCCAATACTTGCTTGTATAATACTACTTTCTTATGTTGTATCGCTACCGTGGCATTCTGGTAGTTTTCGACTTCGAACATTCTGTTGATTTTTTACTACACAACGTTGGACGTCTAAACAACCTTGCGCACATCCATCATTTACCAGTACCCTGCATTCGGAATCGGTACGTTGCCGTTGAAATGAAATGAGCGTACCACGAACACGCGTCCCCGTCCGAGTACCCCGGACATCGATCAACACAGGGACAACCCCACAACTCTATTTCGACTCCATTGCTCGTCGACTCGTTGCTCCAGTATTGGTAGTTCTTGCAAGTTTCGCACTCTGTAATTCTGCTTGTATTGCCCGAAGAAGATGGAGACATCATGCAGGGATGTAATATGTCTGTCCGACGTGGCTTTTGAGCCATGAATGTCTTGTACCAGTGTAAGAGGACTGTAGAATGGTATTCTAGGCGTTGTTGGATGTTCCGGTTGCTTGGGAATCCGGACTGCTTCAGTTACATAGTATGTGACAAGATACCCAGAAATTGTAGCGACTTTTTGGTACTGATTTGTACGACAGATGAGTGGGGAGACGTATCACGATCATCGCTTGCGCCATTCATTAAGTAAGAGATGGCATGTTGAGTTTGTTGAAAGCGACAAGAAGAGGACGATGCTCCCATACGGAAATATTGGGAAGTGTCACATTGCGATGATATAAGTACGTGGTTTGCGATGGCCCCAAGTGAATCTCCGTATCACCCGTATTACCGTATGTTCATATGAAAACTCTCATACAAGTAGATGTCCTTTTCGAGCGGAATGAATCGATTTAGATGTCTGGAGACAAGACGCCAGCATGCTGGCGATGAGGGTTTGATCACGTGAAGTGCCACTAGACGGCACAAGATCGCCGATCTTGTACCTCATCTTCTCTCACCTGCGTTCATCATCCAACGCCACCCAGTCTTGTCAATCATGAAACTACAACTGCCACCTTGCGCTACACCACTTTGCACGCATACGTTACGAATGAATTTACTGCGGTGGCGTGTAGAAATTTCATCAACTTTTGTACGAAACAAACCCTACGGTTCACGAGTTACTGGTCCTCCTCTTTCATTCGCTCAATCGCGCACAGCCTCAACAGACCAACAACATACACACGCGGCGCATTATCCAACATCTGTAGAGTCCGACAGCCAGTCAAACCCATCTCTTATACTGGAGACACCTCCTGCTGTCAGTAAACATGTCAGTTCTGGGAGAACACAACGTCATCCCTTAGTCAAACATTTCTCAAACCTCAAATCATTTCCTTCGTTGCGTAAGGGCCAATGGACTATAAAAGAAGAGCAAGAGATTGAGAGACTGTTCCTCCAAGGTCTATCGAAGCCACAGATTGCAAGGCAGGTTGGACGTACTGAGATGGCATTACGGAGGCATATGGCCAGTATGGGGATATCGTCCCGCTTCACTCGAAGAAAACAGGCGAAAATTACTCATCAAAAGATGAGTTTGCAGAGAAGGCTTCATTTTAAATCAGCGATTGCGAGTGAGATTGCACTTGGTATTAAACATTTCCGCAAATATCTTCACAACATGCGGTCGGCAAGATATACCTCTCGAGGCAATCAATGGTCGGTTGCAGAAGATGTAAAGCTTCTCAGAGGGTACATTGAGGGGAATACGTTGTCTCAAATTCAGGAAAGACATTTTGGTGAGACTAGAAGTGAGACTGCTCTATCTAGTAGAGTGCGTTTATTGCGCAGGGAATGGAGTGAAAAATCGACAACGCCTTCTCAGGGCACAACTGAACAGGCACAAGCGCCAGCTGGTAGCCCACAAGATAATCCATGACCGAAACATATATCCCAGCGCATAGCTGAGGATGCAGTGAGAAGTCACAAGAGTACATTGGTCACTTCAAGTGACAGGTGGAAGTCATCGAGCACGGCATGAGATGGCATTCAATCCGGATGTTTTTGGTTACGAGTGAAGGATATATCTGCTCCGAGAAGCAGTACTCTGCACATGTTATGTAGAACTACCACCTCATACGCCGCAAGTAAGAGTTAAGCACATCGTATGGCACCATGTATCGAAATGGTTTCGACTGCCAACTTCGCCTCTCACCGTATTCGACTTGACAAAGATCACACTGTTACAAATCGTCTCGGCTGTAGAACTCGATACACGACGATAGCGCAACCTTACAGCAGTGAATGGTGGACCTCTCGAAGTCGATATTGTCAGGAGCCGAAACATCGCAAGCCCTATTCACGTAGGATGTCATTCATACAAACTCGGCCTCAGCATGTCAAATGCTAGACTCCACTGTGGTTTCACTAGAACAAACAACGTCCCTCTCTGACTGCGTAAGTTCAACCTACGAGAGCCCTCGAATGAGTGTAGAATCGATACGGGACGAGTAGTTACAGCAAGCTCTGGATATTATAACGATAACTTAATTTTCGGAGCGTCCTAGCGAATAGTTCGCACACACAACAAAGTACAGTGAGGTGGGAAGATATGCGTGGCGGTGGTAGTCCTTCCTCTAGCTATGCAATGAAGACACCATTTTATTCATGCGAGTTTCATGAGCTTCGAAAACGTGTGATTTCAATGACGGAACAAGACGTTGTGACCTGTTTGATGTAGTCGAGGAGAATGCAAAGAAGACCACTAGCTGCTTCATCGTACTCTCTTAGTCTTCGTCTGAGATTCGGACACGTCTAGTACTATCTCCCCTCCTCTACAACCGTCGCCGCCAACCTTCTTTTTTACCTTGACAAGAGGACAGAGAACACGATCACACCAGCGAGTACCACCATCAACATCCACGAATACGGCAGATGAAACAAGTCGCGCCTTGCTTCTTCTTCAAGTCGCCATAACACACAACACGACTTCGTTCCACATTCGTTTTGCAAGAAGAAGGAATTTACATGTTATTGGACTCTTGTCTACTGACAGACGGATACAAAGACCTACTTTACAGGCATACATACACACACCGCACCACGCCCATTTAGAAAAAGGCCATCCAACGCCGTGCTAAGTCTGACAAAAGCTGCCGTACAAGGAAGGGGAGCAATACCCAGCGACACGGACATCTACAGTCCTGTCCTGTCCTGCCTGTCAATCAATCCCCGACATGATGTGGCCCCAAACACCGAGAACACCAAAGCACCTGCCTGGAGAGCAAATACAAGAGCACAGCAAGCCGGCTATGCTACATTTACTACCCTTTCGAGAAAACCGCAAGACGAGGTTCAAACTCCACCCTGCTTAGGGCGTCCAGAATATACTGTATCGCTAAGTTTTCATCTTGCCCAAAAATCCATCAAGATCAAACTCCTCCTCATACTGCCGCTCGTCCCATAGTTCCCCAAGCTCGTCAAGGAAGCCCTTCTTGCCGTTCTCGCGGAGCTGACCCGTCGCGTCAACGGCATCGTTTTCATCCACAGCGTCGTCTTTGGCATTCGAGGGTGGTGGGGGGAGTGCGGCAGGGTCCGCGCTATCCGCGGAGACGTTGAATAGATCGAGGATCTGATCTGTCTGCATGGATCCCAAGCCCGCGTTCTGTTGGTTGACGACTGTACTCGCTACATCGATTTTGAAGCGTTGAAGGCTGCGATGCGTTAGTAATCTGAAAGTCTTGATGTTGGAGGATGTTAGGGTATACGTACTTGAGGATCTTCTCCTCGAGCGTACCGCGCGTAACAATGCGGTACACGTTCACAACCTTCTTCTGTCCAATACGATGCGCGCGGTCCATGGCCTGGATATCCTTCTGCGGGTTCCAGTCGTGCTCAACGAAGATAACAGTATCTGCACCTGTCAAGTTAAGACCCAGTCCACCAACGCTTGTCGTCAGAAGCAAGACGTCGTACGATGGGTCGCGATTGAACTTGTTGACAATGTCCTGGCGTTTTGAGGCTTCGACGCTACCATCCATGCGCATGAATTGCACGCTTGGAAGCAGTTTCTCGAGGACGTTGTGCTGAACCATGTCAAGCATTTCTTTCATTTGGCAAAAGATGAGAGCACGGTGCTGAGATACGGCCTCGGGGAGGTCGCCGGTGGCGGTGGCAGACTTGTCGGTCGCGACGTCCGCTGCGCCAATACCGCAATCCACCAACAAATCTTTGAGGGCGCCGAGCTTAGGAGCATGAACAATGTCGTCAATCTGGGTGTTATTCTTTTTCAGGAATCGTTGCGTAGACTCGTAGGCTTGGTTGGAAGGGGTTTTGACAACGAGTGCGGGCGAATTGCACAGCTTCTTCATGTACTGGAGAGCCTGGAAGATGTGCTGCTTGCTGTCACGATCTGCGTTACCAGCCTTTGCTTGGATCTCCTTGCCTTGTCGCTTCGTAAAATCGTCAAAGAGGTTACGTTGGAGCTCGGAGAGGTCGCAGTAGTAATTTTGCAGGATCTTTGGTGGCAAATCGTCCAACACCTCTTCCTTGAGACGACGGAGGAGGAAAGGAAGCACCTGTTTGTGAAGAGCCTCGATAGCTAGAGCGCCGCGCTCCTGCTCTTTGGACGACGATTTCGCAAAACGTGATGCAGCGATGGGCTTCGCAAAGCGCTCTTGGAAGACCTTCTCCGATCCGAGGAAGCCTGGCATGAGGAAGTCGAATAACGACCACAGCTCCAGGACGTTGTTCTGAATGGGTGTACCGGATAGGATGAGACGGTGATTCGACTGGAACTGTTTGACAGCCTGACTTGTTTTCGACTTGGAGTTCTTGATCAAGTGGCCCTCATCTAGAACAACGTAGTTCCAGTTGGTAGGCTTGAGGATGTCAAGATCATTCCTGCAGATATCGTATGAAGTGATAACGATATCCACATTGTTGAGCTGTGATTGATATTGGCCACGAATAGACGGGGAGCCGACATATGCAACGCAGGAGAGGAACGGCGCATACTGGCGGATTTCCTGTTGCCAATGACCGGACAACGTAGGTGGACAGACGATGAGCGAAGGCAGGCGTCGGTAGTTCAGATCACCAGACTTTGCAAACTCCTCGGCACGCAGATGATGGTCACTTGCTACCATGCAGAGGGTTTGCAGGGTCTTTCCGAGACCCATATCGTCGCAGAGAATTCCGTGCAAATTGTATCGGTTGAGGAAAGCAAGCCAGTTGACGCCGTCCTGCTGATAGGAGCGGAGTGTTGCCTTGATACCGACGGGAATCTCGAAAGGCTCAACCTTCTTAGCGTCAAGCATCTGCGCGACAAACTTGCGTTCGCGATCACGTCCCTTGAGAAGGGATTCAGGCAGGCCTGGAGGATCAGGAATACCAGACTCAAGAGGAACGAGTTTGACAAGTGTGGCAAAGCTGGTGGTCGCTAGAAGTCGGACATCGTTGTCTGAGTCGCTCATTCGCCCAAGAACAGGAGTGATGAGGAAGATAACGTAAGGGAGAATGGCGTCGTCCATGACGTGAATGAGGTGGTAGATGCACTCGATTGCTCCTTGACGGCCGTGGACATTGCCACCGTCGCTGATGGTTGGTAGGACGCTCTCCACCAGCATCGTGACTCCTTCTACAGACATGACGCTGCAGATTGTTGCGAAGCACTTGGCAGCTACGTATCGAAGTACGTAGAGCTTGCTCTGCAGGGCCTTCGCAATAAGCGGGAGGAGATCTTTGACGAACCCTCGCACGTCGGGATGTAGCTTGCCAACCAAGGCTCGCAGAGTCGACAAGGCATCAACGACTTCTTGTCCAAAAACGCCGTCCTCGTCAGAAATCTCTGTTGGGAGTTCGGCGCCAGCGAAGGCTTGCTTGATAGGTCGTTCGATCAGATCCTTCAGGATGGGTACCTTCTCGAATATCTGGGCACCAAACTTCTCAACGACCTGCTCAAGACCTTCACGTGCACCACGCTTAGTAATTCGGGCGGCCTTTGACTCCTCAGCAAACTTGGCGGCATCGGGGTGGTCGCGGATGTCCTCATCTTTCTTGAGTGTGAGAATCCCGGTCTCAATGTGCGCCTGTCCGTGGAACTCCGGGGTTTCCGCCGTCTCCATGCAGTAGAACTTGACGAGATTGCCGACCACCTTGTTGACAACACCAGACCGGTTGGCGTTCACAAGGTGAACAATGTAGCCAGCCACAGCTGCAGCAGAGCGCCTCTGGAGCTCCACATTCTCTTCCCTCTTGACGCTGTCCATCATAGCCTTGATTGCTGGCGATGGCTTCTTGGGAGGTGAGTTGAGCCAGATCAAGGCGCCAGCGGCTGCTGCTTTGATGCGGACGTCCCGCTCTTCCTTGATATCCTTGGCTTCCTGGAGGCTCGATTCCACTTCTTTCTTCGTGATCTCTAGGTTTGCATGAGCTACCATACGCGCTGCTGGCGTCATCGCTTTCTTCATCTTCTCGTAGTGCACGCTGAGTAGCTTCTCCGCATCTGCAACACCGAAAGCAAACTGGCTGGCAGAAGGATCACCCTGTACAACAACAGCGAAGGTTGGCATGTTCTGCACATGACCATCGCGGAAGATGTTAAGCAACGCGGTGCATTGCGTCCGCACAATCTGTAGCTTGGGGACAAGATCCTCGTAGGCCAAAGGCCGTTCGCCATCCACGATCGGGAGAAGTGATTGAGCCAAAGCTCCGGCCAATGCATCCTTGCTTGTGACGTTCTTCCCAAACTCCTCAATGATCATCGCCGCTGTCAACTGTGTCGTGGAGCTGCTCGAGGATAACGCAGGTACCAGTCGGGGCTGGAACGTGGCTTGCCTGGTCTCCTCTGGCCAAGCTGCTATTGCTTTTCCAAGCGCTTGCGCCGCAGATATCCTGGAACGATTCATAACGTCGGCGCCGATGAGCTCAAGGTCACCACTAACCATGTGTCCATCAACATTGTGAGATGTTGACGCACTGGTGGCTGCCGGTAATTCTTCCTTCCCGTGTCGGGACTTCTTCCTCTTCTTCTGTGTGGGCTCACCGGACCTGGGAGGTGTTGACCTTCGACTCGGCTGAGACTCTGGCGGTGGGCCCATCACTTGACCCGATGGGCGAATGAGGAGCGACATGTCCATGGAGATGGGATGGCGCGCAACACCGATAGGTGTGAGTGTAAGTGGGACAATAGCATCCAGTACAGGCTCCATATGGACGGACAATTGACTCCCAAGACTTTTGATTGCGGCGTTCCAAAGCTGTAGTGAGAGCCTTAGGACCCCCTCGTTACGTTCTAGCAGGATGTTCTGGAAGAACAGCTGCAGAGCTTTGCCGTCAATCCATCCTTCAGAGTCTGCGCTTTGGATGTCGAGAAATGTGATCAGAGCACGCAGCACTGCGCCACGAACACTCGTGATCGTATGCCGCAGGAACGGAAAGAGGCGGGGGATCAGCTCATGGAATGACTGAGTAGGATCCTCACGGGCATTGGCTTGCATGGCTTCCAGGACTTGAGGAAAACTGCAGAGCTTGGCCAAGAGATCCATGATGAAACCAGTACTGGCGTTGAGATCGTCCTCCATGCTAGATAGACACGACCAAACTTGACTTATGAGCCCTGCGAGCGCCTGAGGACGCAACTCGACGAATTCTTTAGCAGCCGGGATGAGTGTCGCTGCACTGATTGCTTGAATATCGTCGTTGGTACCACCCAATCCATGGATGACGGCGGCGAGTACCCCATCCATCAGTGTGCCGTCTTGGAGGAGGAGGTCGTTCCGTACGGCAACCAGATATCGCAGACCAATCATGCCACCCTGTTGCGATTGCCATGTCTCGTCGGTGTTGCCCTGCATGATGAGAGTGTTGCAGAGCTTGAATATCGCGACAACATTCTCGTGCGAGAGGTATTGCAATACTGAACCGAGTGCTTGGCCTACAGTCTCTTTGACAGGCGCGATGAAGCTGTCGCCAGTGAAATCGCCGAAACGATCCAGCATGAACACGCAGCATATACGGCATGCTAAGTCGTTGAGCCATTGCTGGTTCAGCTTGTCGTTCTCTGTCCGTGTCTTGCCCTTGAATCTCCCTGCGCCGGCGCCGTGCACACGCAGAATTTCTCGAATTCCCATTGCAGCGCCATGACGAACTTCCCATACATGGTCGAATAGCTCAACAGCGAGGTAGTCGCAGATCAATTCATAGGGCCACGCCACACCAGGGTCTTCCGTGTCAGTCTCGAATGATGATTTCTCCGGTACTGGTGCGCCTTGGAACTCTTTCACAAACTTTGTGTCGTCGTCACCCCCTTTGCGATCTAATGACATGTAGTCGTCGAGGAGGTCATCTTCTTCGCCGTTTTCCGTATGCTCTTTCTTTACGGCAACAGGCTGCACGCGCACGGGCGTCTGTGCAGTATCTGGCTGTGAGTCTTTGCGCGCAAACTCGACAATCTGCACTTTGTTACCTCCCCGAGCCACCTCTTTCTTCGCCTTTCGTTTCTCTCGGTTGAGTTGCCGCTTGCTAAGAACTTGCCCGTCTCCGTTTGGTGTCGTTGTTGGTGGAGACGCGGCAGACGTCATTGTATCCGATCGTGATATGTTCGTGTTGATACGTGGCATCGAGAGCGTTCGGGTTGCGGGAGTCGGAGTCTTGACCATTGTGTCGATCAGGGGAGCTATTGCTTCGATGTATTCGCCTTCTAAGCCGAGTCGTTTGTTCAACGTCTTTTTCAGGGCTGCCAAACGCTCTGCGGGACTCAAGCCTGCCAGTTGGTATTCATACTCCTTTCCACAGGTGCTGGCGAGCTGCTTTCCGAACTTTAGAACGGTAAACACATCAAGTGTGGCGAGATCGAGTCTGTCGTCGGTTGGTGGAAACACACACTCGCCATTCTCTTCTTTCTTGGGAAGGTCGCCATTTCCATTCTCCACTTTGACATGCCCGTTCGTTTCTGACTTGATTTCGAGCTTGACAGGCTCGTCGTCAGCATTGGGATCGAACTTCTCGGCATTGGCAACGATGCCCCCAATAGCCTTGGCGGCAGCGACTCGTGTTTCCCAGCTCTTTGACCGCAGATAAGGAATGACACGTCCAAGAAGATTGATTAGTCCATCGGGCTGTTGCTTTTGGACATCGGCAAGCTGATCGGCTGCTGTGTTTCGAATCAATGCCGTGCTACCTGTCTCGAGCAACCTTGGCAAGAGTTAGCGAAACGTACCAAATTACGTACAATACGGGTGAGTAAGTGGATATCAAGCTCCACCAGGAAGGAAACGGAAACGGTCATGGCGGTGCTGCGACATGTTGCAGAGACTATCGACGATGCTGCAAGGTACGGTCAAGGATGCACTTACGTTACGAGTCGGTCCAATCTCGTCGCACTATCAGAGCGTTAGCGGCATGATCCAGACATGCATGCACAATGAAGTCCACAACATACCTCATTTTGGCGGTAGACTACTTGCTCAGTAGAGCAGCGCAATACAGCCACAGTATTAGAAATTACGGAGTTCCGACGGCAGGGCCATGGAAATATTTGATGGATGCTGCACCGATGCGTGAGGTTGGCGGTGTCACGTGACGGGTGGTAACTCGATGCGGGCTCTCGTTCGGAGAAGGTGGGCGCGAGGGCCTATCTAAAGGAGCGTGTCATTAAATATTGGGCGTGTTGCGGCAGGAATCCCTCACTAGCGCGTGGCCCGAGCGCCTTGGAACAGGGCAAGGAGGGAAATTTTGGGAAATTTTTGTGACCGCGACGGCGCCGGCGAACCACTCGCGTGCGTCTGCTTGCGATTACTGGTAGATCTCTGCCTCGACGCAACGTTCGCAACGTTCAAATCTCGGTCCTGGCTGCGCCTGCAGTGAGAAGCGCAGCCTCTTCGTTCTTTGGTGTGCAATGTGGCCTAAAAAGTAGCACTAGCCGCATCCATCGCCATCGTGCAACACGCTGTTCAGTCACTCTTCGTCAATCTCAGCAGCCTGCGTTGCTTGAAATGGCCCTTTGGTATGCGTTGGACCTTTGTCTTCGCATTCAGTCAGCAACGTACACGTCATCGACTCCGTCTCGCTACTACGAATCTGCGGATCTCATCATGAAGCTGACAGGCTTCCATGCTGACAGCCAGCTTGGTACTATGTACCGTGGCTTGCAAGGCTGGGGACGCCCATAGTCGCCATCTCTAGCACAGACCAGCAGCTGCAAACGCGCAGCACATTCCCTCTCTTTTGCTCCGACGTTCCGACGCGTCAAACGGTATTGCTGAAAGGAGTCCCCACGGCCAGATGCAAACGGGTCCCCGCGCGTCGCGAACGCGTCTTTTCAGACTTGCGCTTGGCCGTTGATCTGCGGCTGTGACTAGCGCGTACGCAAGATCTTCGACTTCGTGTTTTGAGACCACACTCGTCTCCTGAATCCCACAGCCTCACAGTCGATCACCAGTCATGCGTTCAGCTGTGCTGGGTTCTAGGCCGCTCCGATGCGCACCTGGGCACAATGCTTGTCTCTCTGCCCTTATCTCGAGATCTCATCTATCTGGCGATTTGCAGTAATACATCATCACCACAAGGCTGCATTCGGGCCCAAACATCTATACCATGGAACCCTAGACCCTCCTGAGTGTAAGCCATTCGTCACGTTTACAGTTTGACAAAACTTGTCTTTAGATTGCCTTCGCAAAAGCGTCGCTTCTCAAAGAAGAAACGCGGAGCATGGTTCATTCTTTGAAGGAGACTACAGTATGCGCTACAAACGCACCCCTTGCGCCCAAGATTATGTCGACAAAGAGCAACACATACTACCCACCAATACATCCCGGCCAACGATTTCTCTGTTCATTTATGTATCTACGTGCCCCTTTATGTATGCTGATTCAGCACAGCGCAGTACTGCCTGGACTATCTATCATGTCCAGCTTTGTAGATTCAAATCAGGTCGCCTAATGTTTCGGAACGACTCTGCTTTACACAATGTGGCAAAATGCTACCTCGAGAGTAAAAGTCGCTGAACATACACAGAAACCGCCCTCACAGAAACGCTAATCTCGTATTCCTCGACCTAACAAGTGGCTCTGTCTTGTTCTTCTACTCATTCCCTTTGTGCTCCCTCACTACGACTTTATCTACAGTCTCGCCTAAAACGCATAGGAAAGACCAGGTGTCTACGCCTCGATCCATTCATCGCGCAACAAACCTTGGTTCAGACATTTCCTCAGCCAATTCTACTCTTTGGCTTTTAGTGTGCCTTGACGATGGTAACCTAAAGAAGGCGAACGCGTTGCCAGGGACAACACGCTAGAACTCAAAGTGGTATCTCAGTTTGTTGTTATGGTTATTCGAGGAACTTCTCTAGAGGCGAAGTTGTAATCATTGCAGTTGTCAGTCAGCTGCATCAACGCCTGCTGACGAAAGCCGAGCCGAGGCGATTGATGACGCTAGAACCCCGTCAGCAAGTCGAGCCGAGCGCGCTGCATTCACGAACACGAACAGCCTCTGTCCGCCCAACCCACCATCATGTCCGCTTCCGAAGTCCTCTCCGCTCTCCACTCAGAAACCCCTGTCGAACTTCTCTCTGCTTTCCTTGCCAACCGCCCCGTCGAACTCCTCTCCGCCTTTCTCTCTGTCCAACCCCTCGAGCCTGTCCTGATCTTCACCTCCGCCGAAGACGCAGCCCTCTTCCGATTGCGCTGCAAGCAAGGTCGCATCCTGCCAGATTTGCCCCAGACATGGGTGTACCTGCCCATGCCTGAGGGGTTGCTACGTGTGCGTACAGCGCATATGGGGAATGTGGCGTTTGAGTTTAGTAGTGGGCAGGCTGCGAGAGGGTTTAATGCTGGGATCAAGGGTCTAGGGGAGATCCGTGGGGATCCTGGGGAGGATAGTATCGTGAATCTGGGGATGGAAAATTATTAGGCGGGGAGAGGCAAGGTGTGGTAATTGGTGTGTGCTGTTGAGTGGTGACTGTGTGTGGGATGATATATTTATCTTGGCTAGTTTGGCAGGCTCAATCTCTTCTGTACTCCTCGCGCAAGAGCTATAGGAGTGCTTGACGACAGTGCTATCGGGTTCACCGTTGTCTCGTCGACTGCGTGAAAAGTGTGGCCGTATTTAGGTGCTTTCATCGTGCTAGTCCTGAGGATTCGGCTTCTCGCTTGTCATGTTTTACACTCCATCGATTTTGTGTAAGTCTTGCTCCGCTGTTGTCTGTTCGAGCCAAGTCAGTTTTCTCCCATCTCTTAGTAGTCGTGACAAGCAATGTCCAGGACTAGTTTTTCATTTTCATACGACGTAGCCCCGAAGGCGATCATGTACAGTCACCCTTACCTGAGTAGCGATCACACGAGGTAAGAGCACTCTGCGCCTTCTCTTCCACGCCATGAACAGCCTCTTGGCGCTCTCATCCAACATCTTCTCTCATCATCAACTCCACACTTCTCACACCACACATTCATATCATTTCAACCGTCTATCGTTTATCAGCCAAACATATCTTTCGAAACAACCACACTTTCGCTCATCATGTCCAATCCCAGCGGCGACCCCCCACCACCATCCCCTCAACCCGATCAATAGCACAGATTATCAGATTTCCCGCTGGAACTAAGCTCGCTCGACGGCCTCCTTTTCGAAGTGAGAGGCGGTAACTCATCCAATGAAGATATGGAGATGTTTTGGACCATCCGCCCGCCTGGAGCGCAACCCATCTCCAATCCCACCACACAAACCCTCGAACCAGACGTCCCCCCACCACCTCCTGGAAGCCCGCACTCGCGTCATTCAGCCCCAGCAATCCTGACATCCCCACCCCACAACATCCCACCCCACATATACACCAACAAGCTCCCCAGCACGCCCTCCCCCACGAGAAGAAAACCAGCCATAACCCTCCTCCCCGTCCTCCCCGCAACACCCTACACCGACGCCGCCACCCCCCGCGCCGAAAAATCCCTCGCTTACATCACAGCCCAGCGCAAACTGCTGACCTGGTTCGACCTAAGCGCCGCAGACCAACTCCCACATATCATCGCGCGCCGCCTGACTGCTGCGCTGGGGACCCCGTCGCCCACCGCAAAACAGGCGCTGCGCTTCTGCTACTATATGCGCTCGCAGGGCTTCGACACGTATGCGCGGATCAAGAGCGGGCGGATGAGTCTTTTCCTCGCGGATGCGGAGACTTGGGAGCGCAGTGAGGATCGGGTGTATTGGACGCAGTTTGTTGGGACGGATGTGGTCGAGGATATTCCGATGGTTGATGCGGCGATGAGGAGGGATCCGATGGCGAGGACGAGGGCGGTGGCTGAGTTTGGGCTTGTGGGGGTTGGGGATGGGCCGGGGGAGACGGCGCTTGACGATGTGAATTCGGAGTGGGATGAGGATGAGGATGAGGACGAGGACGAGGACGAGGACGAGGACGAGGACGAGGAGGCAGCGCTGGACCGGGATGCGGCGGCGGCGGCGGTGCTGGCGATGAATATCGTGTCCAATGGGCCGATGAGCAGGGACGCGATGGCGAGGCATATGGCGGCTGCGATGGAGAGGGATATGGCGTCGAATGCGGCGATGCATAGGCAAGCCATGGCGGGGATAAGGGAGGCGAGGAGGAGAAGGAGGAGGAGGGAAGCGAGGATGGAGCGAGGGTGGAGTGAGACGGTGCCTACGCCTACGCTTGATGCGACGTATGCTGCTGCTGCGAGGCGGAGGGATGAAGCTGAGAGGCAGAGGGATGAAGCTGAGAGGCAGAGGGATGAAGCTGTGAGCGAACTTGCTGCGCTTGAAGAGTCTCTTCGTGCGGTTCGTGGGCGGGAGTAGTCATATTCGAAGTCGGACTTTGATATAAAATAAGCTACTCAGTATGATACGAATATCAATCAACTAAGCATGAAACAAAGACTTTACGGCAGTGCCAAATAAATCCAACACCATAACATCCATAACTAGAGACTCGGAAAACATACCATCTTAAATGGGGTATCGATATATCCTCTCATCGGATCACATCACAGGATAGAACAGATGGATATCAGTTTACCTAGCTACACTATCTGTCCTTAAAAAAAAATTCCGCCGTGTGAACTTTATATCAACTCAACTATGTCCCCGCATTCTACCCCACTATACACACTCGACTCGGCTTTGACTTGACTGTATATCAAAACAAAAAGGACAAGATCAGCACCCGTGTATCCTATCAATCGGTCCATCGGTCAATCGGTGGCAAAATGCAGATACGATTCCGATTATGCTTATGACTGTTCCTGGATATAAACGATGTACAGATCCAGATACAGAAAAGGACAAAGACAAGCACAGCAAGTCCGACAACATAAAACACTACCCTACCTTACACTACATTACACTACCCTACCTTACACTACACTACACTACTCTACACTACATCCAACAAACACAACGGGGTATGACGTAGCCATCCATCTCCACCTCTGACTCCTCCCCTCCCCTACTCCACTTCCCCTACTCCACCAACCATCCATCCAAATCCCCAACCATCCAATCTCACCTGTACCTCCACCACATATCTCAAGCAATGACCCCCCTCAAAAAAATCCGCATAGTATGCATATCCGACACGCACAACACCACGCCCAAACTCCCCGCAGGCGACATCCTCATCCACGCCGGCGACCTAACAAATCAGGGGAGTTACGCGGAGCTAGAGCGGAGCGTGGCGTGGCTTAGTGGGTGTGCGTTTGAGGCGCGTGTTGTGGTGTGCGGTATGTACTCATATATACAACAACAACGGACGGGCTGGGGAAGTGAAGTGAAATAGAAGATATGTGATGGGATAGCTAACAACACAAAAGGAAACCACGACATCCCCCTCGACGCCCCCTTCCACGCCCGCGCCGCCGGGGGCTGGAAATGGCCCTCCCCCCAAAACCCGCAAGCATGCAGGAATCTTCTCCTCAACGCGCGAGGAATAACCTACCTCGAGCACTCCTCCACAACAATCCATCTCTCATCCGGCGTGCGGGTCAAAATCTTCGGGTCTCCGTACTCGCCGCTTGCGCCTGGGGGCAGGGAATGGGCGTTCCAGTACGACGACTCTGATGCGGCGCAGCTATGGGATGCCATGCCGGGGGATGCGGATGTAGTTGTTACGCATACGCCTGCGCGGGGCTTTGTTGATGGGGGGAGGGGGTGTGGGGGGTTGGGACGGCGACTGGGGGTTGTTAGGCCGTGGTTGGGGGTTTGTGGGCATGTGCATGGGGGGAGGGGGGTGGAGAGGGTGTTTTGGGATGGGTTGCAGGTGGAGAGGTGGAGGGACCCTGGGGAGGGGAATGGGAGGTTGTCGGTTGTGGATGCGACGAGAAGGCGGGGGGGGGAGTGGGTGCGTGTTTCTGCGAGGCGGGGGAGTGGTGAGGCGGAGGAGGAGGAGGTCCTTCAGCCTGGTGCTACTATGGCTATGACTACTGCTGATGCTGATGTGGTGGAGATGGAGAGCCTTGCTGATGGCGCCCTGGGGCAAAGTGAGGCACTGCGCATACTACGCCACACGAACGGCGTTGAGCGCGAACTCGGATGCGAGAGGCGCGAGACGGTCATGGTTAATGCTGCAGTGCTGGGCCCACGTGTTGGTGGGAAGACAGGCGGGTTCCAGAAACCGATTGTTGTTGACGTGGAGCTGCCTGTGGTAGGTAGGTAGGTAGTAGTTTGCATAATCGTTGAGTTTGGTTCTGGTGGAGTCATTGCATTGCATCACCTGCATCCATCCATCCATGCACCCACTCACAACAACAAACGGCCATGACCTCACTATGTACGTGGTTGGAAAATCTCCTGTTCTCTACCTACCAATGCATAGTCAGGCTGTGCTGCTCAATCCCAAACGTCCACGTTGGACACGTTAGAGGACCTGGCGATGATGGAGAGGAAAGCCGCGATTCGCTGGCTGCCCCGCTTTCATCCCCCGCATTAGTCGACGCGTGGGTTGGACCAGTGCCAGGCAGCGGGACGGATCGAAATGAGCAAAGCTGGCGACGCAACCGCGCGAATCTCCCTGATCGGCGCGAAAGTGGGTGAAGGTTATCCTTGCAAGAACAAGGAGGGAGTGTTCAGGGACGGAGGAGGACGAGCGAGGGGGAGTGGAAAAATACACAAGTGTTGCAGGGCCAGGCTCGTGACTTGTGACTGCGGGACTTTTGGTCTCAAGTGATTGATTGACTGACGGATTGATCGATTCAACGGCTTCCAGGCGGTGACGGTTATGGCGCGATGCTTCATTTTTTTCTCTCTCGCAAGGTCACGTCTATGCAGCATCACTTGCAAGTCTCTCCACTCTGGCTGCTACGGCGGGGGTGATTGGAAGACGGGATCCAGGTTCTTCGATGATGCACAGCGTGCCTATCGGAGGAGGGTCGGGCAGTGGGTTTCGAAACAAGACCATGTGGACGCTTCACGGCGCGATTGGATTCGTGACTTTTTAGCATGCACGGAGCGAATCGCGCGATGCAAGGTGAGCGTGGCTGGCGACCCGAGTCGGGCCAGGCAGCTGAGAGATGAGGTCTGGCGCCCTGAGCGTGCGTGATGATGCATGTGCCTATGGCGTGAAGCGGTTGCAGGCAGGCCTGAATGGAGACGTGAGGCCCCGAGGTTAGGGACGTATTGTCAGACGGCTGCAGAGCCCATTATAGTCGCCCAGCACCCGCAGGCTGACTTGCTTCTTCGCCCTGTGCTCTTGCTGGTGTTTATATCTGGACTCTTTTCATCTACCTACCTATCTACTTGGTCCCTCCGTAATCTTCACTGTTGTCTTCCCGTCGGGTGTGCAAGCGTCGACACTGGCTGCATCGGTGACGTCGCCCCCTCACCGCAACTCCCCCGACTTCCCCTTCAGGCGCTGCGCTGCTCGGCCAACGCCTGCCACGAGGCCGCATCTGTTGCTCGCAGCAGTCAACAAGACCAATCCAGCGTCGCTGTTCGCCAGAGCACGGCAAGACTGTCTGGCACGACGCTCTCTCACGCGCCAAGCCCTTGCCACGACCTTCTGCGGCCTTCTAGTCGCCAGGCACGAGAGCTGCTCCGCCTTAGTCAGCTCACCCCATAGCAGGGACACCGCCGCACCGCAAACCCGGCCAGCACGCTCGCCAGCACGCCCGTCATCGTCCCGACTGCCACGACGCTCGTTAAAGCGACCCCCGTGCCCGTCCACGTCTGCCCATTGCTGTCCTGCTGCCTGCTGCCTGTTACTTGCTTTGTTGCCACACCGTCAGCCACACCCGGCCGCGTGCTTCCGCCACAGAAGCGTCTGGCCGCCGTATCGCCTGGCCGTGTCCCGTCGTATCACTTGCATGTGTCTGGCACCGTGTCCGCCACCCGCCGCGCCCTTATAACACCCGCGCACGCGTCTTGACGCTGCACCCCAACCATGGCCTCCCCCCTGCCCGACCACTGGGCCGCCCTGGGCGTCGACCGCACCGCCGACGCCGCCACCATCAAGAAGACGTACCGCAAGCTGGTGCTCAGCTGCCACCCGGACAAAGTCCAGGACGAGGCGCTGAAGGAGCAAAAGGCCGAGGAGTTCCACAAGATCCAGCAGGCCTACGAGGTGCTCAGCGACGACGACCGCCGCAGCACCTACGAGGCCGAGCTGAAGCTGGAGCAGCTGCGCAAGGAGAAGCTCGCCCGAACAGGCGCGGCTGCGAATACGGATACGAAGAGTACCCGCTTCGACAGCCGCGCGTCGAGTGGAGCTTACCCTGCCAACACCTCCTCCCAGCGCTACACCACCGAGGAGCGCCGCCCGTCGCGCGGTTTTGATGAGGACCGCTACTATGACGGCCGCCGCAAGTACGACGGCGAAGACGCCTACGCCCGCTCCAGCCCGCCCTCGCGCGCTGCCCGCCCTGAAAAGGAATCGAGCGCGAGGGCTGCCCGTCCCACGCCCGACCGCACGCGCTCCGACCGCAACAAGACGCGCGACCGCGAAGACCGCCGAGACCGCAAGTTTGTCTCGGTGGAGAGCGAGTCGTCGGACGAGAAGGCACGCTACGAGGCCGAGTGGAAGCGCCGCAACGCTGAAGAAGAGGCACGCAATCGACGCAGTGCCGAGGAGGAGGCGCGCACCCAGGCCGCCGAGGCGCGACGCAAGGTCGAGGAGCAGCGGCGGTCGTACGAGGACTCGCGCTACGACTCGACGTCGCGCAAGCTGAGCCAGCAGGCCGAGGAGGCCCTCCGCTACCAGCACCGGTCGCGCGCTGACGTGCAGGCTGAGATCCGCCCCTCGCCTGTGAGGACCGCCTCGCGCGACTACTACACCAGCGAGCGAGGCCCCTCTCGACGCGAAGTCCCGTCCCGCCCCGAGCCTGTGCGCAGGTCGTCTGCCCGGCCCAAGGAGCGTCCCGTCCCATCAGGCCGCGAACGAGAGCGCGGCATGCCTGAGATTGTCGAGTGGGGCGAGGACCGCAGACCCCCTCTCTTCAAGCACTCGTCCTCGTCGCCCGCCGACATCCAGCTCCCGCGCTCCATGCCTCAGCGCTCCTTCACGGGCGGGGAGCCCCTCCCACGCGACCACCGCCGCGGAGACTCCTCCCCACCACCCACCTTCTCCCGCTCGTCCACCATGCCCACCGGCCCCTCCTCATCCTCCCGCAGGAAAGACACAACCGCCCGTCCCTCCACCCTCCGCGAGACCATGACCCCCGAGCACAGCCCCGAGCACGACCACCCCTCCACCACAAAGACAAAACACTACTACTACCCCACCCCCAGCGGCGGCGTGCCCCTGCGCCCAGACGACATGTCCTCAGCCAGCACGCACCGCACCACGCTCCGCGAGCCAGACCACTACCGCCAGCGCTCGCCCTCGCCCCTAACCCGGCCCCCCATCGGCCCAAACAGACACGAATCCCAGTACTCGACCGCAGGCATCCCCCCGCCCCCCATGGGCCGCTCAAACTCAAGCCGCAACGTCTCCCCCGTCCGCGGCCGCCAGCAGCCCCCGCTCTACGGCGAAATGAACTCGGACCATGCGCGTCGTGAGAATGCGCGCAGGCAGACTAGCTTCAGTCCGCATGATGTCGCGTATACGAAGAAGATTGGCCCGGATGATGTTAGGTGGGCGCCTAAGGAGGGTGGGACCCAGAGGGGTGAGAGGGAGTATGCTAGTAAACCTAGTCTGGGGCGGACTGCTACGTATGTTTATTAGGTGTGGATTGGAGTGGGTATATATCTGTGTGTGCGTGTTTGCGGCGTTTGGCCCTGGATTTGGTCTTGGGTGGATATGTTTGTTTTTTCTGTTGGTATTTTTTTTGAAGGTGCGCCGCTCGACGTTTCGCAAGGGCTGCTGTTACGTCGGTGGGTGAGTGGGTGTGAGTGTGCGACTATTTATTTCTATATATTTCTTGCTAGGTATAAGGATTAGTATATGGATTTGCATCAATATGAATATGACGATTGACTTGATTTCCACTACGTCTTCTGATGTGATGTGATGTGAGCTGGTTTGTGGGCTTTTTATGCGCTTCTGTTTGTCCACGGAATCTGTGGTTTTCATGCCGATGGTGTGAATTCCTTGTTCATCAATAATGGTCTACGTACTAGGTTTTATCTAGGCAGGTACGGATGTCCATCTATCTGGGACTCGGTATCAGCATATTATGGACTAAACACGCAGCTTCTTAGACAGCAAACTGTATATACTCGAAGAGCAGTATCGTCCCACCTCCCCGACGATGAACAATGAGCAAGAAGCGCCTGACTGGTCGTAAAGCCATGAATACCGAATCTAACCCACGTTGTCCAAAACATCACAAGCCCATTCCCCACGTAGAATAACAAGTTCAAAATCGCATTGTGTATAAACGTGGCGGTGCAGTCCAACTACAAAATCTGATTGGCTAATCGCTACTCGACTCATAGTGGCGCTCGCCTCACTAAGTCACAGTCAGAACCACAATCCAAACATCCAACCATCCACCAACCAACCAACGAAACAAATACTGACTCATATCCACTCACCTCACCTCACCTCCCCTCCATAAAACCCCCTCCATAAACCCCCCTAGCTATCTCACCCAACCAACCCACAACTTCCCCCCGCCAGAATACCAAAATTCCTCCCAAACCACCCCTCACAAACACCCTCAAAATGGCCCGAGGAGGCGGTATGCGAAACCCCGCCAACCAACCCCGCGACCAGCAGGTCTCGCGAAAAGTAAGCTGGTTACTGCGCCATGGGGCGGGGGCTGAGGGACTGAAGTTGGGGGAGGGCGGGTATGTGAATGTGGGGGATGCCGTGAGTATAAATTTCGTTTTTTGGTTTTGGTAGATGGGGAGTTTTAGGGGGGGGGGGGGAAGATATGGAAAGATGGTGGTGGGATGGATTGCTGACTTCCCATGAAAAAGTTGAACACGCGCTGCCTCAAAGCCCTACACGTAACATTCCCCGAACTTCGCGAGGTGGTGGCTTCGAATGACAAACAGCGTTTCTCCATGATCCCGCTCAACCAACCCGCCATCGAATCAGAATCAGACTCACCATCCAACTACCTAATCCGCGCAAACCAAGGGCACTCCCTCCCCCTGTCCTCCACCTCCCTCCTAACCCCCATCACCCACCAAGCAAACAATATCCCACGCACAGTAATCCACGGCACACACGACCGCGCATGGCCCCTCATCCTTCAAAGCGGCGGCCTGCGCCCCATGGGGCGGAACCACATTCATTTCGCCGTTGGACTGCCTACACCCCTATCCCCCTCATCCACCCCAACGAACCCCGAAACAGAAGAAGAGCCAAAAGTCATATCCGGCATCCGCCGCTCCGCAACAGTGCTCATATACATCGATATCCGCGCCGCGCTCAATGCGGGGATTTCGTTCGGCGTGTCGGAGAATGGGGTTGTGCTTACGGAGGGGGATGGGGAGGGGAAGTTGGGGTGTGAGTTTTTTGAACGGGTGGTGGGGAGGGGGGGGGAGGTGCTTATGGAAGGGGGGGTGATGCCGGAGGGGGTGGTTGTTGATGTTGGGGGGTGGGAGGGGGTGGTTGGTAGGGGGGGGAGGGGGAAGGGGAGGAAGAGGGGAGGTGGGAAGAGGGGGGGACGAGGGGGGAAGGCTGTGGATGGGGAGAGGGAGGGGGAGGCGAAGGATGCTGTGGCGGAGGAGTGAGGGGTGTGTAGGTAGGAGAGGGGAGTTGGGACATGGGCTTATGTATTCGATCTCGCTTGAACAGACAGACACTCCCAGGGGAAGGGAAAAGTCCATCACTCACTCACTTACCCAGAATTAATAACCACATGAACACTTGACAAAACAGCAATATCATCGCACTAGCAAAACACGTAGTGGGCTGGAATCTCAACTCTTTTATATACATAAACACCTACACACACATATATATACATGTCCATCCACCGCTGACTTAGACCGAGATTGAGACCGAGATTGTGATTAGTGCAGACCAGAACAGACCAACACATCCCAGCAGTGCTGCAAGGCCATCACCTCAGGCTAGTTACCGTTCGCATTGAACAGGTTAAGTAGGTAGATAGGTAGAGTAGGTAGAGTAAGCAAGCGGCACTCCACGCAATGCAACGTGGTTAAAGCACCTTGTACACAATATAAATGCAAAGCTGCACACCACCCCCCTTCCCTCCCCACCCAACCATCCAACCAACCAACCCTCACGGCCCAGGATACCCAATCTCCTCACGATGATCATCGACAACCCTCCCATACCTGCCACCCAGTCAGCACACACATCCCAACGCTCAGCAGGGGAGGGGTATAACAAAGCAAAAAACTCACTCAAGCAACAACCGAAAAAACCAAGCCTCAAAGTCCACCTTCCGCAACGCCCTATCATGCCACCCCGTACTCCTCTCAGCAATAACCCTCGCCCTCCTCTCCCCCTCCGTCACCCCATTCCCCCCCTTATCCGCCTTCTTGGCGTTTTTCTTCGGCACAACCCCCTCCCCCACCCCCGTTCCATCCCCACTAAACCACCGCACAAGATCCAAATGCTCATCCCCCCTCAGACTAAGCGGCACAAAATGCACCCACGGCTGCAGCCACTCCGCATGCCACTCGCGAAAAATAGCCATCTTATACGTCAAGCTCCTACTCTGCAGGAAGCTATAAAAGCGGCCCGAGAAAGCATTCCCATCCATGTCGAGCAGGTGCTTGTAGAACCACGCGTCCTGGCCGTCGACGCGCTCGACCACGTCGAAGAATTCCGTCTGTGCGTCGCAGTCCCCTGGGTCGCATTGGCCGACGTGGCTGAATTTTACGTCGATGAGGTGCTCGAGGGCGCGGCGGGTGATGTTTGTTACTGCGTAGGTTGTTGGGTCTGTATGTGTGGGGGTGAGGATCTGGGCTTTATCCGGGGCATTGAGGCGGCGGACGATGTGTTGGCGGTGCTGGCGTCTCCAGCCGCCATTGCGACTAAACCCGCCTGTTGTGGAGCCGCGCCAGTAGAGGCTGTTTGTCTTATTCTCCCATGCGGTGTCGCGCTCTTCGTTGTAGCCTACGTTGCCGTTCCAGTACCACGGGCTGGGGTAGAGGATGTCTTGGAAGCTGGAGATTTTGGACGAGGAGAAGATGGGTGTGAGCTCGTGGGTGATGCTGAACGCGTTGGGGCGCTCGAAGAAGCCAAATGTCGATGAGAGCGACGGGGAGTTGCAGATGTCGGAGAAGGCTGTTGAGTTGTAGATGTAGTTGAGCGGGCCGGCGGCGTACATGGTGAGATTATCTGCGGCATAGTCCTCGAATGTTTGGGCCTGGCTGTCTGAAGGACATGAGAACCGCGAGTGCGTCCAGGTCTGCTGGTGGGCGAATCTGTTGAACTTGGATGTGCTCATCTCGGTAAAACGCTTCCCATCATTCATCTCAGCGGGTCGTCCCGAGAAGGCATTTCGTGGCGTTTTGTTCTTGGTAGCACGCGGAAGAACCTCATCTCGCGCCTTTGCAATCATCGCCGACAGCAAGTCGTTGGGGACCACGACTCGAGGCTCGTCGTGGATATTGAAACCAAGATCCATGTCCGGGAGGTACTGCACGAACTTCTCCATCATGCCAGCGGCCGCCCTCTGTTCCCAGTCTTGGCCATTCTCAATCTTGACAATCTCGCCATCGCGTATCGCCACCCCAATCAAGGCGCTGTCGTCATGGCCTATAGCCTTTGTGATGCGCGATCGAATTGTTGCTGGCGCAACGGCCCAAAACGGAACTAGCATCTCTACAATGGTGTCGTACTCGTCGATCATGACAACGTCGTTGCGAACAGCAAACTCATACCACTTGTCAAAGTGGGGAGGTGGTGCCACACCGTGTCTGCGGCGGTACTCACGGACGGCATCAGCCAAAGATTTTGACTGACGATTCAGCATTCTCTCAAATTTGTCCTCCGCCGCATTGATCAATTGAGCAGCCGGATGTCCGAGACTCATGTTGAGCGACATGGGCTGGAGCGGCGTCGCGGGAGGGATGACGGTGAAGGGAGAAGTGATTCTTGGTGGGATTTCATGATGCATGCCGGATGCATTTCGTAAGAGTAGAAGGGTGGTTGAAAGCAACGTAATTCCAACCATCATGCGTCTAAACCGTATGGAACTGCGAATGTCGACAAACGACGTAGATGAAGAGCCAGACAGGTATATCAACGCCGACGACCCGTATATTATGGTGAACCAAACGCCGGAAAATGAGGTTGCAAAGACTAGCTTTGCGCATAGATACGAAAAGAGAGTCAACAGGGAGACGTGCACTGCCCCTTGCTGAGAAAGCTGGGTTTATTTGTTAGCGCATGTCATGGGAAGTCTCGAATGGCTATAAAGTGGGTGAACACTTACTATGAGAAAGATCAAGACATTCACAACAACGTTTGCAAGAATCATCCACAGCACGCGTTGCAGAGTGTGATAGTAATGCACAGGTTTCCAAGACACATGTGTTCTGGTGGGCTCCATCAGAAACGCCGCAACGCCGCATGCGATAGTCATGGCAGCCGCGACATCTCTCAGCGCAGCCACGCGTTGCTCATTCCGGCTTCCACTCACGGAGCTTCGGCGAGACAAGGTCCCATTTGCGGACACCAAACCACGATTGCCGCCTGCAATGTCGTCCCTTGCGCCAGTCACGGCTTCTCCGAAAAGAACCAGACCAGTACCTGCGAACATGGCGCTGCTGATGCCCAGAACAGAGGTTGGGGCCGTGGTGTAGAGGGCAAGCACCGCGCTCGCACACACCGTCAGGACAGCCAATATCTGGTGGGACCCATGATGCGACCGCGGCTCGGGAGAGATGCTTGAGGAAGGCGCCGACTCGTCGAAGGGAGAGTAGGACGGTAATGTAATGTGTTTCGAGAACTGCTCATATTCGGAGATGAGGACGGCAAAGAGCGGGAGGAGGCCCTGAGATGTGTGAGCCACTGATATGTTGCTCTTTGCCAGGATGTATAAGTACCTTTGTCGCCCAGACGCCCTGCTTGTCGCAAGTAGCTCTCTCGCATATCAGGGAGAGGGCCAGGAATACGCCCGCAAGCCAGCCCTGTGTCCTCCTCTTACCGCCAGTGTGTGACCAGAGCCCCGCGAGGAATATAGTCGGAACCCATATGAGCGCCCACGAGACGGTTGCTATGAGCAGCGAGTGCTGTGCGGGCGTGTGAACATTTGCGACAGTCGCAAGGATGCTAAAGGGCAGCGGTATGAATAGCTGGTGGTATCTGACGATCTTTTCGACTATTAGGGACGCGGCCGGGTGCATTGGAGCAGAAGAAAAGGTGAGCGCTCGTCGGTGGGCATGGAGTCGTGTGGCATGTGTTGATCGAAGCTCGATTGGTGTTGCCGGGTTGGGTGTGGAAGGGGTGGACGTGGATTCAGGGTCTGCCAAGCCATGACGCAGGCTTTGCTTTTATTTCTTTCGTGAAGTATTTCCACTCAAACTGTTAAACTCCTTTGTGTGCTGGTCGTTCACAACCCACGGGACGGTTAGATTCGACAATGATTCTCCTCTTTCCCTCTTTCTTCTCTATCTATTGCACGCACAACACTACACGAGAAAACGACATGATCGTCGCCGCTCAAACTCACCCCAACACCAATCCCTCTCATTCTCCTCTCCCTCCATACTCCTCCCCTTCCATTCTCCTCCCGCATATCCCCACAAGAGTGCAACAAGCGTTTCAAGGCCCGCCATAGGCATGACGTCTCACAGCAGCCTGCCTACCTACCTACCTATACAAGCCAAACACGGGAAGATCACAAGGTCGATCTCGATCGCCCATCGTCCATCCTGCCATGTATAGACGCATAAGAAAGCAGACCCCGTGGTGAATCTTGCAAGCAGCTTTGTCGTGTAGATTTCCGTCTTGTTGCGTCTCGTTTCGTTGCTCGTGTTTCATTTCAATCTCATTCATCAGTCAGTCACTTTGTCAGTAGATCCTCGTCTCAGCATGCAGACAGATATATCGGATCAACACACTCGATTCAATCCTCCGCCATCCAACCTATATACAAACTACCCCCCGTCACCAAGCACACCAGACAGTCCCCCCTCCCCTTGCCTTCTTCTCGCAAGAAAAAAGCGTTATAAATAACGTCTCAGCTCGAGAACCGAAAGAAGAAAAATATATAGTTTAAAAAGAGAAAAGGAAAAAACTCCAATACATGAGTTTTGAAAAAGCGAAGCCAGGCTCTCGACGCGCGACACGAAACCACGCCGACACTAGTCACACCGCAAAGCTTCAACCTCAAGAGCGCAAAGGTACGAAAGGCCCTCTCCTCGGTGCTTTGGCGGGTGCGGCGTCGGCAAGGGAAAGAAAATCGTTGTCGGCGGAGATGGATCGCTAGAGGGCTGATATGGTGGTTTTACAGGCGGTGGAAGATGTGGAATGTGGAATGTGGAATGTGGGATATGTGTTGTGGGTGGGGATAGGAATAAGAATGTGATGAATGGGGCGACGGCAGGGTACTACTCCTCCATCCTCCCGAAGAAAGCGTCGTCGTCTTCGTCTGCGCGGCCGCGACTGCGCGAGTTGGACTGGCGGTAGTCTTCTTCATCTGCAAACTGGTCGTCGTCCATGTCGACATCAACATCGACATCGACGTCAACGTCTTTGCTCTCGCTGTGGTAGCGGTAGCTGTTGCGCATGCTAGACTGCTGCGGTGTCACGATGGTGTTGCCTGACAGGGTCCTCGCGCTGAAGCTCAAAAACTTGGCAGGTAGCGGCGGCACGGGTGGCACGTCCGACGGCAGCGCAACAGGACCCGAGGTGGGCGTGCCGTAGGAGCAGCTCAGCAGGCCGACGGCGGCAGCAAGGTCCGAAGGGTCGTTGGTGCCGTCATCGTGATAGGAGCCGGCAAGCGAGGTGCCCGAGGTGGTCGGGCGATCGGACACGTTGCTCCAATGGCGAAAGTGGCCGGCGTTGCCATTGTCGGAAAAGACGGTCGACTGGTAAGATTGGCCGTAAGCGGAGCTGGTGGCCGAGTAGCGCTTGACGGAGCGGGCTGCAAATTGCGAGCGGAACGACCCCACGGCATGGTCGTCGAGTTGCGGGGGCGGGGTAGTTTCAGTGGAGCTCAACCCGTCACGCAAGCCAGACGAAGCCGAGGCCGCGGGCGAGGCAGACGAGTGGTCGCTGTCGCCCGCGTCGCTCTCCTTGTTCATGGCGACGAGGACGGAGGCGGCCTCGAGGAGCTGCACCTGCTGGTGCTTGGAGATGAGCAGCTTGGACGTGTACTGCCACTCGGGCGTGTGCTCCCAACTAGGATAAAAGTCAACGCTGGACGAGAGGCGGGAGAGGTGAGAGATGCGGGAGGTGCAGGAAGTGCGGAAGAGGCAGGAGAGACAGAGGAGGCAGAAGAGACAGGGCAGAGGGGAGAGGGCAGTGCAGAGGCGGGCCGGCGAGGAAGAGGGCATCCGTCGTGGGGCGTGCAAGTGTGTGGGCGGACGGTGGTGGGCTTAGGGTTACTGACAGGTGCTTGGTCAGACAGCTGCTGTGCTTGTATCCCTTGCCGCATTTTTCACATCGCAGGTCGCTGCCGCTTGTGCGCTTGCTGCTGCTGCCACTGCCGTCGCCCTTGGCCAGCCGCGAGCCCTCGCTGGCCCGCCGTGTCCTCGACTTGGCGCCGGCCTGCTCGTGCTCGGGCATGGACGCCAGGGCGGGCCCGTCAGTGAGGGCTTCACCTCTGGCCGCCGCGCTGTAGCTGCCAGGGCTGAAGGGCGAGCCGTGGCCGGGCATGCTCGAGCCCATGGGCGGGTGTAGGGACACGCTGGGCCCGCGGAACTGCAGCGCGGGCTTGGACATGCGGCGCGAGCTGCTGGTCGTCGTCGTGGTGCCTGCCATGGCCGAGGGGCTCTCCAGCGGCGCCCCCGACATGCCCTTGGCCGCCGCAGCCAGAGCCGCAACATTGCTGCCCGCCGTCGAGCTCATGCTCTTCCTGCGCGTGACGCGATGCGCCGGGTTCAGCGACGCCATCGACACCGAGTGCGCGTGCGGCCGCGGCTTGGGGAGGGAGCCCGTGATGTTGCTCGAGTGCCGGTGCTGCGGAGAGGGACGGACGAGGGTAATCGGTTCCTAGACAGCCCGCACAGTCAGCCCCATTGTGCATGCAACTCTGACGGCAAGTGTGTGCGTGCCTTGAGGACAGTCATGATGATGATGATGTCTGCCAGCCAAACCAAAAAAAAAAAAAAAGTGTCGACGGGCGCGGGTGCTGGCGTGGATCTTGCAGACGTCAGCCAGACCTGGCAGTGGATGAGTCGTGGTGGTGCTTGGTGTTGCTTGGTTGCAGGGTTGCACAGCCCCGTGTGTCGGACTGATGATGCGGCTGGTCAGGTTCAGGTTCAGGTGCTGGTTCAGGCGCAGGTCAAGGCTCGGGTCAAGGCTCCAAGGGATGGATGCAGGGCAGGCGATATCAGAAAGTGTGTGAGAGGCGTCTGCTAAGCCGGGTCCCCCAAAATTATGGCACCCGCAGTGTGGACAGATGGTGGAATGCAATAGGACCCCAACGAGACCCCACTTCCCTCTCCGATTGTGTCGACGGCCGGGGGCGTGTGTGTCTGAGCGCGCACACCAGCGACTTGCGGTCAAGATTGCCCGTTTCAGCGTAAAAGGGGCCTTTGTTTGACGTCTTGGATAAACAGGAGCAGCAGGACGACTGTGCGCGCGCAATGTTTGGCTGCAATTACAGCGCTGCAACTTTTATTATTATTATTATTATCCCGCCCAGGGCACGCGGCGTTGGGGGTCACCCGGCAGTCGTAGCGCCAACGTGATCATCACCGATAAGTAACCTGAACTCCCCTCACAGTAACCGGCTCGGGCGTGGCTGTGGCTGAGGAAGCCGGTTCAAGGCAGGCATCGATTCACCACTGATAAGCACTCCCCATCCGGCACCGCCGAGACCTTGTTCCCACACGTCTTTGACAGCCATCATGACGTGCCCCAGCCCTCATCATCTTGCCTGTCGTTTGCCTGTCACGACCCCCCCCTCGCTGCCTCTACGTGCTGCCAAATTCAGGAACCCTTTGTGTGTGTTCCTGGCGCGACGCAGCCCATCGAGGCCGCCAGTTCTAGCGTGACGAACCATCCGCCCTCCTGCTACGCTGATTCGAGCGTGACATTGTGTAGATAGCCCGCCGCTTTAACGACGCCGATCAGCTTATAGCCGCCTACTTAGGCTACTCCGCGCGGATCAGAGCGGCCACGGGGAACCGAGCGCTTGTCTGGAGAACCTTGGTCTTGGACAAGCCTCAGCGATCGCTGCTATGAGCGACACAGGGTCGTCGTCTGCTGCGAAGACGATCCGTCGCACCCTTTTATTTCCTGCAACCTCCACCCCATCCCATCTCTCCATAATGCATGCCCCCATCCGAGTCTGCGGCACAAAAAGCTCTTGTCAGACCTGACATGACACCAAAACAGCGCACTTGGCGTCATCGCGATCCGCATCGTACCATCCACACACCCAATCGCCTTCCGCCCACGCCACCTCCTCAGTTTGTCATTCGCCCTGTGTGCCACACCCCCTCGCTCACCCACCCGGCACATGACAACCTGACAGCGGTGCCTTGGAAAGCCCGCTCCTTGCTGCAGGTCATGTCTGGGCCCGGGCTTTCGACCGGATCACCACGGTCGAGATCGCGTGCGTGTAGCGGGCCGTTGTGAGCGCGATACCCAGAACACACCTGCCAACGGAGATGCCCCGTATTTACTTGTCGTCGTCGTCGTTGCCGTCGTGAGAGAATACGATCATGACTGCGTCGTCCCAGGCAAATTCGTTTCGTCTCGGTAAACTCGTCCCCGCCGCTGAGATGACGGGGGAATACGGTTACGCTTAGACGATGCAATTCAGTAGTAGCGCATGGCTTGCGAATTCGCATCCCATACCCTATTCACGCCTTCCGCTCTGGGGAAAAATCCCGCGGGCCTCTAGATATTCCTCGCTGACATGTTGACATACCTACCGTACAGTAGAAACCGAAAACGCCACACTCATGTGCAACGCCCATCTTCACCCCTTTGGTGTTGATCAAACAGCAACCCAGTGATGCGACATCCCGCTCTTAAGTTGTCTAGAACATCCAGGCCCCTTTGCTTGGCTGAGGATACCCTACCTACCAACCCATCTGCTTAGACTTATTGTGGTTCTACAGTTTTAAATACGTTGCTTGCCGAGTTTCGCTGGTTGACGTCATGTTCTTGGGTGGGCTCCGCTTTCGCGGAACGTGAGATGGAGGACGCGCTTTTTGACTGGCGACTCGGGATTATGGGGCAAGTGGGTACTGCGTGGTCGGTTGCTTGGTGTGATGGTCCTTTATAGAAAGTGGTGGAACGTGTCATCTCGCTGGTCGTAGTAGTAGATGATGGTGTTGTGAAGTCTGGTTGTTGCCGAGCTCTTCGAACTGGTTTGGATGCCTTTTGATATGACCGGTCTCTGTTGAAGTGTAGCAAGATAGTCTTCAAGAATCACATAGCAATGTACAACATTACAACACATACACCACGCCTCAACACTTTCCAGCTCTCGTCAGTCAAAAGATTTTACACCTTCCATCAAAAGCCCCAGAGCGCAGTAATCTCGACCCAATTCCACGTTACTGACCATGAAACTGCAAGAACCCACTCCCCCCAATGAAGCATAATTTTCCAATGAAATTAACAAAGAGTCCGAAGCGGCCATGAGCTTCACCTCCAAGCATACTACAGAGATGATAGACCATCAAGGTCACGTCAGACAACAACAACATCCCCCATACTACATACTCCCCAAGTGCCACCGTAGACTATAATCTAAGGTTTCTTGGATTACGTTCGTGATGTAGAAGTGCTATAGAAGCGCTGCACCTCCGTGTCTGATCAGTCGGTGGACGTTTGTGCCGAACACGGAGGCGTTTAAACCCGATTCTCATCGTGTGGAATCAACCATATACGAATCTGATCGCATAGAATGATCCTCATCTATCTCATTGCGCGATTGAGGATTTCTGGGACTATCTCGTGTGTCTTTGCCTAGTGGGGGTAGGGGCGACACTGATAGGTGGGTGGTGGTAAGTTGGAAAGAGACACTCTTTGGGTGGGAGAGATGGGGTATGGATTGAGTGTGTTTGAGGGAACTGCGGGCTCAATGACTGCAGCCTTGTGAGAAGAGTGCTGTTGTTGTTGCAGAGGTGTGAAAACGTTTTTGTCGGACGAGAGGTTGTAGATGGACATTTTTGGATTGACTACTGTGCGGGAAAGACTGCAGAAGCGCTTTTGAAAGAGTCTCGAGTGTTGATACACAACGAGATATCAGCTCAGTGATGTTCGCGAGAGTGAGCGTGTGGACAACGCTCACACATTATGGAGCAGCGAGAGTGGACAAATTTGATTTCAACTGATTGCAGGGATGAATTCACAAGTTTTTGTTTATTATTACAAACACGAGTCGATAGAGCTGCCACGTAGGCAACTGAGCAGCGATTTGACTCGTTGCCAGCCCATAGCTGTTCAAACACCCTCATGAGTACGTCTTCCGGCAGATCATACATTTTCAACATGTCGTGACGCTCAGTAGTGAAAGTTGTCAGTTATCGAACGGAGGTGCTGGGGAGGAAGTCGCGATGCAATGTCGTTGCCCAATCGAGCCTAGTCTGTCTTCTACGTAGCACGAGCATTTGCCTGCGGCCTTGACAAACACCATCCTACGTCACCCACACGCTGAATCACAGCTCAGAGCCACAACAAGCACCTTACCCTTCTCGTTAAATATCCACGTGCTTCCCGATAAGCAGACCTCAACAACCTCTACCAACTCACAATGGCGGACGCATCCGCGCAACCGAAGCCGAGCAGCAGCGTCAAGCTGGTGCTGCTGGGAGAGGCAGCCGTTGGAAAGGTACAAAGAGACTGCAATCTGCGACGGCGAACGGACAGCTAACCCCCATTCTAGTCTTCACTCGTTATGCGCTTCGTCAACAACGACTTCCAGGAGAACAAGGAGCCCACGATAGGAGGTATGTGGCCAACCATCTACACGGAAGACGTCCAGTCGTCTTGCGCAACTCACACGCACATAACCATGCTGACTCATCGATGAAGCCGCGTTCCTCACGCAGAAGTGCAACCTGCCAACGAGGACGATCAAGTTCGAAATCTGGGACACAGCAGGCCAGGAACGCTTCGCCTCGCTCGCGCCCATGTACTACCGCAACGCCCAAGCCGCGCTCGTCGTCTACGACATCACCAAGCCCTCCTCCCTCACCAAAGCCCAGCACTGGGTCGCCGAACTGCACCGCCAAGCGTCCCTCGGGATCGTCATCGCGCTAGTAGGAAATAAGGCAGATCTGGCTGTATCAGGCGAAGACGAGGGCTCAGAGGATGCAGATGCAGCGCCCGCTGCCGAGGGCGAGGAGGATCCAGAGGACGAGGGTGCAGATGCCCGGAGAGTGCCTATCAAGGCCGCCAAGGCGTATGCGGACGAAGAAAGCCTGCTCTTCTTCGAGACCAGTGCAAAGACCGGGCAGAACGTCACAGAGGTCTTCACAGCAATTGCAAATGCTATCCCAGAGACCAGCTTGAAGGGCCCCCGCGGAGTCGGCGGACAGACGAATCTGGGCAGGCAAGAGGAGGCGCGCGTCAATTTGGGAAGCGCCCGGACAGAGGGTCCCAAGGAGGGCTGTGCGTGCTGAGATATTGGACTGAAATGAATGCAGTAATTAGTATGGTTGAATGGGTTCCTTTCTGAGCCGCTTTGCTCTTGGCGTTGACTATGGATAGTTGGTCTTTCTTATGACAGCAATATTACAATGAAGTTGCGTGTTGCACCGAAACTCGTCGTTCATGCACTGGCTCTTCGGTCAATCGAAATACAAGGAACCAGAGTGCAGCGAAATCATGCAACCGCTTGAGGACTACAACTAAGTTTAGTGTAGCGAATTTTGTTCATGAATTTAGAGCTAGTATACGCCTTGTGTGCACTTATAAACTTTCAATCGTGTAGGTCTGCGGCTTGTAGGAGCCACAAAGAATATAGCGCACTGAACGCTTTCACAGTTGACCGAGAGACTGGGACTACCTATTTTCCGTCGGGCTCGCCCTGTGGCTGCTAACGCTGCGCCTGACACGCAGCAGTATAGTCATCCTGCTCGAAATCGCATGTTGGCATTCGGTGCAAAACAATCACTATCCGTTGGCTATACAGGATATAATCTACACCTAACACCGCTGGGTATTAACACGCATACATACATACATACATACATACATACATACATACATACATACATACATACATACATACATACATACATACATACATACATACATACATACATACATACGCCTTCCTCATGGCTCTTCGAATAAGCTTGACCTGACAACGATATCAACAGATATAGTTACTGTTCAACTCGCATTGGACATTCAACGTCCCCCCACTATCAGATCTTACCAAGTACAACAAGAGCATGACAAAGCCTTACTTCTGCTATCCCTATAGTACGTAGTAAATGGGTAGTAGATGAGGTTCTATAGGTAGACGTTGTGTATATTTCATCTCAGACAAGCCCAGACAACGAACCACTACGCCACTCGGTTCACAGGAAACCTTCACTGTCGGCAATTGTCCGGACATCGTTTTCCCAAGCAAAACACCAAACACGTAGCCAGACTATGGACTCCGTGCTGTCCACCTAGCAATTCAACCATCCCTTCAGCCCTTCTCCTCAGTCCAGTATCGTTCCTGGACGTGACCTTGCGCCTGCAGCACTGGAACTGAATCTCGCCCCTTGTGTGCGTCCAGGGTCAATGGAGGGATACTAGCGTACGCTTTCACCACTTGAGAATAAGCTGGGGCGTTGTCTTCCTCGTGCTGTTGAGTGAGACAGTGAGGACGCAGTTGCAGGGTTGATCGCTACCTAGTCCGCCTGGTCTACGGATGAGGACGGTTACCTTGCTGCTGTTAAGAATGTTGGCGAAGAACCGGCGGACGTTTGTAGCTATTGCAGGACACTTGCTAGTAACCTTGAGGAAGTTCATAAAGTCGGTTCCTGGGCGATGGTGGCATGTCGCCTCGATCAAAGCGAACTATCTTCCCTTTCCATGAGTGAATCAAAGTCTTAGGCACCATGACGAGCGTTGGTTGAGCACACGAGAGATTGGATTCGGATAATGCTGCTATTCTGATGGGCTAGTAGTGTTTCAACTCAGCCGGGAGGATGATACCACAGCTTTTATGGAGAGGTAGTCTCAAGACAGGATATAGCATCAGCCCTCCTGGAAGAGAGACGGCATACGACAATTAGGTGTTGTCCAATTGGCTGGCTGGAGTGTGACGTCGCAGTCGACGCCGTTATCTTTTTTGCTGGTGGTGGCACTGCTTTTCCCTTCTCTTCACTTGGAACCACAGTACTTGGTATAACTGTAGCACTTCGAACGGAATCTCGACATTTTCGGAGCTAGCTTCGTCCTTGGAGCTGTATATAGCTATTGCTTCCAGCACTAATTAGTATAAACCTAAGTCACTTCGATGGAAGTCTTGTAGCTGAATAAATTGCACCTACCAACGCCTTTTGATGTCTTCCTCGTCTGAATTGGGCTTATTTTCGATACCTTCGCATCCTTCCCACGCATCGTCTTCAGCGTGCCATTCATCAGCACATCCTGTACGCTCGAGCGCCCACTGATCTGCGATGGTTGCTACGTTTTCAAAATTGTGCTCATCGTCCTAGAAGACGCCATGTCGGTCGTCAGGTTCGGGCTTCGCGATAGCTGTACGTCTCCACTCTTTCGAGTAAGGCGCTTTGAATAGGTGAACCTGGAGACTGGTGACTTGAGCGTGAGGTGGACGTTGGTGGTGGGGAAGCGATGTTGATAGAGTATGTGGTAACTAGATTAAAGAAGCTGTGGTGTATGGGAACGAGAGATCACAAGGGTCGCTTTGTGTCATGTACAAGCAGCAGTGAATGTAAACGGAGGAAAAGGTAAACAGAGGTGAAGGCGGCAAAGTCAGCTGTAACATTGTCTATCACACGTGCAAAAAGCCTTGACACCATTCTATCAACCCAGCCAAAACATCAAGATCACCAATCATCAAAGTCAAGACAGTGTAGGAATGGAAATAACCACTCCAATATGCTTGAACCACCCTGTCAGACGTTGGGAGTGGGCCGACACACCACCCGCACGGACCACATTCACCCACGCTAGCAAAAAAACGCCCATTCGGGCCACCAAAACCTGCACAGCACCCCAGCAAACGACGTAAAACTGCAAAAAGAATGAGAAGCCCGACGTGGGGCTCGAACCCACAACCTTGAGATTAAGAGTCTCACGCGCTACCGATTGTGCCAGCCGGGCTTGTTGTTGCTTGATGGAGGAGATGGGCATTTTTAATTATATATTCGCGAAACGCAAAAAAATTGACGACGACGAGGTAGCATATCCTGATTGGGGGAATTTTCTCTCAATCGGCTTATGGCATGTTTGTGGGAAAAGTATGCCGATGATGACCGGGTTGTGGGTGCTTGGTATTAGCGAACCGAATCTTGGAAGGGCTTTTTCGTCTTTGAACTACCTTGGTTGACTACTCGACGCTTAGATGGGAAATACGAACGGAGTTTGGGGTGACCGGTCGACATGTTTGTGAGTCTGTAGGTACCGTAGATAGCAATTTCGAATTGAGTGAAAATTCGTCAAATACCGGTAAATGATATTGCACACCATTACTCCCTAAGACCATCAAACATACTTGAGCACCGTTTCAATCATCGAGATTTTCCCATTCATTGTATATAGAAACACCAACCCATCTAGTTGAACACAACAGTCTTCGCGCCGTTCAAGAACACCCTCTTCTCGCTCCACCACTTGACCGCCGCAGCAAGCACCTGGCTCTCCACGTTGCTCCCCTCCTCGACCAACTCCTTCGGGCTGAGCGCATGGTCGACACGCGCAACACGCTGCTCGATAATCGGGCCCTCGTCCAAGTCCGCCGTGACAAAATGCGCCGTCGCACCGATAATCTTGACACCACGCTCATACGCCTGGTGATACGGCTTCGCGCCCTTGAACGACGGCAAGAAAGAGTGGTGGATATTGATAATCTTGCCCGACATCTCCGTGCACAGGCGCGGGGACAGGACCTGCATGTATCGCGCGAGCACGACGAGGTCGATGTTGTGCTGCTTGATGAGATCGAGAATCTGCGTCTCCTGCTGCGTTTTGGTGTCCTTTGTTACTGGCAGATGGTGGAATTCAATGCCGTATGATTTGGCGAGATCTGCAAACTCCGGGTGATTGGATACGATCACCGGGATGTCGATCTTCAACTGACCAGACTTCACGCGGAAGAGCAGGTCGTTGAGGCAGTGGCCGATTTTTGAGACCATGATCAGTACTTTGGGCTTTGCGTCCACACGTCGGATGTCGTATGTCATGCTCATTTCCTGGGCGAGTTTGGATAGCGAGTCCTGGAGTGTAGAGACATCGGGAGAGTGGCCAAAATGGACGCGCATGAAGAACATTTTCGATGCTGGGTCCGAGAATTGTTGCAAGTCCAGGACTGTGAGGTCTTGTTTCGCGAGGAGACCCGTGACGGCGTACACAATGCCAGCCTTGTCTGGGCAAGACAGCGTGAGGAAATGGTCATTGCCGGACATTTTTGCAGATTTTGAAGATTTCGAGAGTCCTTCAGCTGATCCGAGTTGTTGGAAATGAGGCCTGGACGTCGATATCAAGCGTCTGGTGATCGATGACTGTGGTGTTGAAAATTTGGGAAATGCGTTACCCCGGTTTCGGAAAGCTTCTGATGATGCTTTGAACTGCTGTCGGGCCGATATGGAGCGTGTTGATGTCTGAATCGATCGTCTGCAGATGTGCGCTGGGCGTAGGAACATGTCTTTGGGTAGAGATTGGGTGTAGCTACTCCAGGTCTCGATTTCTGGGGATTTGTCGCTGAATACTGACGGTAACGATTCCGAATGCCGAAATCGGGCCGTCCAATCAAAGACTAGTCGATTCGCTTATGCACGACATTCTTCATCGACTCAAGCCTCAACCACGGTTCATCCATCTGTAGATGTGAGTGTCGTGTATGTGTTTTCAGCCTTGGAAATTCTCGAGCCAGAACTTGTAGGAACGAATCAAACATCAGCAACCCCTTTAATGAAACCAGGACCAATATTTGGCTGCCTTCTGGAATGCCCTTCCAGAGCATTTGCCAATCATCAGCTCTTTGTTTGACATCGAAGATTTCTATACCCTCAAGGGTGGTAGTTTGGACATTGAATAGGTAACAATGCCTAAAATGTTGTCCTTGGCTACATATTTCGACTTCATGCACTCCTGCTCATGGAGACAACCACAACGACATGGGCAAAATCCAGGACCTTGAGGGTCGAGTATATTCCTGCAGGTCACGCAAGAACACAAAAATATCTACGTAATCGGATCATGTTTCGATTGATTGGCCTTGGTGGTTGGGTGAGCACGTCGACAACGGATGGGGCAGCACCACTTTCCACTGGTTTCATTGAGAACTAGACTGGACCTTAGGTAGGACGTGACGGTGAAAGTCTAAGAGCCTTGCGAAGGTTGACCGCCTCCCTTGTTTGTGTCGTAGGTAAAGGTGAGGCCGTTTCTCCTTTTCCCCGTTCGCTATATTGTTGCTGCTATCCTGCTCTTCTTCCTCTCTTGACATCGAAACTTTCAACTGTGTCACTCACTGCAGCGTTCATTGTCATTGAACAATGTTTACTCTCACACCGTCAGAAGGAAGTCTATCCAACGCCAAGTCAGAGGCAGCAACAGACAAAACACCTTACAAAGTCGAAACCAGCCAATATTCCCCAGTAACCCCCCCAGAAGACGAAACAGAAAACCCGCACCCACACCTCCCACCCCGACAAAAGTTCAAAGACCCATCATGGCACACACGCAACGCCGGGCAACGCATCCACCTTCTCGCACACTGGGAAGTCCTCGCTCATCCCACGCCCATCTCCTCCGCCCCCGGCTACGAATTCCTGTGCAGCTACACCTGGGCGCAAACAGCCGCAGGGAACCCAACGATCTACGTGCCCGGCCGGCCCCCGAAATGGACCCCTCCCGCGCTCCCCACCCAGCTAGAAAAGGACCACGGACACCAGTGGCGCGACCAACACGCCTACCGCACGCCAACCCACCAATTCGAGCCTGTGTTCCAAGCCCTGGCCGTCATGAACCCAAACGTCCGCTTCGACGATGTCGATGTCGTGGTGAATAGGAACTCGCTGCAGAAGCTCTTCGATTTTGCTACGTTTAAGCGCGGGACACAATTCCACGTTTCTCTTGATATGGTGCACAACACGCTGTTCATCGGGCGGCAGGAACGCAACGCGCGAACGGCGCCGAACAGCGGGTACGGACGGTCTTTCGAAGCGGCATTCACATCTGCAGACCCCAACCAACCCCTAGCAGACGGACACCACCGCGTGATAAAATACGCACTCGGCGGCTTGAACCTAGTTGTTAGAATGGAGGCGGATGCTTACTACCCCGACGCGCATACCCATGCCAACGACGAGGGGGAATTCTTCCTCAACACCCTGCACGTTAAGGGTACAAGCGGCATCCCCTCCTCACATAGCACAACAGTCATCCCCCTCGCCCTCCAATCCCGCACCCCACACGCCCACACCCTCGAGCTAAAAAGCAGCAGCACCCTCTCCGCCGCCATGCCGCAGATGTGGTTCGGCCGCACGCCGTACGTGTGTCTGGGCAAGCACCGGGGCGGACGCATCACTGCCGCAGATGTTGTGCATCTGCAACGCAGAGATTTCGCGGCGTGGGAGGAGAAGCATCAGCGTGGGTTGCGGCGGCTGGCGTGGTTGCTGGCCGATTTGAAGAGGGTTGTTACGGAGAAGGGGGGTGGGGCGGCGCTGTTGGTCGCGATTGAGAGGGGGGCGCCTGTGCAGGTTTTTGAGGCGAGGGGGGCGAAGGGGGCGCTTCCTGGGGGGGTTGTGGAGCGGTTTTGGGGGTGAGGTGGGTTGTTTTAGTGGCTTGTTGGACGCGGATATGAGGGGATATGCGATGTGGGTGTGGCTAAGATCAAGGCTTTTGGTGATATGTTTGTGGTGCCGTATGATTCATATTCTTTTCTATCTGCATTATCTTCAAGACAGGGAGGAGAGCACAAGAATCCTAGGGATAGGAAACAGTAAATAATGCACCAGGAAGGGAGAAAATCGGTGTTGCAAGACTCAAGTCTTTCATTTGAAGTCAAGATTGGGAACTACGATATTCGTTCGATGTCGGAGATATAACAAAGTAAATAGAGTACAAGTCATGGGAATGGTATGCGATTCAAATCGAAACGTATTGAGAAATAGAGAAACGGAACAAAATGAAACGAATAGAGAAATAAAAACAAGTAATGCTAAAACGCTAAATCCAAATAAAACTGATACACAGGAAACCATCCAACTAACGTTAATGCTGAATTCACACAAAACGATATAAGAGAACAATAAACAAAATGAAAAAAAAAACACAGACTACACAGCGCCCAGCGCTACAAGTCGACTCTTGACATCCATGGGCCTCATCGCGCGGTTAATCACCACGCTGGAAATACTCCCCATCCTCACTATACTGACATACCCGGGCGCAACCTCACTCGCTAGCACTTCCACACACTTCATCGCCTCGTCCTTCGAGATGGGGCTGCGGATCGAGGCCTGCAGCGACTGCAGTAGCGTAGTTGTGGAGAAGGAAATGCGTGCACCGGGCCTGCTTGCGCATAGCAGGGAGAGCACTCCAAGCACTTCTTCCGAGCGTTGGAGCGCTGCCTTGCGCTGGAGTTCGGCTGGAGATGGGGCCTTGGGGCCGCTGGCGGCGGCTTCTTGCTTTGCGAGGATGCGGTCGAGGAGGTTTGTTTTGCGGACAGCTGCGAATTCTGTAATCTTGGCTTGTGCGGGTTGAGTTTGAGACGTGGACTCGTTTTCCTTGCCGGGGGTTTGGCGTGTCTTTTTCTGGGCACGGCCTTGTTGCACACTCTCCTTGAATTCCCTAAGCCGCTTGCGTCCTTTTTCTTGAATGGGCGCGATTGCGGTCAGGGAGGCACAGGGTGTGATGTCGGCGAGGGGCAGCTGGGCGACGAACTTGGATATGGCGGTTTCGTCGAGAAAGGTCTCTAGGCGTGCTTGATTGACATCGACCTTCTTGGCGCGTCCACGTCCGCGCTTCGGTGTCGCGATCGGGCGTGTTGTAATCTTCTGCGCGACACTCCATTGCGACCACAAAGCGTCCAAGCCCTGTTTGAACATGTCCTGCAGCGCGCCTTCGTTCATCTGCGTCATCCCATCAAGCATTGGACTGCTGTCCTTGATCTCGATGCAGATCTTGCCGCGGCCATAGTCGGAGAGATAGTACGGGTTGTTCTCCCCCGAGGGACCGTGGTCGAGGACGCCCATAAGGAGACGCATGTCGTCGGTAGTAACTTTGCGCTGTCTCCAGACCAGTGTGACGGATTCAGTCAAGGCGCGGAGATCGGCGGGCGTCGAGGTGCCATTATGCGCGTAGTGCAGTGACAGCGCGGTGAGGAAGGACGAGTGCAGCGCCAGGAGGTTGACCAACTCGGCCGGGAGCTGCATGGGCGACATTGTGAGCCAGACAGAGCGATGTCGATGATACTGATAATAGTACAATGAATAGCGTCGTAAAATGGGGTAACCAATGCTGGAGAGGAATATTCGATGTGGGCGTGGAGTTGACGATGTTGACGAGGTAACGAGCGAACAGAGCAGTGTTTGATCCGTCGAGGGGTGGACAAAACAGGAAAGAACACCACGCGTAAATTGGCTTGGCGCGTCGCTCGTCGCGTTATGTCGTGTCTGCCAATCAGAGCGTGTGTATGGAGTGGGGCAAATCAATTCTCCCACATGCACCGACATGCGTATTGCAGATGATGCGTTCGGCCATTGCATTGATATGAGTTTTGAAGAGTGTTTTAATATTACTGGTTAGCATTCCATGCTTCTTCACAATTTTCTTTCATTGCCATCGTGCTAGAGTAGGTAAACAGTCAGACCACCGGCGTGTCGTCATTATACATCATCACTAACATGAACGAAAAACGGTAGTTTAAAGAGAGCAACTCGACTGGGAGTAGAGATTTATCATATCATATGTACAATCACACCCACGACCAAGTACACCAACTTGAACGTCGTCATATAATTCGTTGATGTTCGAGCCTGAGTATCCAATGCTAAACAGCAGATGCAATATCATCCGTAAAAGTCATGTCCTTTTCATACAGTTACCTATACATCCTCAACACCACGCTTACTTTCCACCGAACCACGAGCCAAACCAGCTCTTCGTCTTGGCCGCATCCTGGAGAACCTTCTGGTCGAACTTGTCCACCGCAGCGTTGAACTCATGCTTGCCCTGCTGGAAGTCCCTGGCAGCCTCGACCTTGGCGTCCTCGTACTTCTTCCGTGCGTCTGCGCTGTATGCGTCGAGCTTCACTTCGGCGTCCTTTGCTTGCGACTTTGCTTTCTCGGCCTGGTCGGAGTCAGTACAATGAAGCAGGAGAGCAGGTGATGAAGAATGAGTGACGTACGTATTGCTGAGCTGTTGCGCGTACTGTCTCGTAGCCCTCCTCGCCGGCCTTCTTGGCCTCGTGTTGTGCGCCGGGCATCTGGCCTCTCGCCTTTCGTGCGGCAGTTGCGGCATCGTCTATGACAGTTAGTGGGTGCGAGCAATGACCGATGAATGGATGACATACGCTCCATCTTCTTCTCTGCGAGCTTGGGGTCTCCTCCGGCGCTGTACAGGTAGTAGGCACCCGCACCGACGGCGGCGATACCGCCAAAGGTAGCTACTTGCTTTCCGGCCATTGTGATGGATGTGATGTGGTTGTTGGGAGAGATTGAGATTTACTTGATTGGGATGTTGGGAGCGAAAACTGTGTGACTACGAGTAAGGGGAGTGGAGGAAGAGATCTACGGCAGTACTTATGGGGAGGAGTCGTGATGCACAGCAAGGAATCGCATATGTGACGTAATATTCTAGCTCCAGCACGGCCCAGCGCCGCGGCTGTGGACATGAACCAGATCGGCAGACAATTTGGCGATGGCGCGCAGGCAGACATCTCGTTTATCCGACTCTCATACCACCTAGTCTCAGCGCCTTTGTTGGGCAATGTCTGTAGTTACTGACCTGCTGCACTGATTTTCTTCCTTGTCGTGGCTGCCTCTCGACGCGCGACGTCGCCCGTACCCCTATCGTGAATCACATTGACCTTGCTGAGCTTGCAGACCTCATGTATCTTCAATAGCAACGGCGTCACGCCTATACGTTCCTTCCTTCCCTAAGCCCCTACATTTACGACTATCTGCATCATGGCAGACCAACAGATCAACCTCGTCGACCACACAGACGACGACAACACATCTCAACCACAGGCTGAGCAAGAACAAGCGCCGCGCACAGCCGACTCGCACATCGACATCCTCTACGAGAACCAGCGCGGATGGTTCGTCTTCGGCATACCGCTCTTCTCGTCGAAAGCATTATGGAACTTCAGACTCGACCCCTCGCCGTGGCTGGACGCCAAGCTGAAACCCTCGCCCGTCAACATCACAAACGCGCAAGTACCCGACCCTAGTTGGGCATGGGACTGGAAGAGCTGGTATGTGGACATGAGCCTCGACGTCGACGAGGAGGGCTGGCAGTACAGTTTGCTGTTCAAGGGCTCTGCGTGGCACGGCAACCACCCCTGGTTTCATAGCTTCGTCAGGAGACGGCGCTGGTTGCGCAGGCGAATGAAGCGCAAGATGCCACCGAAAACGAAGGAGGGCGTACGAGAGAGATTGTTTGGGGAAGCTTTCAGCATTGGTCCGACGCTGGCGAGGACAAACACCGTTGGGCTTGCAAGTCTCCAGAACAGCAACAACGCCTCTATAGATGATGAGATCAGGGATGTTACGACACTGATGAGATGGCTTAAGAGGTCGGCCATTGATCGCGAGAAGATCAACATAGTCCACAAATTCATCGACGAGGGAGGGGACGAACTACACTACCTCGCCGAGCAGGTACGCGACTCACTCCTACATTTCATGCAAACCATACTGACCCCTACAGATTCCTGCTATCATGTCGATGTTGATATTTCAAAACTCGCGCCGCCAGCTTCTCTCCACAATCATGGACCGCTTCGAAGACGCAAAATCGCATCGCGAAGAGCACGAAAAGAGCGGAACACCCGAAGGCGACGCCGAATCGCGCAGGATCGATAACCTGCTCAAGTCGATCGAGGCGGCTGATGCAGAGTGCAAAAAGCTGGAGTTCTGGAGTGACATAAGAACGCTGGCACAAGAGGGCACGGCAGGCAACGCTACAGATCCGAACAGTGGGTGGGACGAGAAGTGGCAGGGTTTGGATGAGAGCGGGGCGAAACACCCTGAGGCTGGAGGGCGGAGTGAGGGAGTAAAGGTGGATGTGTAGATTGGGGATTGCTATTCTTGGAGTTTGGACATGAGACGAATTGGGCATCTTTACACGAAGGAGTTTGGCCTAAAACAACATGGCAGCGGGGAAGATCATCGATTCACAGGACCTATATAATCATAATCACACGCGCATTTACACCCTTTCATTCGCTCAATCTTTCGTCTGTTCGTCCCTTCTCATCTCAGCACGGCCCTCACCCTCATTGGTCCCCTCACATCCTCCAGTCTCTCCACATCAATCACCTCCCCCCTCTGTAAAACCTCAAGCTCTCCGTCTTCCCGCAACTGCCACACCACACTCCGAACATCATCCATAGTTTGTCGCCACTCTGACGCGTTGAGCACACCCAACTCTTGTGCTGAGAATGCGCGAGCGACTTCCGAGGGGCAGATTGTCTTGGGGTGTTGACGCGTGGAGGTGAGGCGGTGCAAGTGGTGGAGAACGACGTCTCTTTGTGGGGTAGTGAGAGCCATATCTCCGGATGTCTGTACATGCAAGGCTGGACAGAAGATATGGTCATGAACCTGCCACTGGTATCTGCTCGATACGCGAGGCCCGAGGATCGGGGACAGGGTTCATTACACAGAGCAAGGGATTGACGTCAGAGCGCCCAATCGGCGCGCAGCCAATGCGAAACTTCACAGCATCCGACGCAGACCGAGTGGTTGCATAAGTACGCTGCAGCTCACTGCAAAGGTGATTTCCGCGGGTTGAGTGAGGGGCTGTGTTTTGCCATGGCGCCGCTGAGACTGTGGTTACCCCACGTTGCCCGAAGGCGGGCTTGCTTATCACGCCAATTGCCATTGTCTATCCCATCCCGACGAGCTTGCTCAGACGGTTCCGCTCCTCCTCCTCCTTCTGCTTCCTCACCCTTTGCGCCAGCTTCATACAAGACAGCTCCTCCATCGCGATATTCTTCGTTTGAACCGCCCCGATCGTCTCCCACGCGTGCACCGCAGACGCACCGCAAGATGGCTAGCAAAGAGGGCACCGAGGTCGAGGTGCGCAAGTATCTCCAACAGAGCCATGACCGCATCTTCGAGAACAACAAGAAATGGGCAGAGGAGATGCACAAGAAGAAGCCCGAGTTCTTCAAGGACCTGAGTGCGGGCCAGAGTCCAGACTATCTGTGGATTGGTATGTCTATCCCTTCTCTCTTATCTCACATCTTACTTCCACACGACACAACCACCACCTCCCTACGGATATGTGCTGACAACACACGTGTACAGGCTGCTCCGACTCGCGCATCCCCGCCGAAGCCCTCACTGGCGTCGACCCCGGCGAGATGTTCATCCACCGCAACATCGCCAACCTGGTCAACAACATCGACTTGAACGTCATGTCCGTCGTTAACTACGCGGTCCGACATCTAAAAGTCAAGCACATCATCGTCTGCGGGCACTACGGCTGCGGCGGCGTCAAAGCCGCCATGACGCCCAAAGACATGGGGCTGCTGAACCCTTGGCTGCGAAACATCAGAGACGTGTACAGACTGCACCAGGACGAGCTAGACAAGTGCGAGGGCGAGACGAAGTACGACAGACTCGTTGAGCTGAATGTCTGGGAGCAGTGCAGGAACGTTATCAAGACTGCGGCTGTGCAGCAGAGCTACAAGGAGAATGAGTTTCCGATTGTGCATGGCTGGGTGTTTGGGTTCAATGATGGGCTGCTGAAGGATCTGAAATTTGATCACGAGGGGCAGTTGGCCGAGATTCAGAAGATCTACAATCTTGCTGAGTTTTCGAGTGGGGAGTATTGAGTAGGATGGTGTATTGCAGAGTAGAGCCAAGTAGAGTAGAGTAGAGCGGGAGGCGTTTCACAGTAGAGAGCTGTGCGCTTGCATTTGTTCAGTGTATTTAGTCGATATAGATGGAACTAGCACTTCGTTGCCCGTACCACTCCAGACCTCAGATACTCATACATGATGCGCCATCCCCAATCCGGCAATCCGCTCTCATCCTCCACCCCATACGTCACCACCAAATGACCACACAACAATAACAACGACAAGCAATCCAACCACTTCACCCCAAACACACTCAAACCCCACCCCACTCTCCCAAAATGAGCGCATACACCTCCCAATACCCACCCCTTCCCTTCGACCCCGCATACAAGCAATTCTTCGAATCCTTCTACGCCGCATCCGACGATCCGACCGCCCACGACGCATATGTGGAGAATTTCACGCATGATGCTACTTTGATTATGGCGTCGAAAACTGCCAAGGGCGGGGAAGGTATATCACATCCTTCATCTACCCCCCAATCTCCCCATCCCCATCATCATGCCAGCAAGAAGTGTGATGTCTAACGCGTCCGAAAAGAAATCCTCGCCGTCCGCAAATCGCTCTGGGAAAAAGTCGCCTCGCGCAAACACGACGCGGTTAAGATCTTCCCGTTTGGACCCGACTCGGATGAGGTTATGCTGTATGGGACGGTTACGTATGGGTTGAAGAGTGGGGGGGAGAGTGGGCTGGATTGGGCGGCTAGGGCGTGTTTGGTTAAGGAGGGGGGGAGGGTTAGGATGAGGTATTATCAGGTTTATTTGGTGAGTTATTTTCTGCTTCTTTTTGGGGTTGAGGGGGGATGTGCTGACGAGAATAGGATACTGGGGCGCAGGGGAAGTGAGCAGAAGGGTCTACATGCGGTGGTTGAAGGTCTGCTGTTTTGGTCATGTTCACTTTGCATAGGAATGGAAAAGTTGAACCCGTCGACTTTCTTTAGACTATTTTCGAGGACAATATATCCATGGATGAAACATCCTGTAGCAGCTATTCGTAAAAGCATGGCAGAACAAATTATATGATTCAAAGATATCGAATACTCGGATTTTATCTCCGCTACAAGAAAATGCGTACTGCTGACGCAAACAGGGTATAAAAACGTTCCATCATCATACAATGTACATCTTGAGCACGACTACACCCAGCCCTACTCCTCGTTCCCCCCCTCCTGTCGTATCCGCCTCCGCTGCAGCCCCGCATACGGCACCCCTTTCTTGATCGGCACCACTTCCGACGCAACCCCAAACGCACAATGACCCACGCTCTGCACGCTGTCCATACCCAAGTAGTCCATCTCGGTTCCCTCACCCAGCACGCCAAACTTCAGCTTCGTATGCATGAGTTCCACCGGAAAAGGATCGTTCCCGAGACACGCCCCACGACTAATATCATCCAGCGTCGTGTTCCGCGTAGTCACCAAAATACGCGAGAAGCCCGTCGAGAACGTCGTCCCGTCTTCCCAGATTGTCCAGAATCCAAAGAGCAGGATCAGAAACGTGATGAAAATGACAGGCACGTAGCACTGCCATAGTCTTACGGGCACGTACACGAACGATGGTTGGTAGCGTGTTCTATCCACCTGTGTCGTGTCGTTCTGCACGACGAGCATGGTGGGTAGCGAGAGCAGCGAGAGGATCATATCCGTGTAGAAGTCTTCCAGCTCCGTTTGCAGGTCGGCTTTTGGCTCGCTGCTCTTATCGACGAGGCGTGTCTTTGTGATGTCTGATTCGGGCTGTGCGTACGAGGGGCCGGGCAGGGGGGCTTCCATTCCGACTTCGCCACGCAGGAAAGTGCGGAGCATCTGGCCCATTGCGTGGTATGCGGCCGTCTTCTTGTAGAGTTGGACGTTTGTGCGGGGGCTGACGAAGTTCGCGACTGGTTGGGGGTCGTCCTCGTTCGTCAGACCGTCGTCGAAGCGGGAGAAGTTTGTGTCGACGACTGGTGAGAGAAACTCTCGCTTCGTCGCCGTGGCGGAGAAACTGGGCTCTGTGTAGTTCCACAACACCGTGTACCGCGTCTCGTGGTGCACGCATCTCATGACGTGGGGGTCGTAGCGGTGCGTCCAGTTCACCGCATATGGGGAGTCTTTGACCAGCGATTCGGTCGAGTTGACGGAATACCCTATCCATAGCACAGGCTCGGATTTGAACACTCCTAGATCGTCTGGGATAGGCCCGTCCGGCACGCCTGCTCGCCCCTTTTGGAAGGTGACGTTTTTCTGCGGGCGGCTGTAATCGCCCATGTCGATGTTTGCGTGGTAGATGTATCGTCCTTCGGGTACAAGCAAACTCGTATTGAATGGCGCTCCGAGTTCAGCCAATTTCTTGTCATCATTAACGCCGTTCGCAACTTCTTCGCATTGGTAGCCGGGTCCGACGAATGTCTGCTCGTACGTGCAATTGTAGGGACCCCCGCACATGGCCTGTCGAGCGCCTTGCATTGTATTAGGATGGCTCATGCTGTTATATGCCAGCAAGATGGCAACCCGGCTAAGTTCGGCCGAGGGCTGGTCGTAATAGTCAAACCATCCTTCTCGGTGAGGTTCTTTTGCCGGATCCGTAGTGTTGTAGAAGATCATTGCTCTCTGCGACATCCCATCCGCGGTAACATTAGGTACGCGATAATTCTTCCACGACTCGGTACTAAAGTCCAGATTGGGGACCGAAATGTTCACAATCTCCCTATCCAGAAACGTGCCAAACGTGAGCGCGCCAGGCGAGAAGATGATAGTCGCCACGGGAATAAGCCAAAATACCAGAGCAATCATCACAGCAATCGGCGCATTGGAAAGGACCTCCCAGTTCCCAAACAGCGACGGATTTTCCACGGCATCAAACAAGTGGTCGATGGACAACACCGTGAGCGCCCGGCTGCGAAACGTCCTCCAGCTCCGCTGCCGATACACCAGCACCACACATGTGCCAAACGCTACTTTACATAGGTAGGCAAGTGCGCGGCCGTACAGCACATAGAGGACTTTCTTCTCCTCGTCTGCTATCTCCATGTGATGGAGGCGCTTGTACAATAAGTGCTGTGCAATGGCGAGCATGACGCCAGTCACGAAAGAACATGTCATCAGCATGGGCGTGCGCCAATGCACCTTCCACTGCGTCGATTGCATGGCTCTATGCGCAATGAGTCGTTCTGTCATGGAGTCCGATCGTGGGCGCACCGTGTTAGATCCGAATGAGTACAGCGTGTCGGGTCTTCTGGCGAACGGAGATCGAGCACCTATAGACAAGGTGGGGGAGAAGTAGGATTTGTCCTCTGGTGGTGACTGCTTGCTGTAGATGTTTCCAGGCGAAGTCGGGGATATCATCGATATCATCGGGATGCCGTGACTAGGGCCCATGGTGCGTCTGGACTGTGATCTGGCTTCTCTTTCTGAGTCGGAGAAGTCATCGTCATCCTCGCTTGTGCGCTGAGTGAGCGAGGCGTAGTTTGGTCCAGTGATGTGAATCCCCAGCGATGATGGAGGCGAATTAGGACCCGGCGAGTTCATGGATGCCATAGCTAATAACCGCTCGGAGGCTTCTCTTCCTGTCTGTCATCAGCCCTCAGCACAGAGATGTAAGATCTGTTGTACCGACGACCGCAAGGGGAATAAGAGTCCAAACTTAGCGCTCGGGCGAAGTCGACGCCTCTATGTATCCTAGCAGACTGTGCATTGTAGTCGAGATGAGGTTTACAACTGGACAGCGACTGTTCAGGTCTGACTTGCGGCTGTCAGACGCCAAGGGTTGGGACTTCTAGAGGCCTGCAAGGCTGAGGCAGTGCAGCATTACATGGATGTTGTTTGGCGAATGATGCGCGCGTGTTTCAGCCAGGGCGCTTACATTGTGCGCAAACGGGCATGTAGCTCCCGGAATAGGCAGTCAGGCGTTCACCGGCGCGCATGATGTGCGAGATAGAGGATACAATGCAGGTCAATAACGGATGAGGCGTGGCCAACACATATATGATATGAAAATCGGCATTGCAGTCTTCGCACCAACTATAGCCGACAGGATGGAAGCGTTGTTGGAAAAAATGTTCCGGCCTGCAGGCAATAACTGCCGTGTTGTGGTGTGGACGGTACACAGTAGATTGTCGAGACGCGAAGCAAAACTTGAAGCTCTACCAGAAGTCCAAAATCTCAACCAACTCTTTAGAGGTTCACTATTCCCTAGGGGTTGGTATGGTTGTAGAAGTCTGTTTCGGTCTGCTTTGATCTGTCTAGTCAGGCTTCTGATCAGTCAGCAGCAGATTCTGTCTGGAGTGGTGTCGCTGAATGATCATCCTAGGCGGTACTAGCGGATAACATAACTTGACGTCGTTCGCACAACAACCAACTTGACCATGCTGTCATGTTCAGGGGTATGTTCCGAAAATCGCAGCATGTATACACTGCACTTGCTTTGGACACACCAATACTAAAAGCTCATCTGAGCTCAAAGTCGACTTGGTCTGTTATTTCACACCTGTCTTCGACGCAACGCCGACTTCACAGGATCCCGAGAAGTACAACCTGTTGAAAGTGCTCCGATATATCCATGTCGTGACTGTTTAGTATTTCACAGAATGTGAATGCGGCATGCGGTGTCATCCGATGTCTGGTGGTGTTGAACATGTTCGCATCATCGCAACAAAGACTTGGAAGAGTAGTTTTTTATTATCGTACGATTCACTTCGGATGGAATCACCGCAGGACTGCTAGTTGGAAGAAGAGACAAGACCTTGGCATAAGTTTCCTGATCGCTAGCGTAACTGCTGGGTTTGTGCTTGCGATCCAGATGCTTGGTCTGTGGTATTCTTCGGATATTTTTTTCATATTGCCACACCCGCACGGACGACCCGCATCCAAATCTTAATCCCAACGAGCTGGAAGGCCTGTTGTACGAAGGAGCAGCCTTCAATTGTACCGGCTGTGATGGTCAGTGCGCTGGGGTCGATACGATAGGGGAACGACAGTCGTAATCGTTTCTTAGCTTCCGCACGAACGGGGAAACATCAGCGAGATTCCCTCTCACGTGACTCTTAATCTCACCTAAGACAAAGTTTTAGTCTAGATCCCCCTCGTCAATCGGTCTTGGCGTCGGCTTCCTGACCCGGTAAACCAACTTATCGGCTGAAAGAAATCCTTAGGATGTACGAACAACGTGTAAGCGTTAGATTATCCACGTGGGGCAGCACCACGCAACAACGGCAGTCTTCCCAGGATTGGTCGGTAATAAACATCGAGGAATGCGTGGTCTCGAGACTTGTCTAAGGAAACTATGGGCTGAGTTGTTACAGCTAAAGTAGCGGGGATTGGCGCACGGAGGCAGTTCGTGGTGTCTAGAAAGGGCTCCGCTGTAAGATCTGCCATCTATGACACAACATATGCTCACTTGAGGTGTGAGTATAGAGATGGAGAAAGCATAGAAGATCATGAAGATGGTTGCTTTCGACAGAGATTGAAACCGTACCTCTCTGGCAACAGTAGCTCAACAATTGACCAACTTGATGGTAGGTAGAAGACAGTACAGCCTTTTTTTTGCCTCCCGGATTAGCGTACTTACCGGTACAAGGCGTCATCGAATATGGTCAACTTGCGTATGCTTGTGATCGAGAAATAGGGGCTTCTCTAGCAGTTTCCCTCCCGCTACAGAACCAAACTCTTTCAGCACTGACAGATCTTCAGCCCGTAAGCTGTGGATCAGACTTCTCCCAGATGCACCATTGGAATCCTCACCGAACTTCGTAGTGTATGATAATGGCGTGTGGTCCGTATCCACATTGCAAGGCGGATAAGCCATGACCGGCATGTCGCGCCTTGTAGCGCGCCACATGGTCCAAGTGTGATTTGAGTTCCTGCATTAGTGTGACACTTGCTACTAGCTTCGGTAGATGTACACACGTTCTTCGACACTCCATCATCGCTATTGCGCAAAGATTGATCACAATTTGTACATACTAACGGCAAATGTAGCTTAGGTGTTGCGATCACATACTGACTTCTAACGGATTGGTCATGAACCTACGGCTTTTCCCATGGAGAACAAGGCAAGGAGCAGTTTGGTAGGGAGCAGGTATGTGTATATATTCAGGAAGTCTTCCCTCTGTGTTAGGTATCAATCATCAAGACAATCTTTGTCGAGTCACTCATTATCAGGACATTCCTTGTCATTACACTCACTATCCACACATTCATTAAGACATTCACCTTCGCAACACAGTCTTTTCTACCTTGATTCGTTCAGAATTCACAATGCGTGTTTCTGCTTCTCTCTCTGTGGCTCTTTTGGCCGGTGGCGTCGCTGCTGCTCCTACTCCTGGTCTCTTGAGCGGCATCCTAAGCCTCGTTCCCACGAGCCTCAGTTCCCTACTATCTTCCCTCGGTATCAAGCTTCGAACAGACGGATCTAGCCATGGCGCAACACTGAACTACCAGAATCAATGCCCCTTTACATTCCCTGCCGTTGAAGTCAGTAGCCAACGTTACTCGCATGACATTACGTGGTCCAAGGGTCGCGACGGTTCAAACTTCGTTGACTGGAGGACGTTCAAAGCAAACGGAGCCAACTTGGGAGGATGGCTCGAGAAAGAGAAGACCCACGACCCTATCTGGTGGGATTCTGTTGGTGGCGCCGATGCTGTCGATGAATGGACGCTCTGCCAAACCCTCGGCAGCAAGTGTGGTCCCATTTTGGAGGAGCGCTATGCCTCGTTCCTCAACACCAGCACCATTGACAAGCTTGCCAGTGTCGGTGTGAATACGCTCAGGATCCCGACTACATACGCAGCCTGGGTATCTGTTCCTGGCTCCGAACTCTACCACGGCAACCAGCTGAAGTACCTCAAGACGATTACCCAGTATGCCATCTCCAAGTACAATATGCACGTCATCGTCGGTCTTCACTCGCTGCCCGGTGGTGTTAATAACCTTGACATTGGCGAGGCTCTCTTCCATGACGCCTGGTTCTACAATGCCACCAACCTCGACTACTCCTTCCAGGCTATCGACGGCATCCTTAGCTTCATCAAGTCAAGCGGCTACATGAATGCCTTCACTATCGCGCCCATCAACGAGGCCTCTGACAACCTTGCTGGCTTCGGAACTGCCGATGGTCTGTCTGTCAATGCTACGAACTGGATCAACACGTACATGGACGGTGTTCTCAAGAAGATTGCCAAAGTCGACACACGTATTCCTATGATGATCCAGGATAACTTTAAGGGCGCTAGCTACTGGGCCCCCTTCTACGATGCTTCCGCGAACATCGTCTTTGACTCACACGTCTACTACTTTGCCGCTGCCGGTACCTACTCTCAATACGTCAACCCTGCTGTATGTGGCCAGGCCGCCTACATTGCACAGGAGACCAAGTTCCCGGTGTTCATTGGCGAGTGGTCGCTCCAGACTATGTACAACAACAGTCTCGCCGGCCGGAAGACTATCTTCGACACGCAGCGTTATGCTTGGAACAAGTATGTTGCTGGTGGCACTTTCTGGACCGCTGTCAGTTACGCCAATACTGCTGTTGATGGTGAGGGAATTGTGCGTGACTACTGGAGCTACATCGATTTGATCAACCAGGGTGTTATCACCAAGGCCACGAACGAGTCTTACTGCTAGACGGATCTTACTTTTTCATGGGCAATGACTGGTATGGAAAAAACTTTTAATATTTAAAGATTTTTCATGATGCTTTTATGTTTGTAATTGTACTTGGTAGTAAAAAATGAATTTATGCATGCTCGAAAACTTAGCAACTACGTCAGTGAATGCTACGTGATACGCCATTTCGCAACTTACACAATTTGGACAAAACTACTGAGTTTGACTCCTTTGTTTCACCGCATGGGCCAGCGTCCTATGCACACTCACCTCTTGTTTTTTGTACTTTCGCAGCCATCTCTTATCACCTAAATTGCCAATCGTCTAAGGAAAAGCGCTCATGCATTAGAGAAATAATGCAAGTTAAGTTGATGTTGTATCATGCTGCATTTGGTGAGGTAAGTTTGTGTGGTGCAACACAAGAAACAAGTTCGTATTCGGTTGGCTTGAACTGCGATTAGTCATGCAGATGTTTCCTTCTTCCAACGTCATCGTCGTCTTCGAGACTTGTCAGTGAACCTCCATCTCGCAATGCCAATTAAGACTAGCAGTCTTCGCAAAGAGTCACGGAAGTCGATTCAATCGGCTTGCGATGTACCGAATGTCGAAGATCAACGTATCCCATGCGGGGAAATTACCCCGGATTGCGGGTACTTATATGCGACATGATCACCCGTGAGCCTCGGGAAGGTACAACTTCAACATGAAAACATCATTGCTTCTCCCGGTGGTTCTCGCTGCTCACGCGGCTGCGTCTGCGATTAGAGGTCGAGAGAATGTACTCACGCCAGGTAAGTAAATTGGTAAATTTTCTAACCTTTTTAGCAAAGCTGACTTAGCTAAATAGAGGCTCAAAGTCTGTTTGATTACTCGATGCAAATACAAGATAATCGATTCGACAAGTACTACAACTACATTGAATATGTCGACAGGGGGTCCTGGTCTGTTCGATTCACCGCTTGGTATACTGCGGGCTTGCTCCATCGAAACGAGGGAGATGATGTCGAGCACGCAAAGGCAGCTATCGAGAACATGTAAGCTAGTACTTTTAGACTTCTAGCTGTTATACTGATAATACAAAGACTGGCCTGCCAATTGACGAGTGATTTTGATGCTCCATGGTACGGGACATGGAAGGTCTCTGCAGACGAGCCAGACCCAACACCAAACTCGACATTATACCCGCCAGAGATATACGTACGCGATCAGTTAAATATATGATCTCTGTACACCATTGACTCAAAATACAGAAAACCTACGACCCCAACTGGCGCGAATTCATCGGCACCCAACTAATCCAAGTCGTGGAGGAGTTTTCCCACCTCCTCCCCTCCCCCCTGATATCCCGCATTGAAGACGCCCTCGAAACCGCCGCAGTAGGCAGCATGCGCCGCAACGGCACCTTCCCCCAAGATGACAACCTCACCCTCGGATACAGCAACCCCGGCATCATGCGCGCCCTCCTCACCGGTTGGATCGGCGCCCGCCGCAACAACGCAACATACACCACCTTCGCCACGGACCAAGGCACAAAGCTCCTCCAACTCTTCCAGCTAAACGGCGCCAACACGCTCTCAGAATACAACGCGCCAACCTACTACGGCGTCGACACATGGGCACTAGGCGCACAGCTCAAATACGGCCCGCAAAACAGCACAATGACCGCCTCCGCAAAGCTCATCCTAACAGAACTATGGACCGACCTCGCAGCCCACTTCAACCCCTACCTAGGCAACATGGTCGGCCCCTACGACCGCGCCTACACACGCGACATGACAAGCCAATCCTCCATCCTCTCCATGTTCTTCTGGGGCCTATTCGGCCACGCACACGGCCCCCAGCCCCCGAAATCCGAAATCGCACTGCTCTACGACATCGCCCAAGGCGCTGCCATATCGCTCCTCATCTCCACCATCCGCCCCTTCATCCCCGCTGACGTGCAAGACACGCTTAAATCTCACACCCCCACTTTTACCTCCCGCTCCCTTACCAAGATAATCAACGACGACTTGAACGCCACGCACACCCGCACAGCTACTAGCTGGCTCTCCCCCGCGCTGATGATCGGCGCGCAGTCCGTCAACGAGACTGTGAATCGCGGTGACCAGTTCGTCCCCGCTATCGCGCACTGGGCTGGCGATCCAAAACATACGCCGTACCCGCTCAACACGTTTCTCTCGCTGTACCCCTCGGCCAGCAGCATCCACGCCGTTGCGTCGCCGAATCGACTGAGTATGTCGTATCCTAATAGCACGCAGGAGGGGACGGACGTGTTTACGTTTTTGCTGTCGAATGTGCCGCCTGCATGGACAGCGGGCGGGAAGACGGTTACGGGGTTGGGGGGCGAGATGCCGTGTGTGGCTATTGCGGTTGAGGCGCCGGGGTTGGTGGAATTGCCGGTTGTGTATGGCGGGGCGATTCATGGACATGTGTTTTGGAATGTGACGTTTGCGGTGCCGGGTGGATTTGAAGGGGTGCCGAGGGTGGAGCTGGGGATTGAGTATACGTGTTGATAGTGGGATGGGAGATGATGTGATGTGACATGATGATATGTAACTAACTAATTGACTGACAATGGGGTATCCCTAACCATAAACCAATCTATCCAAAAACTTCATCACAACGCCCAGCTAATCGCGAGGATATCCAGATCTCGCCCCCTTCCTTTCCTATCTTTTCCTTATCCAAATAAAACGCCATCATAACCACCACCACCTCACCCAATCTCACTAACATCCCCAAACCCGACCCTCCCCAGCGCCCTCCCCTTCGCCCTCCCCCGTCCCCTCATCGCGCTCGGCGTCCCCCCAAACCCACCATCCCGCAGTCTGCGCTCGAAGCTAGTTACGCCCGCCCGACCCGCCGTGCCCTGCTCAAACACCGCACGCGCAGGCGGCGCACTCATACTGCCCAGCTGACTAGGTTTCAGATTCTGGTTCGCAACAACGGGTCGTTTCTCCGGACTCATAGGCAATTCGGGCCGTTTGGCGCGCGCCACGCTGCGTTTGCTCGGCGTCTTGAGGTAGCCTGGTTTACTTGCCGTTGGCGGGGGTTGTTGTACGATTTTCCTGCTCGATGTAGGAGGAAGAGGTGTACCGGACCAGAAAGCGGAGGGGTCATCGAATGCGTCATCTTCATCTTGTTCGTCGATGGGCGACGGAGGGCGGGGGTAAGGCGTTGATGTTTGCGGGGGTCGAGCCGTGGAGGTAGGTGGCTGGCGGTGCGGAGTGAGCGATAGCTCGAGATCGAGGGCGTTGTTGAGACCCAGCGCGTTCTCATCGAATGCGGTCCAGGCCTCGAGACGGCGCGTTTCGTCACCGTCTTCGCCGAATCCGCCGTTGTCATCATCGTCTTCGAAACCAGCCTCACTCCCTTCATCACCCTCTTGCACCACCGGTCGACGTGCGAGGGTCTGCTCAAGCCAAAAGCGCAGCATAGCTTTGACGTGTTTCTCAAAGTTCCTCTCATACAGCGCGCGAGCATTTTCTTCCTGGCGACGCACATTCCACAGTCGCCAGCCGAGTTTCTTGAGCGCGCCGGAGGCAGCGAGCTCGGTGCTTTCTTGTCTCAGCGCGTGGGCTTGCGTGTGCATAGTCTGCAGCGTCGCGAGACGGTGTGTCCATGTGTGCAGACAGCGGGAGGAGAGTTTGAAGGTGTGGAGGTTGGACGCCTGGGTATCCAGCTGATGGATAGTGATCGTCTTGTCGTGCCATGCGTGCAGCAATGTCCTGCTTGTGTAGGCATCTCTCGTCTGCCTGAGGACGTCTGCTTGTTGGTTTTGGACGGCGATGGTATCCGCCTTCCCCCTCCATACATCGAAGACACGGCGTACAAGATTCGTCTTGACCGTTCGCCGGACCTGCGCATACGCGTCCCGTCTCCTCTCCCGTCTCTTATGCTGCGTGGCGTCGCTCCAAGTCCTCAGCGCCCGTTTGCTCACGACATAAAACTGTGCGTCACCAGCCCATTTGTTCAGCTGCTGGAAATGTTCAAGTCGTTCCTTCAGCGTCTCGAAAATGCGCTGCTTAAGCTTCTGCTGGTACTGCGCTGCGACGGCGAACTGCTCTGCTCGCTTCTCAGCCGTGATGACTTCCATCTTCTTCAAACATGTTCGCATGAGTTGAGCGCGCTTGAACTGCGCAAAACGCCGCTCTGCAGCATCGAGCGTGTTGGCGCGTTGGTTGGTTTTAGTGACCCATGCTAGGAAAGCGGATTCTTTGATCTGTCGGTCGTGTACGCGCTGGAAGAGGGAGACACGGGATGCGAGAGTCCACTTGTACAAGCACTCGATAATGATGCGGTCGTTGATGCGTTGCTGGAGGGCTTGAATGCGCAATTGATCGTTCCATGCAGTGTATGCATTACGCAGGATGCGCATATGGTCGACATTGCGAGCCTGGCGGGATAATTGAGCTCGATGGCGCCAGTCTTGGAAGACTGTTCGAAGGATACGACCGTCAACCCGATCTTGGAGCTGTCGACGAAGCGGTGCTAGTTGCGTTTGTTTCTGGATGCTTCGCAAAGCCGTAGAAAGTAGTGAAGCCTGTCGGAACCCATCTGCTTTCGGTGCCAGCGCCTGCACTGCCACCGTCTTCTGTCGCCAGCCCTGCAACGCCTTCGTCATGACCGTACGCTCCCGTCGATCAGCCGCCCATGTCTCCCTCTCCCTCAGCACCCTCACAATCTCACTCCACTTCCGAAACATGGTCGTCTTGACACGCGCATTATGCCACGCCGGCGCAGCGACCGCGCAAAACTTGAAGAACCACTCTTTGTACAACCTGTGAACCAGATTCTGCTCATACACCAACACCGCATTGTGGCTGTTCTCGCGGACGGCATCAGCACGCGCGCGCCAAACCCGAAGAAATTTGCCAAGCACGAAGTGCTGAATCTTGAGCTCGTTGACGGCGGTAATCTCCCTCCAGCCGTTGAAGAATCGGGTGCGCAGGATATGGCGTCGCGCAACCGACGTGCGTTGGACCTGGTCTTCCGCGCTGCTGGCCCAATGCGTGAAAGCTTTCGTGAGCAAGAACAAGTTCCGAGCCTTGTCCGCGCGAGTTTCCAGTCGGTCGAAGAAGCGGTCTGTCTCTCGTGCGGCGCGTCTCATGCGCGCGGTGTCGCGGAGCTGCTCAAAGGATTGCTTGAGCAAGATACTGCGATCGAATGCAATGGCAAGCCTCTCGTCTTCGCGATACTTCCCAATCTGCTCGCGCGTGCTGGTGCGCCACTTGTGTATGCAGCCCCTCGTGACTCTGTGCAGGCGTTGATGCTCGAAGGTCTCGGCGTCGTCCATCAACCGCGTGTCGGATGGACGGTATGGTTCGGGAACGTACTGCTGGTAGTGATGTGGCTCTGGGGCATGGTGATCGTAGTGGTCGTGGTGATCGTGGTGATCGTAGTGCGAGGACTCCTCGCGGTAGTCTGGAATCGGCGCATTCACACCGGGTACCTGCACGCGGCTCAAGTCGAGACTCGTCGTGCGATCCGTGTACTCGCTGTCGTCGCCGTCGTTGTCCTGGGCCTGTGCCGCAGTGACGGGTCCATCTCTTCTTATGCGCAGACTCCCGCGACTAGACACCGAAGCGCGTCGATACTGTCCCGAGCCCGCCCTGTGATGCTGATAGCCATTCACGCCATTCACGCCATTCCTCACAGGGAGGCGTGCCTGCTGGTACGAATGTGTTTCGGTGTCCGACTGCGCGCGACGCACCCCGTAACCATTTGTCGCAGGCACATCGTGACTGCCCCTCCTGGTCCTCGGTCGCGTCTCCCCCTCCTCCAAGCCAGCCACTTTATCCGCCGTGCCGTCAAAGAACGAGTCAAAGCTGCCCCTCCTCTCATACCGTGGGCGCCCATTCAGCACCACCGGCCCCCCATGACGCGTCGTGCCACCCAAGCCCGTCGTGACCTCGATGCCCTCACCGTCCTCATCGACCTCGACATCAATCCCCAACTCGCTCAACACGCGTCGAAAGCGTTGCACGAGCCCCTCCTCCTTCCGCGGCTGGCTCTGCATGCGGAACAAGAATCTATGCAGGAGTGCATCGTCGCTAGGCCGCAGTCCAAGCTCGGCGAGCACTTCTTCGTAGGCGGTGAAGAGGGCGCGCGACGTCGAGTCGGACGAGGCTTGGGCGCGGCGCACAATGTCGTAGAGTGTTTCGATGACTACGACGCGTCAGTCTCGTTATATATATAATAAAACAGTATTAAACATAGCATACCATCATCCGTCAGCTCATCTTTACCAAGTCCCGGGGCGGCATAGCTATGCGCGCTCATGGAGGCTGGCATTCGTGCACGCGGCTCGTCCTGTGCCGTCGCGACAACATGAGCAAGGCGAGTCGGAACCGCGGGATCCAAGATCGCTGCCAAAAAACGGTGATGTCGAAGCTGGGACACGCGCGCGATGGTCTAGCATTACAGGCGTAAGAATCGGGAGATGAATGGTTGCGGTGGGTGGTGCTGGGCGGGCGACGCGCTTTGTTGTTCGCGAAACAGGTGCGCCAATCATGCGGGTCGTTGCCAAGACATCCTTTCACTGCTAACTACTACTACCATCATATCGTCATCGCCATCGCCTTCGAGTGCCTCTTTTATATTCACCTAGACTCCCACACACGCAGTCCATGAAACCAAATCCATAATTTCCATCAGTAAATTTCATATATCAATCCCATAGACATGCCCCCCCGCACACGCCCAATCGACGCCCTCGCCTCCGCAGCAGCCAAATGCTCGAAAGAGGTACGTCCACACTTATCTAATCCCATCACAACTCAGGCCAAGCCTTCACTCTTGATTTTCCAAACCAACTAACCCAACCCCCCTCAAACAGAGCACAGTATACGGCAAATGCATCTTCACAGACTACAACAACGTCACAAAAGATAAATGCGCGGCCGAGTTCATGAAACTGAAGAGTTGTTATCTAGTAAGTAATCTTTATCCTCATCATGTTCCTGTGTATGTGTATTTTGGCAAGGGAGGAAATATTAACATATACGGCAGGCGGCTTATAAAAAGCGGTGAAAGGTTAGAATGATGAAATGTGATGGTGTGGCGAGGAAATGGAACCCGTGAAATGAGATAAGTGATGAGAAACGCAAAGAGCATGCAGCGGCGTTCATTACACATTTTTGGGGACTTTTGTTTGAATCTGATATCTTTCATTCATCTCATCTCCCATGTCACTTTTCGCCTCACTCGTTACGCCGAAATAAACCGCCAGCTTGACGTGATATGGACGACATTCAACTCTCCCACTTCATATCATCTACAACTTGACAAGCCTCAGCAAGAACGTCGCCTTGTGCAGTTCCTGTTCCTCCTCAACGATAGCCGTCTCGCCACTCTTCTCTTGAATCTTGCCCTCCACTTCCGTAACGGTATGCTTGTCGATGTTCCTCCGCAGCGCCTTCTCAAACAGCGGGCCCTGCTTCTCAAACGCCGCCTCCAACCCAACGCTGTCTGGATCACTTAGCACCTTGTACTGCATGCCCACATCGTCCGTAGCCACAAGGCCAGCCTTCTTGCGCAAGTCCTGTACGCGGCGGATGACTTCTCTCGCCAAACCTTCCTGCTCGAGCTCGGGGTAGCTGGCCACATCCAAGATGATGAGGACGTCGTTGTCTGTGTTGAACTCCTGGTCTTTGTTGGCATCGTCCTTGGCGAGTCCCCTCTTGACCATGAGATCCTCCGATTCAACGCGAATACCGTCGATGAGCAGTTCCCCGTTCTTCAAGAAATCCTTGATATCCTGGCTCTTGAGGTTGGGTAGCGCCTTCTTGACCTTGATAGCATCCTTCTTCAGCTTCTTGCCTAGCACTGAGAAATCCGCTGATGCTGAGTATTGCACATTGTACTTGTCCTCGTCGCTTGAAAGTACCAAGTCTCGCACATTCAGTTCCTCGCAGATGTAGTTTTCCAGGGACTTGATGTCGTCGAGGTACTGCTGCTCCGGGTGGATGACAACCAGCGCCTTCAGAGGAATCTTCAGGCCCTTATTGGCGCGGTCTCGGCAGATTCGACCGAGCTCAATGACCGATTGCATGCGCCTGACCTGTCGCTCAACAACTTCATCAAACAGCTCCTCGCGCACCTCGGGGAACGGCAGGAAGTGGACACTGCGGTTGTCCTCTGCCTGAAGCTCCTTGGGAATATGTGGTAGCAGTCGCAGATAGATGTTCTCGGTAATGAACGGTGTGAACGGAGCAAGACCGCGGCAGAGTGTGTAGAGGACCTCGAATAGGGTGTTGAGCGCATGTTTTGTGTCCTCCAACCCGTGCTCACCCTTCAACCGCCGGCGGTTGAAACGAATGTACCAGTTCGTTGTGTTGTCGATAAGCTGCATATGTTAGTAAGTGAACCGCGGATTAAAGAAATGTACTTACCTCCAATAGTCGGGGCACCACAGTGTACAGTCTGTATGCTTCCATTTCCGCATTGACAAACTTGAGAAGTGACTGACAAGACGCCAGAATCCATCGGTCAAACACGTTCTTGTTCGTCTTTCCGGCCTCTGCGTCAAACACAAAGTCGAGATCTGCTACCTTCTTCACCAGCGAAACCTGCTGCTCGAAGAACTGGTAGCTATTCCAGAGAGGAAGCAAGACCTTGGAAACAATCTCCTTCACTCCCGCTTCCTTGAAGCGAAGCGGCTCGGCACGGACGACTGGCGAGTTGATGAGGTACAGTCGCAGAGCGTCGGAACCATAGCTGTCCATAACGAGAGACGGGTCCGGGTAGTTCTTCAGGCGCTTCGACATCTTTTTGCCGTCTTCGGCAAGTACAATACCGTTGACAACGCAGTTCTGGAAGGGCAGTTTCCCGAAAAGATGTGTTCCGAGAACTGTCAGAGTGTAGAACCAGCCACGAGTCTGATCAAGGCCCTCAGCGATGAAGTCACCGGGGAAGGACTTCTCGAACTGTTCCACATTTTCGAATGGGTAGTGGCAGCTCGCGTACGGCATGGACCCCGACTCGAACCAGCAGTCGAATACCTCTGGTGTTCGTCGCAAGATGCCCCTGCCCTGCTTGCTGGGGATGGTGATATGGTCAACCTTGTCTCGGTGAATATCATCTAGGTCACCCTCGTAGCCACTGAGTTCCCTTAGTTCCTGGACACTGCCAATGCACACAATCTCCTTGCCATCGTCACTAACCCAGAGAGGTAATGGAGTACCCCAGAATCGATTTCGCGATACTGCCCAGTCATGCGAGTTTGTGATCCAGTTTGCGAAGCGCTTCTCTTTGACAAACGAAGGTACCCAGTGTGAGCCCGCAATGTTCTCCAGCATTTGTGGGATGATGTCCTGGACCTTGATAAACCAAGACGGTACTGTCCGGTAGATCAAAGGCGTATCAGATCGCCAGCAGTAAGGATAGCTATGCGTCAGCTGCGAGTCCACCACGAGCCGCCCTGTGCCTTTCAGGTGCTTGATGATGTTCCTGTCCGCCGCCTTGACATGCTGGCCCTCGAAATCGCGAACGACGGATGTGAAGCATCCTGCATCATCGACGGGGTTGGGCGGTGGCCGAGAGTCGCTGATGACGCCAGCTGCGTGGGCGACTCGGTAATCGTCCTCACCGTATGCAGGAGCCTGATGGACGATGCCCACACCGCTGTCTGCTGTGACGTATGTGTCGTTGAGGACCTTGAAGCCGAAGTCCTTGAACTCGTCGTAGAGGTAGTCGAAGAGGGGCTCGTATTTCAGTCCAAGCAGGTCCTTGCCCTTGAGCTTCTGCACAATCTTGAATTTGGCCTTCTTGGGGTCCTTGTACAGTGTCTTCAGAAGCGCTTCGAGGAGGATGTAGTGCTTGCCCGAGGGTTCATCGAGAATCTTGACATACTCGAAGTCAGGATGCGCGCAGAGGCCCGTGTTGGAGGGCAGTGTCCAGGGTGTTGTTGTCCTGCTGAGGGTGAGCGGGTGCCATGTCAAAGGAACTGGGGCGGACCTACCAGGCTAAAAGCTGTGTGTTGGGATCTTCGACCAGCGGGAAAGAGACGACGACGGCGGGGTCCTGGACGTCTTTGTAGTTTTGCGACGCCTCGAAATTGCTGAGTGGTGTTGCCAGGGCGGTGCTGTAGGGCATGACCTTGAAGCCGCGGTACACGGCGTTCTTCTCGAAGAGGCGCTTGAAGACCCACCATTCTGACTCCATGAAGCTCGTGTCCAGTGTCTTGTAGTCGTTGTCGAAGTCGATCCAGCGACCCAAGCGCTCAATTGTGTGCCGCCACTCACCCGAATAACGCATGACGATGGCCCGGCATTTCTCGTTGTACTTCGCAATACCCAACTCGCGCACAGCGTCGCGACCAGACATACCCAGCTCCTTGTCAATCTCGTACTCAATGGGCACGCCATGCGTGTCCCAGCCAAATCGCCGCTCGACATAGCGGCCCTTCATCGACCAGTACCGAGGGATGATGTCTTTGATGGTTGACGCCAAGAGATGGCCATAATGGGGGAGTCCGGTGGCAAATGGTGGGCCATCGTAGAAGGTGTACGGCTGCTTTCCTTTGGACTGTGCGCGTACATGTTAGTTATCAAGTCAAGACGATATGCACCACCCGCACCAAGTCGGCGCGTGCTTTCGAGTCAAACTGATGTAAAGCTACAACGCACCAGCTCAACCTGTCGCATAAATGCATCAATCTCCTTCCATCGCGCGAGAACGCGCTCTTCCTCCTTGGGAAAGTCGATGGACATTGTGGTGTGGTGTGTTGCTCGAAAGCTGCCCGTGGTGGGGGTGCATCTTTTGGGAGTCAGGAACGTAAAATCACCCCGCGCCTCACATCACGTAATCACGAGGAGTGAGTCAACCCACAACTTCGACCCGCCAGCTCTCTAGACGCGACCATCACCGACGAGGCTGCCACCATTAGTGCTACGACATACTGTTTCGGTCACGTTTTGAACGCTTTACGCAATGAGGGGTCGGTTCAGATCGTGAGAAATGGTCACTGCCTCAGAACAGAACGTTCCTGATTTCTTCAACTTTCATCACTCCACATCTTGCATTGCGTCTCAAATTTCGTGGTGTTCTGTTCGTTGTCTGATTTCTTTTGTCGCTTTAATTTTTCTCACCTGCCAATTGTATGAGGTGCACGGTTTACGCTCTTCCAGCATTACATAACCACACAGAAAGCAGAGAAGCGCCAAAAGGCGTTGGATGGGCATCTGGTGGTAGGAATTCTGCATAAAGAAATGGATAAAGCAGTTACGAAAGCTTGTAGAGGGTGCTGAGGTCTAACACATGAGGTACACATCAACACTGTTCCAACGAAATTGTGTATGCAAGAGATCAGGACACGGCAGAACACGACGCTGCAGCGAACTAATGCAGTTGGGTTCTACAAGCCTCGTCCTCCCCAGCACCATCATCTTCTACTATGCCGACAAGCAAACATACCTCATGGATAATAATGGCACAGTTCCTCTGTCGACAAGGCTTCAAGTGTTATGTTCGAGGAAGATACACACATCCCGCCAGCAATACCTATTTTTTGCTGGATCAGGTAACTGGCGGAGAGCAGTTCAGCTGTTTGAATTTTCTAGGCATGCCACTTGGACAAAGCCTCATACTTACCCTACCAGCTTGGCTCCAGGAAGGCGAGATTATGTGGTAGCAAAGTGCTTGCGCCAGGTCACCATCTCACATACAGTTCACCATTGGCGAATAGCATTCCCGTACGAGCCGTGCCGCGCCGCTTACACTGTACTTAGTTACCCCGCATCTTCACCGGCACCAGCCCAGATCGTGTGAGAGTTCACTGTGCTACCACGCTAAGTGTTCGTGCCTATCACGGCATGGCCCGAGTTGCTTGGGTAATCCTACTCAGTCTGACTGCATAGCCTCATGGCTCAATTTACACTCATGTCTCGGCACCACCGTCAATGGTGTGGAGTATATGCATGCACATCGTACCCGCTGTATCGATTTTCGATCCATGGATGCCTTACCGCAAAGTTGCACTGCGAGTTGATGGGTAGATCTGGTAAAGGTTTTTACAAACATGTTTCTTTTTGATACCTATGTCTTACGTTGATATCATCAATCCTTGGATAGAACGTCGTATCAATTTCAAGCCATTCGGTGTAAGGCTGAAGCCAGCAAGGCTACATCGAGACCACCACCAATACATGCATGCAAGTCAAAAGCCTCGATACTGAAGCCAGGGAATGCCTTGCCACAAAACTCTAACGTGACTGGTGTAGATGTCCAGTTCAACCGTTTCACTCCACAAGCGGAATGTGGAACCAAGGGACTGATGGCTTCATCAGTCCATATGTGCAGAACCACTATGCGTGTATGCTCCGTGGATGCAAACTAAGCTTTCAATAGTTGATGAACAATCATTGATCAGAGTGCGGACTCTCAGCTGGCTATCCACTCTCGAGTACCGTCCTATCAACTTGTATGGCCCCGGATGGAAACTCATCGTCTTCATCCAGTCACAGATATAAGTACTAGGTTTCTCTTCGACTTTTCACGACTTGCATCTCCATCGGTTTACGAGAAACCTCCCACAACTATCTGGCACTTTCCTAACATGCTCATCTCAACATCCGTCTTCGTTGCCCTCCTCGCATCTCTCGCGCATGGCGCCGCAATCCCGGAGCCCCAAGGCGGCATAACTATCCAGGAATTCACAAGCATGACCGCCTGCACCGACACTTATAATGGTGGAGCCTGCAAGACATGGAGCATCCAAACCCAAACGCAGTGCAGTATGCCGCCACCCAAACACTCCAATCTCCCAATACATCGCTTCTAACTCCCAGTAGTTGGCCTCTCAGGCACGGACTGGAACGACGTCATCAGTTCCATTCAGGTCCCGAACGGTTTCCGCTGCCGTCTTTGGAGGTATGTCATCGATCACATGTGCCGGTCGACAATTTAGGCGTGGGCTGATTGTTGTGTAGCTCGAATGTGTGCAATGGCGATAGTACACCCGATATATATGCACCGGGCGCAGGCCAGCTTCCAAATAGCATGAACGACAAGACTACGAGCTTCAAATGCTATAGGAACTAATGGGTGATAATGGGGGTTCCACAATCACAGTTCCTCATTGAATGGGTGTGGCTTCACATGTGTGCCGGCCATAGCGGAGGGCTTGATTCGTGTCAAGATGAAGTGCGAACAATGACGGCAGTAGGTAGAAAATTGAAAAAGTAAATAAGATCACGTCATGATGTAAGATGCTGCCATTGTGTCAAGAAATTGCAGATGTTGCGACGCGTGGAAAGCGTTGGCTTCCTAAGACCCAACATCAGTCAGCCCTCTACTCACCGGACTACATAGCCCGATCTTTCCGTGTAGATTTCCGACTGAATGGGACCCAGCATCAGAGAAATGTTTTTCATATCTTGTTTACACAATGTGTCTAACGATTGTCCATTCCAGAATATCCATATTTGGGGTTTTACCATTACTGGAGATGCAGCCCTGTCTGTGTTGATAAAGTGTTTTATCAGAAACCACCTTGAGTATCTATACTGTCTTGTCATGTCCAAATGTAATTGCGTTTACATACATTCGCGGTTCATTACGGGGTGACGTTGCAAGTGTCTTGAAACACAATTTAATACATTCTTAGCTCGTTGTTGCTGTTTGTTCGATCATGGTACTCAAGCTATTTACGCCACAGATCGGACTTGTTGGGCTTCATTCGGGATCCCCCGACTCTCCTTCAACTTCTGCAATCGTTCCGCTTCCTTTTTCTTCATCTCTTCTTGAATCTTCATTCGCTCAGGCACAATCATCTCTCTCTTACCTTCTATCTTCCACCCCTCAAGTCGGTCCTTTCCAAGTGCCCTTAATGTCTTGCGTTCCACTGCGCTATAATTTCCGTCCTCTCTATCAAATGAGAATGGTTCTCTCACAGACACTGGCGGATTTGTGATCACTCTGACCTTCCTGTGTTGGTTGTTGCTCGCCGAATGCAGCATCAACGGATGAAGCAGATACACGTCTCCGACAACGCCAGTCGCCTCCACAAACGCCTCATCAGGCATGTTCTTCGCAATCTGATTGAACCAGTCTAGTCCTTGCTCTGGCTTCATCTCCGGATTCTCCCTTCTAGGTGTCATTCGCGGACTTACTCCTTCTCTTTCTTTCTCCAAGAGTCGGGCCACCGGCTCAATCGCTTTGGGGCAAATCATTGTACCTCCTCCACCTTCGACAATGTCGCTCCACAATGGAATCACGAGAAGCCCTTGTTCCGGTGAGTCAAGATAATGTACGAAAAAGTCGCCGTCAACGTGCCAGTTGTATAGCTTTTGAGGTTTGACAACTTTGTTGTGGCCCTGAGGCGTCCCGAGATTTACTATGAAGCCGTCTTTCCAGGTCAAGGCACCCTTGATCCGAGAAGCGCCTCCAAGAAGGGAGCACATGCCTGCCCAAGCGCGTGGGGAAAAAGTCGAGACATCAAACTCTCGGAAATGAGGCATGTGTATGCGTTCACTGTTCCTGCTGAATGTCAAAATCACGTCTACAGGTCGAACATCGACACTATCAGTGCTCGAGAAGGAATGAAGTCGTACCATGTTGACATATCGTTGGGATCCATACCAAGTCGTGTCCATAGTGTGGACTGGATATCGTCGGCTTGCTCCTTTGTGAAGCAGTTCGACAGTTTGATATAACCATTTTCCACGAAGAAGTCGATCTGGTCCTGTGAGAGCGCGTACTGTTCCTCTACGTTTGCCATGATGCTCGGAGATGGTAAGGTATGGTATAAGTTGAATCACTCAAAGAAACACGATGAATATAGTTAGCACAACAGGTTTTACATCCTTTTATACCACTCTAGCCGTAGGTATTCAATAACGGATATGCTTTCCTCGATGTCTTCGTTGACGCCATTTTCACCAAATTACCCGGCCTCGAGGTTAGACGACTCACGTGGCGGAGCGGGGCAATGACTTGCATCGCGAACTTGCCGATCTTGGCGATGTGGGCGTCGCTGAGGATAGTGATAGGTGCATAAAGTCCGCAGACGGCGTGATAGTGGCGTTGGTTCAAGAACCCGGAGATAATTCTGTTTGAGGGCAGTACTCGTCGTGTTGGTACCTAAATTTTGTTAGAGGAAGCACATGAATATATGGCATGTACATCTGAGCACGCGGGAACGCTATCGAGCACATCTTTCCCTTCGCACCTTCAATGTTGAGTTGAAAGTCATTGCGACGAGTTGGAGCCAGCATATATCACTATCGATCTGTGTAACAGCGGTGTGAAAGCGAAGCGTTTGTGTGATATCAAACTTCAGCTGAACCTGAACTTAGTCTACCAGATAGGCTAGCTCAAAAAATCATTTCATGTACCAAAGGTCGTAGCTGAACTTTCAAACAACCAATACTGCCTTTAGTAGTCGATAAAGAAAGCGACCCGATCAGCTGACTGCAGCAACGTGAAACACACTGCTGGTCTTGATTAGGCAGATATCTGTTACACCGACAAATATTGAAAGTAAGAACTTGCCAGCCTGCCTTATTATCCCATGGCATGAATCTCGGCGGCTGCACTGTTGTACTTTGCAGCGGAGGGAGACGTTGCGTTGCGTTGGAAATTTTCCTTACATTGAAATGAGATTTGACCTCCAGCAAATGGTAACGTGCGGCACTAGACTTTTCTCGTGCAACGGTGGTCTGGTTGTGATCTGTCCAACTGCCGTCTGAGATACCGGATACTGAGGACATGTAAAGCAATGAGACGGAGAACGACGGTGCCCGCCGTGGGATCAAGAACCCTCCATCGCCATCAATCGCTGAAGTCGCGGAGATAGTCATGTATGCATTCATGTAGACATAGGCCATGTAGCGGGATTTGTTTCAAAGGTATCGGAAGCCGAAACCACGGGCACTGATTACCGCATCCTGCATGGTATTGGGCAATGCCATAAAGTGGACTTTGATCAAGCTGTCGTTGTACATGGCCTGCTTGGTCGTAACAGGTCGAGACTTACCCCAGACACGGCTCAGTGCAACATAGCATCCTCGCTTTCATCGCATCTGTTTTTCCACAAGACGTACCCTATGTTCAAAGGCTTCCACATGCATGCTTTCAGTGATAAGTTCGACTTCTCTCTCCCTGTATGTCACCCTTAATCTTGCACCTTCATCATGTGCCTCCCCGGCAAACTGGACTTCAGCTTTCATACATCCTATCCGATATTTCTCATGGCCTCACGAACAGGCTTCGACCTACCTCTTCATTAGCCTCAGCACACATCGACGTTGGAATCCTCAGACAGCGGCCGTGTCACAATAACTTCTGCAGCAGCCCAGATCTCTTCGGCTTCAACGCCCAACTATTTGGCCGGCACATTATACTACACCAACTCATCCCGAATGTCTTATCTTTCATCGACCCGCATATGATAATACGTGATTCGGCATTTTCTTCTCTAGGCACACTGTGTTCGTTCATGCACATGTTGATAAAAGTATCGTTGATGAGTTGGTAAACACCCTCAACATGCGCACGATGATATTTCATCTTGAAACTGTGTTCATCAGCCTCGAGAACGTAAACTATCATATGGCGCAAAGAATATGGTCACGTTAATGTTCGGAGACCTTCGACGTATCAGTGAACTAATAGCAGACCCAAGTCAGGAGCATTTCTGGCGCAGGCGGTGTGAACGGCTACTTTGTACGCGACATCTTTAATCAAGAGATTCTGATATCACCTTATCCTAGAAGGACGTGACGCGTTTAGTCGTGATGTTCGTTCTTTTTTCAAGGGCTGGATCATCAATCGTCGCTTGAAGAGTTTTCGCGACGCGGGGGTTTCGCGACGCGGGGTTTCGCGACGCAGGGTTTCGCGACCCAAAGTCTGACGACTGAACCCAAACTCGACCTTGATTAGCGACTGCCTGGGCTCTTGAACGCGCGTCTGTGATGAGGAGTTGAGGAGAAAACTGTGAAAAGACGATCAATTACCGTGGTTGTTGTGTTACTATTACTGCGTACCCAAACGGGCAAGGTTTTAGCTCCCATGCTGCGTTAGAACAGCAGGATCCCACCCTGTAGCGGTCGTCGGCTTCTACAATAAGCATGTATATCCTGAAGATCAAGAAGATCCAAATGTTATAGTTGGTTCAAATGTGCTTAGTATCACTTGTTGAGCAAAGAGTTTTCACGACTCCGACCAAGTCTCAATACCTGAACCAAACCTTGATCACCGCGCTCACATCGGCACGTTGCGCAGCCACTCGTCAAGAGAAACAAGTTCATCTTGCTGTGGTTCTGGGGGTCATCCCCGTTGATCCTCGGCGATATGGACCCTTCTCTTCGCAATTCGGCATATGAATTCATGGCACGCGATCTTCGAACCAAGCCAGCTTTGCCAAACCCGCAATTAACCACATAGCCATCTAAGGACCCGAAAGTTATAAAGGTAGTGCCTTGCATGGACTTGTTTCCTATCCATCCACAACAAGACCGATACCTCAAGCTCATCCACAATGAAGCTCTACCTCTCCCTTGCAGCAATTTCGATCCTCCCCTGCGCCGTGGCTATGCCACTCAACGCAAGAAGCAAGATCGATGAATTCATCAACAAATGGGACGCCGCATTCACTAGCAAGCCCAAGTTGAACGAATATCATACCATGGCCGATTGGTGAGGAAGCATTTTGTGTCTTGGAGATTATATCTGACTAGTCTGCAGCATGGCAGACATGGACCGGATAACACACACGAGACCGATGAAAGATGTCTGCTACAATCTCAGGAATGAGACTGGTGCCTTCTTCTACAACACTGGAACGTTCGTCCTATCCGGTGGTAAGCTTACCTCTCCTCTACTTTGAATATAGTATACTGACAAGTTCCCTCAAACAGTGCACGTTGGCATTGCATGCACTGGCGTTGCGATGACTATAGTGGGTCATGAATGTTTGCCAAGGGATTCTTTCCAGTCTTTTGTTATGACGGGAATCTGCAACGATGGTGTTTGCTCTTAGTAGTAAATCCTGAACAGAGCCGAATTGACGGTATTCGGTAGTCTAATCTTGAAAACTCTCCACCCTCTCGAACTTGACACAACCCTGTCTTATAACTTACGAAATATAACTATATAAGATGGGTCTCCTTCGTCCCTTTATTCTAGTTTCAACAACGCAGCACAACCTTTCCAGAGACTGTAGTGTTTGTGACCGTCTCCTTTTACACTAATTGTTCACTCTTGTTCATCTAGGTTCGTACACAGTGTTTGTAATCTGTGCTACAACCGTTTCTTGAAGATTTGATCGGCTTGCAGAGTTGATAACCCAACAGGAAATGGCATGGTTAATAAGCAGCGGGCTTTTACCGACGTTATGAGTCCTCTACTACTCAGCGCAAAAGTACGGCATGGTGATCCCAATCTGGTTCTCTGGAATGAATATATACTCAAATCAGAAGCTTGTTTGCTCAAAGTATGAGCTGCGCGCAGTTTGAGAATAACATCACTTGAACGAGAAGGTTGATACTGCACCCAGCCATCGCATGATACACTGTCCGGATTGAGAATGCACTGTGGCAGTGCAAAGTTGATTGTTGGCTTGCCACATCACACTTGGGGGTGGCTGAGCCAGAACAATGAGTAAAGCGCTCCATCAAAACAACTGAGTATAACGGTCCATCAAATTCATAACCACATTCATCTGGTAATTGAGCTATTCCAACTGAGGTCCTCTCCTGACGCAATCGTTCAACTTTTCTGTAACGATAAGTGCATTTGAGAAGCAAGGAAATGTCGTCCTGTTTCTTGAAGGCCTTGGCCAATGTCAAGAAGGGCACAATCACGCAACAAGAGTACATCAGTTGCCTGGTGTCACACTTTCGGGGGGTCCGCCATTCAGATGATAGCGTTCCCAGTATCCGAAAACCATTGACAAGTTTCGAACCGTGGGCAGCCTCGCTTCGTGAGTTGGCCCTGGCCACCAATTATAAGCCGTTGGAAGGTAAGCTGGTTAACACCGCTTTGCACCAGGTAGCAACTAAAAGACTTTTAGATACCTCTGAGTACGAACAGCTGTTTATAACTTGTCTCGAAGGTCAACTTGATGAATTCAAGTCTGCTTTGCAAACCTTACGCAGTCGGTCCTCGCAACCCGATCTGCTTCAACCTGCCGCCTGTCTTGCGGCGCAAAAACAACATCTCGAAATACTACGGTACTGCCTTGAAGAGGGTGCGTTGTTCGACGTATATTTGACTCGAGCGTCTCAAATGGGTGCGCGCGGAAACACGACGATTCTGGAGTTTCTGCTCGCAAAAAATTGGGCAGATATTCAACGCTCACCGGAGGCTATGGAGGAGCAGATTAAGCACTTTGGAGATGATAGCATGGAAGCGGAGTGGTTGAGGACGCATGCCGGGAAAGGTGCAATCGTAGAAAACCCACTCTCGCCGTCTAAGGCAAAGGCAAAGGTGAACAAAAATGGGAAGAGTCAGGGAAAAGGTAGTTCTAAGGGGAACGGAGATCCGAATCAAGGACATACCCCCGAACAAATTCAGAGATGGTTCGGTGACGTGCCTTGGTGAGGGAGAATGTGGCAAATAGGAGTCTGACAAGTTCATTTTGTAAGCGTAGAGTTTGGAGTTATTGATTGTGCCCTCCGCACGCTAGGATCACTACCGTATCAATATATCTTGCACGTATGCTTCAATTTTAGTCGACGGTACTACATAAACTGAGATTTAGTCCGGAGACAATATTACCGGTGTCCATTTGACCCACGACGGAGAAGTCTACTAGATCATTACACTAACTATAGATGTCTCTTACATCACCTTTCGCTCACTCAACCATTTTCTCTTACACAAGTTATTCCTCACCTTCCAAACCTGAGGCGTCGGAGACTAAGACCTATAGTGCCGCTTCCATTGTGGCAGCGAGGAAGGGATGTTTAACCATCGACAAAGTCCTTTCGCCGGATTCCAACGTATCATGCCCTCTTGGTCCAGGGGCGTCCCTTCAACTTGTGGTTTGATATCTCTCTGTTTCGCGAGATCAAGGTTACACTCGTCCTTTGAATGTTATAACATAATAGATAGTAGCTAATATGTACGTCAAGATATCTGCGGTGCGCTCGTTGAGAGCCCTTTCCAGGAGGGATAGTAGCCTGAACAGTCCACCAAGGAGCCTCCTGAGGAAAGAGGAAGAGGTCATGCTATGAACATGAGAATAAGTGTTTGCTCGTGAGCAAAGTCCCTGCTAGGAGCGGATTAGGGGGGGTTGCGAGTGGCCAATGATACTGATTCACTGACTGGCGATAGGATATCCCTGAATTGGGCGATAGTCACAGTCGATGCAGGCGAAGAACACAACACTATAACACACGTTGAACCTGGTAAAGAAGTGACTGATTGTCACCAAAACAGCCCCGATTTGAACAATGCAAACGAATCAGATTGTGCTAGGCAAGATGGCGATCTCAACGTTGCTAGCATACACATCCTCAAGCGTATGGGAAGCTTGTGGGATGGTGAGTTGCTTCCAGCAGAGCCAAGCAACCTGTTCCAATATCTTCGAAGCGATATTGCTAATGAGAACGGCCCATCTTCTGGCGAAATCTGTGTGACCTCTCGTTGCCCTGATTTCTATTCAAGAGACGGTACTGGGGTTGGTCTTGGTCTGCATAGCCGTATCACCCAAGTTGGGCCTACTGGAAGCCCAGCCTTGTGCACAAACCACCTCAACGATGAGAGTGGTAATCATGGCGCACATTCTCGGGGAAGAGCAGTGTGACTGTTCCATCCAATCAGATGATTTATCTCTTCTTCCAAGAACACATATAGAGAATATGACGAACAGACCAATAACGAGAAAGCCAAGAAAAGCCACGAGTATAAATAGGTTGATGATGTGTCAAGTCGATCCTCGATGAAATTTGTGATGAAAGTAAGGGCAATAATTGCTGAGTACTAGATGAAATAGCTCAGCCTATCATGAGCTTCCTAAAAGACGCGACGAAACGTAACAGTTACGACAAGATTAAGAACGTTAACATCGTCTCAGGCATACTGACTGCCCGAGTCCAGTAAGGATTGCATGAATCGATCTCACTCACCACAGACTCATCTCCAAGAGTAGAATATGGAGTTAAATACAGCTGATGATAGGTCCACTGCGGACACAAGTTATAAAATGATCGATATAACGCATTGTCATGTGATAGGGGGTTCGTCGATTGTGTCGGTCATTGTCTACCTCCGAGACCCAAGCCTGACTCCCAACTAACTAGCTCTGCATCATAAATCCCTCACCGGAGAGAGCCGAATTATCCGTATGATTCAGTTGTTGTGTGTTACATGAATGCTGCCAGGTTGAAACAAGAACGTTGGATTGTACATTAGTCAAAAACTAAACAGCACCCAAGCACTATCACATACACAGAACAGAATGCCCTCCTACTACGACCCCAACTACGACCCCCGATACGCTTCTGAAGTCGGCTGCTACTCCTCACGCGACCAGCATAGTTCCAGGTGCATCATGCACGGGCCACAAGCACTACTCGGATTCCCCGCGCTGCTGTACTTGTTTGCTGGAAGGATGGGTGTTGATGTTGTGTAATGAGATTTTTGACTTTATCGGTAATCACACAGGGGTATCGTAGGACAATAGCGTATTTGTTTCGCTGGTGCAAATACATACTGAAGAAATCGGCTTGCAGAGTCTTGGGCGTCAACCAGCTCTGAATACAAATGTCAAACCGTGGCTCGAGTCCCATTTCATTTCCGAACACACAAGGATCTCGGGCTCGACCTGAACATATTGAGTGGACGTAGATCTTGAAGTAAGTGGGGATCAGAGACTTGTCGATGTCGACGCGGTTTCGACGATGAATGGCTGTCAAGGTCAACATCAACGTCCCCGTGGCAAGTTCCCATTTCAGCGCCATTTATTTGCTTCATTCGTTGCCGCCTTTGCCGCCTCCATCAACTTGATCTTTTCAGCCTAACGCTGCTCTTGCGTTGCCACAGTGTGCCTAGAATGCTTGGATCTCATGAGTGTCTAAGTATTCAGTCACACGACTGTTACCGTCATTGCCAATCAGCTCAGATCAAAGTCAAAGTTTCCAAATTTGCTCCGTCCGTCCAGAAGCGAGAAGAAAGACTTATCGGCGTCCTCCGCTGTACCTCTGTTGTGGTCCAGAGCACATCAATTACCATGCCAGAAACCGATTCCCTTCTAAGTATCACCAGGAATGAGACACAGGTCACGAGAAGTACGTATCATCGTAATTGAGGCAAGTCCCAAACTTTCTACTACGAAGACCAATAACAAGATTGCTCCTGAGCCTTCAGAGATCATTTGAATAACTAGCGTATACGTACAGGTTTCATGTTCTAGTCTACTTCGCCACGTGCTCCATCATCTGTCATGGGGTTACCTGTAACATGGAAGGTGGAGTGAAGGGACTTATATGGTTCACTTTGGCTCACTTTGGCTCACTTTGACTCTCCATCCCACAAAACTCCTGGAATATGGTGTCGACCTATGCGTCACATTAATATGATCAGGGATCCACGCATGGTAGCAATAAGCGAGTGGGGAGCCAAAAGCGGGTGGCACGGCTTATGGTGGGGCAGCAGGCAACTACGAGATACCACTTCATACTTGAAACCTCTCACTACTCTCGCCGACTCTTACAATTACATTCTTGAAAAGCATAGCGTACATTCCAGAACTCGGTATAATGGCTCAGAAAAAAGCGGACTTCATCAAAGTGCCCACCGGGCCAAGCGGCTTCCAAACAATGCCCGTGGAGCCTGACAAACGCCTTCCTGACTCAGAGATCAGTATTCGAATGTGTAATGAGGGTGACGCCGAAAAGATTGCAAGTCTCCTACCAAAAGATTATGACCATTCTATGCTAACAACGTGCAAAGGCAGAAGGACTTTACGTGTGCTTCCCAGAGGATTGGTGGGCGGCGAAAGAGCCCCTCGAGCTCCGTCCACCTCAGCAAATTACGCGCGTCCAGCGCCTAGCCAAGCGTCTACGTCCTTCCCTCACTACCCCGTATATGAATTGGGTAAAAGCAGTTCTCACTTCCACTGGCGAGATGGTCGGCGTCGCCGGGTGGCAGTTGCCCACCAACCCGGACGTTCACAACATCTTCCGCCGTAGCGCAATCGAGCACTACGGCTGGAAAGACTCCATGGGCTGGACCGACGAGGAGATTGAGGAGATGTGGGCGCATGTCAGTGATGAGCATTGGAACGTTTCGTTTGCAGCAGTTGATGGGATCCGGCGCGAAGTGATGGGTGACGAAAAGCATTGGTTTCTGGCGCCGCTGCTTACCTGGCCTGAGTACCAGGGACGGGGCGTGGGAAAAAGGCTGATGAACTGGGCCATGGAGCAGGCAGACGCCACAGATCCAGTCACCCCAATGTACTTGGAGAGTAGTCCATCAGCTAGAGCGGTGTACATGCATTGTGGGTTTGTGCCGCAGGGGACTTACAATTTCGTAAGGAGGGGTCCAGCAATTGTAAAGGGATTAGACACAGGCGAAGAAAACGTACAGAAGGATAAGGAGAGTACGTAGAAAGAAATACGTCGAAAGCAAATGTTACATTTCAAAGGACATTCGCTAAGAGATCTTAGATAGACGTAAGAGTAAGGGAACTTCTGGTATAGCTCATGAGGATGTTGAGTCTATAGCGCCTAAATACGCGCTCCCTAGCTGCAACTGTTAGGTAGGATGCATAAATGGGCCGACATAGCGTACATGCAGGTATACTTTACGATCCCATGGTGTTACAGCCTCGGCATCAAGCTTACACATACGCAGAGCCTAGAAGGGGAGAGATCGCCCTGCAATTTTGGACGTTACACGGTGAAATTGAAAAGCATTAGTACATTGCTTGTTTATTGTTGCTCCTGCGAACGTGGTTTATCAATCGAATATGATAGTACACTATGCTATACCTAGCCGGTTATGGAGCCTTTTGTCCAAGGCATTAATATCACAAGTATTCAACCAGTGGATTAGATACGAACTTGATACATACACTATTTGAACTGCTACTTTATGCTTACTCTGCCACCGCTTCGTTGGTGTTCAGAGCGACACCCGAAATGGTTCCATACCCCGGTTCACGAAATACCATACCACAGTGTCTAATGTGGGCTTCAGTATCTGACCTCGGCTCGATGATCTTGCCGTTTGACCTCGTACGATGTAGCTTTAGCCAATAGTAGAAGCAGTGTGTTTGGTGCCAGTCTTTGTCCATGTGCGCGCGCTTGGAAGGGTCGTCTCCTATTGCTGCAACTTCAAACACGTTCATTTCCGCGGTGTGCTGAGTGTCCGCGTAGTAAATCCAAGTTCCGTTTGGACCTGGACACGCTGATCAGTATATGCTTCTGAGCACGTCTTGAGGTCAAGGTTCTTGCCTTTTCCGGTCGTGTCGAACTCTGCTGTAAGTTCGTCGTCTCTACAGTGCTCCGGCAACCAAGCCATTGACAACGCGTCGAATTTGCATCCCAGTGATATGGCTTCTGCAACTGACTCTCCGCAATCGCAGCCTTCTGCTATGTCACCCTGAGTGGTGTAGGCTCTGGGGTCATGTCGATAGGCTACGGACAACTCTTGAACAATATTGATGAAGCCCCAAAGTGCAAGCAAGTAAACGAGTAAATTCCCCAGAACTTTCATGTATTGGTGAACTTGTTTTGCTTTTGGATAGGCCTTTGCCTGTCGCCAGTGTGTGCATAGTTGCCATGAACGTGGAATCCGAGTCGCTACTGATGTCACATCTTCCTCGTCCTCAATTTCATTTGCAAGCCTAGAACGGTAATATGTCAGCTCTACATCAATTATATAATATACCATTACTTACAAGCTGTACTTGCTGTCCATTCCTTCCCCCGTAAATATTCGTGCCTAGCGCGTAGAGTATGAAAGGTTTAGTGAAACTGTGATTGTTTGTTGAAGACTCGATTAGATCTGAGTTATATCCTACCGTCAGATCAATGAAAGATGTTGGGGCCACTGAGAACTCTGGTGAAGTGTACGATAATACTAATGACTCAAGCTTATCTCGACTATAAACATCCTCCATCGGCGATTTGGTATATAATACGATCTACCGCACATTGCCACAACTGGCAGAACGTCTGACATGAGCAAGATGTCCGAGTATCCCTCGATCTGACCTGGATTCATTTATAGTCTGGTTTTATTGGTTATAGCCGCTGTCTTATGACGTTGGTCCGAACCTAGTACGGCTCAGGTTATCATTGTGCAGCATTATGAATTACTAATGGCCTGAACCAAGGTCATATTGTCAGTACTGGTGAGGGTTGCATCCACGCCTTGCTATCTGTCTGACAAAGTGTGGGGACCTCTATGCGAGGCGTAAGCAGTACTGCGGGAGCCTGCATTTAACCTTGCTACCGGCACATGTGCCCCGTAGGATAGTATCTTGCCCCTTGCCAGGTCTCAAGAAGCTTGCAGGGAATTCTAACTCGAAACTTCCAGTATTTGTGGTCCAACCCCCATCCATCGCCGTCCTACATGCAACACGAAATCCCAGTCGATAGTAGCAAACACTCATTGGGCAGAGTCACATCAGATCCCTACCGAGGTCAGCTGCATATCTTTCTCACATTCGGCCATTTCTATGTGTTATCCAACAATGCCGTTATCGGGCGTAGCGGCTCTGGGTCAGCTTCGGAGGGGGGGACTGGACATTGAAGCACGGATGCAGCGACATTTCCATCTCCCTCACAATCCCAGCTCCAGAGAAGTGGTCAGAGAACCAGTTTTATCCGTCATCATCAAGCGCTTGCCCCCTCAGCATTTCTTCGAAGTTCGCTAAAACTCGTTTCCCATCTGGAATACCTGTCCATCTTCCCAATGACTTCTCAGGGTGAATATACCAAACTTTCGAACTCCACGGAACTGGAAGATGGCACCGCCATCGAGGAGTCACAGTGGGACACTGATGTTCCAAAAAGACCGGTACCAAGACGATGGCTTCGCTTGCAATATCTTTCAGTATTCCTCGGCGGCATATTGATCGGCGTTCTACTTAGCATCATATCTATACCTTTGGGAAATGCAGTTTCGAGAGGTATGGAGAGGGCTCGCGAGCGCGCACTATACAAGGAGGCCAAAGACATCAATGAGTACTATGGCATTGTGCAGCAGCCTGTTGCAAACGATCCTATCTGCGGCAGCAATCGCCATGAAGCGAAAGCCAATGGTTGTCGTTACGATCTCATGGCATCTCGGTAAGTGAACACAATGATAAACACTCTAAGACAGGCCAAACCTGACTCACTGACGTTCTAAAGGTGGTACCCAGACGCATGCTTTCATGAGGACGTTCTGGTGCATTTCTTGAAAGAGGTCGATTTCGACTGGTACAGAGATCCAGAACACACCGACCTCGTGTCTGTTGAGACGGCTCTTGCAGGTGATTACGACAAGCTGTACCCACTCTACGACTTCCATATTATCCATTGCCTATACCAGTTCCGTAGACTGCACATGGCGATCATCGAGCATCGCCAGATTGACGACGACGTCTTTAGCTACGGACATACTGTTCATTGCACCAAGCTTATCATGCAATGGCCGACGGAGATCAAATACGGCAAGAACACTACTACGCAGTCTCCGTCGGATGTTTCGTACTGCATCAAGCCGTTTCTTTGAGGGATAGCAATGAGCGGAAGCTGTCAAAAGTATTGTAGTGTGAGAGAATAGTGGATATTGGCTGTTTAGGAGGCTATTGTCATTACTCAGTATAGTAACGTACCTAGTTTTGTTCCTCGCCACCTAGAATCCAACAATGCACGTCTGTATACCATTCTGAGATACTGCAATAATATGTCAGCAGCGAACAAGTCCTGGATCGCATGTTGAATATCATCAGGCAATGATTACGAAACCTCCTCCTTTGCAGCCTGGACGAGAAGTGACGAACTCGGCTACAAAAAGCACTCACGGGATGGGGCTTGAGCTCGAGCTCCAGCGTAACCGCGCAACAAGCCGTGATGTGATAACACTGCATGGTCAGGTTTCCGTCAGGAGTGCAGCGTAGTATCTACTAAGGGGGCCCCGCTCGTCGGCGGTTCTCACAGGCTACATACAGACATGTTTCAATGTACAGGTTCAAACTATCGTTTGAATGATGTGGATGAGTTGGGATGATCTATCGATATTTTAGTGTTGCTCATAAGCTGACTGCATTTAGCCACATACGCCCTGTTCAACCTGCCCGTGAGAGAAACTTCCTCTCGTCCTATATGCGTGTAGCGCTGATTAGGCGTCCCGCTAGACTTTCAACCCTGCCGCAAACCTAGTATTTGGATGCGGAATTACCCATAACGGCAGAGACTCCGTTGCTAACCCAACGTCTGTGCGTAACTTCGATCGCACGACCGCACGGCCGCACGACCATTTCTCGTGATGGCCCAAAACCCATGTAGAAGCATCGAGTCTGACCTTGCACTAAGGTAGAAAGGACACGCAATTTACGATGATGGATCCACGTCAATCTGACGGATACTGGAGGCTAACATCCAAGTTGTATGCCGCTTATGGTACACTCTCCCCCCCACCGAGGAGTGGAACCGTTCAACATACTTTCTTCCTTAAAGGCACGATCACCACCACTTGCTTCAATTTCCAGCACATTTTCTCAAGTTCCACCGATCATTGTCATCATTATCATTGTCGCTTAGCCATAACTTCAATATGAAGAATATCGCCATCATCGTTTTTAGCTGCATGGCTATGCAGTCATGGGCTCTTCCTGTCGAAGGCCGCGCTGTTGCTGTCGGCCCTATCATCGAAGAAGCTGGCGAGGGCTACGAGAGCAAGCGTGCGGTCGCTGTCGGTCCCATCATCGAAGAAGCTGGCGAGGGCTACGAAAGTAAGCGTGCTGTCGCTGTTGGTCCGATCATCGAAGAGGCTGGCGAGGGATACGAGTCTTAAAGGGTAAACTCCGAATTCCTTAGAGATGTTCAAGAACGTCTGTATGCTAATCTGCGCCTGTATAGGTGTTAGGGTTCACAGAACCTGGAGAGCGGGTTGACTCCTAGAAAAGAGTTGGTATCAGCATCTTTTGAAACACTTTTTAGTACAGTTGAAATTGGTTCTTAGACCGACGTGGTTGCAGATAGCGGAATATAAAGCTCGTGCAGAGTTTTTTTGCACCATTGAATCAAAGCAGTCACGAATCCAACATATTCGCGAATACTCTTACGTACCATCCAAAATGCAACCTGAAATACGATACCTAGATATGTCGTTTGAACGTAGACAAAGCAGCATTTACAAAAGTCTGAATAAACCCACCTATTTGACTCGAAAGTGGCCGTCAAAGCCTTGTAACCTCGTTGCGAACGTTTTCACCCGGTATATTCACAGACTGTCGAGTACAAAAGGCATCGAACGATATCGTTGATTTCTTGAGCCGAAAAATTACTTTAATATTGTCCCGCTATACAACAACGGCCTATGTCAAGACCCCAGACGATAGGTAGAGAAACGCGAACAACTAAATAAACAACGTTCAAAACTCTCTTTCAATCAACTTTGTCTCGTCCACCTGGTTCCTTGGCTTTCCCTCCACGTCTGCTTTCATAAAGTCAAAGTTCTGTGGCAACAGCTGATCACTCAGGTCCCAAATAGCCCTTTCATTTGCCCATTCAGTCAATGCATCAAAGTCCACACAACTGTGCGTCTGGCCCCAGCCGGTGCTTTTGGTCCATGAGCCTGTCTCGCCTTCCAAGGTCGTGTCGGCGTTACATAGAATACCTATTGCGGTGAGGTGATTAGTTTTCCCCGCTGGTCATAAGCGTAAATATCGAGAATCACTTACTCTGACGCAGATACTCGACACAGTGCGAGCGATGCTCTCTGATCTTGGGATCCATCTTTTCCCACTGTTCCATCGAGGTTGGAAGAGACGTAGTGAGTATGGAAAGACAATGGAGTTGGTGGTATACGGCCATGATGTGTCCTTCGTAGTGATCGCCTTCGACCAGAACATCCCACATCTCGAATGGGCCATGCAGGACTTCGAAGTCGTCATTTTGGCTAACGGAAACGTACCCTCTGCCCTCTGGAACAGAATTTAGCCCAGTCCATGTTTATGTAGCTGTGTCCGTTCAAGCTCACTGGGAAAAAGCTGCTGCCAGTTTCTATGTATCCTTGCCATCTCCGTTCTGTTTGATAGCATCGCCTGGTTGTTATATTCTATCGGCGGTCCAAAACCCGCTGCGTTGCCCAAAACCACCTCCTTTCGAGGCAATTCAGGACCAAACTTCCGGTACTCAGTGGCTCCGTGTGAAAGGTGAATCGAGCCTGATGCAATTAGACCTAAAAGGACTGAAATCAAACATAGCTCCAAGAGTACGCGTAGAAGGCTGAGATTCAGCTTCCATCGTCTGCCAGGTTCCCTCATATCCTTGATACCTCCCATGAAGCCCATGCTTTCGCTCTCGGAGGAGGCCATGGTAGACTCAACGTCTTCGTCTAGATCGACTTGCTTCTCGAATACCATGTTGAAGCACTCTCAATGAGATGGTTTTTCCGATGTGTTGAATCTTGGGAAACAATTAATGAGACAGCAGGTGAAGGTTCCGGAGAGCTCGATAATAAAATGTTTTGTGAGAGTCGGGGAACCAGAAAGACCCTGACTACTTTATGCATCAGGGTGACATGTAAATAGATTACGACAACTGCAGTATCTCAACATACCCCACTTGTACATTGGGGTCAGCGTCAACATTCGCTCCGGGTTGCCCGAAGGGTTTCGCCTACGAAACAGGGCCTAGTCAAATTGTTGGTGCTAGTCTCTCGCGTAAATATACGTGCTGTACAGGTCTTGGAAGTTATAACTTGTTATTTGTTAGTGCTTTTTGCGCTCGCAGAGTTGCATCGCAGGTATTTCGATCGGCGGTGTAAGCACGGCATACAGTAGTAAGCTTACGAGAGATTGTCGACTACTTGCAGCTAGTTCCCCCCACATCGAGGCGTAACGCGTTCCTATAACCGATTCGCTGATATTACACATAGAGATAAGCGGCTATTAGAAGCGTCTTATCATGACTGTCGTGTGTTGTATCCACATCTCGTATTATGTTCGAATAAGACCAAATTTACTGCCGATACAGCTTGGTTGTTGTCATTAGACTACATAAACCGGAATCTTTTATACAATTGTGAAAGCTCAAGCACTATATCCTTGAGACTTCTAGGATGACAGTCCCAGGTATCCATTTCGACGAGGACGAAGAAAACGAGTCCACTGCTGATGACGCCCTGTCACCTCTCCAACTTGCTGCGTGGCAAGGCGACTCTGCCGCTGTCTCAAGACTTCTGATGCTAGGCGCTCATCCCAACGAGGAACCCAGAGGGTGGTACGGGAAGACGTCTTTGCAGGCAGCTGCTCTTCAAGGCCATCTCCAGATCGCAGATCTTCTCTTGAAAGCGGGTGCCGATATCGATGCACCAGGCGGCAACAACGGGGGTCGCGCGGCACTTGCTCTCGCGGCGTGGGCCGGACATGGCGTAGTCGTAGACCAGTTGCTCAACGCTGGCGCTGATGTGAACCTGCCGCCGCATAGGTATATGGGCCGTACTCCTCTTCAAGCCGCATCAGAGTTCGGAGATGTTAGTGTTGTTGAAAAACTCGTAAACGCAGGTGCAGAGGTCGACGGTCCAGTGGCTCAACATTGCGGTCGCACTCCTTTACAAGCGGCGGCCGAGAATGGGCATAGAGATGTTGTGGGATTCTTGTTGAAGGTAGGAGCAAATGTAAATCTGCCGCCTTCCCGGTATAGAGGCATCACAGCACTTCAAGGCGCTGCAATCTCTGGAGACATAGATATAGTGCAAGTGCTGCTCGCGACTGGGGCGGATGTCAACGCTGAGGGGAGTCGATATCAAGGAGGGGCGGCATTGTGGCTTGCGGCCAGGGCTGGGCATGAAGAGGTTGTTGAAATGCTTCTTGATGCCGGGGCAAAGATAGACGCTGTATCAGGTAATCAAGGAAGGCAATGTACAGCTCTTAGAATAGCAAGACAGAAAGGAAGACAGAAAGTTATAGAAGTACTAATAAGTAAGGAAAAGTAAGGTATAGAGAAAGAATATATATATAAGCTTATCTTAAATATAAGTTTTCTATTTTATTCTTATAAGTCTTTTAGTATTATAGGTATTTCTAAAATACCTTTTAGTAAATACAAGATAAGTAAAGAGTTATAGATACTTTATTATATAATATAGTAAATATAACTAATTTATTAATTAATAATTCTATACGTTTTAAAATTATAAGTATTAAAGTTATATATAAGGTTAGTACTAAAATAATTATAAGAGTATACTTTTAAAGATAATTTACTTACTTAACTATAATATTAGTTATTAAAGTATATAAAACTATATAGTTCTAAAACTTATAATTTTATAATACAACCTAATTAGTACTTTAACTTATTCTATAAGAAACTATTAAAAAAGTAATATATAAATACTATTATAGTAGAGTAATATAAAAAGTATATCTAAAGAAGTATTAGAGTAAGATTATATAATATAGGTTATATAATCGAGAATTAGTATATAGTAATTAAGTGTCTAATAAAAGCTTAATAACGAATTAACTAATAATATACTTATTATATTTAGTATTAAGCTATATATACCTAAAGAGGCGTTAAAGACCTCTTCTCTATATATAGTAACCTATATAAAGACTAAAGAAGCTTTCTGTTTTTAGCTATTTAGGTATAATACTTAATTATTCTTATAATATATTTATTTAAAGAATAATTATTTTTAGTAATAATAATAGAGTTTTAGTAAGCCTAAGTTAATAATTAAAAAACTAATATAAGATAGGTATAACACTAGATTATATTTAGTACCTAAGAATTAGTACTTTAAGAACTTAATAAAGTATTAGTATACCTCTAGAAAACTTAGTAACCTTATAACTAGAAATTATACTAGACCTAAAAAACTAAAAAGTTACCTTTAAAGAAGCTATTAATATAATAGCTAGTATACTAGTTATACTTAAATAACTTTTAAAGATTATCTTACTACTATAAAGCTTATATAATTAGTATATAACCTATAGTTATACTTAAGTACTCTTTAGTAATAAGATAGCTAAGAAATAATTAAAAGAAAAAGATTAAAAGTAGTAAGTACTACTAGGTTTAAATAAAAAGAAAAAGAATAAATAAGGTAAAAAGCTTACTAATAAAGAATATATATATAATAGTAATAATAACCTTTTTTATAATCTTTTCTACTATAAAGACCTTTTAGAAATCTTTACTTCTTTTTTTTATAGTAGTTAAGATAGTTTTTACTACTTACTTATTTCTTATTTTTATAATTCTTATTTATACCTTTCTAATTTTTAAGATACCTAATAACCTCTTACTAATAGTATATAGGTAAAACGTTTAAAGTTATATAATAGAGGTTTAACTTAGTTAAAATAGTAAAAATACTATAATTTAGTATAGTAATTAATAAATCTAGCTCTATCTTTTTTATTTTCTATAATCTATACTAAAATAAGACTAGCTTTTGTGCTTACTAATATCTAGCCTATAGGAGTTTTTGTCCACCGCGCTATTCTAAAAAGAGTTATTATCCACAATATTAAATATATTAATAAATAGACTAAATAAATAGCTATTAATATAAACTAAAGTCCTAGAATACTAAAGAAATATAGCTCTACAAATCTAGAAGATTAAAACTCTAGATTAGTAAGCACAAAATATTAAATCTTTTTTAGAGTAACTAGAGTATTTTTCTATAAGAATAAAAGATACCTACACTAAATATATAGAAATAAAACCTAGATAAAATCTAAACTATATAAGTATTATTCTAGTACTAGAAATATTAGGTTATTAATTATTAACCCAAAAGTACGTAAAAATAGGTACGTATACGCTAAGTTAGTACCTAAAATCTAAACCTAAAAATTAGGTAGACGTAATATCTAGATGCAAAAACTACCTATACGTAATATACTAACTTAAAAATTAACTAGACGCGAAAATTAACTAGACTTAAAAATTACGTAGACCTAATATATAGACTTAAAAATTAACTAGACACAAAAATTAACTAAACTTAATATACAGACTTAAAAATTAACTAGACGTAAAAATTAACTAGACCTAATATATACCCTCTATACTAACCTAGATAACTGTAGAGTATCTAATAACTTTTAGAATAGTTAGATAGATCTAGAACAGCCCTAAAGAAGTAGACTACCTTAATAATAAAACTACGTAGTAGTTAGAAACTAGAAGTATATAATAAGAACTATTACTATACTACTATTTACTACTTAATACCTAATCTAAACTTATTATCTTTAGTATCTTAGACCTTATAAACCTTCTCTATTTAACTAGAATTATCCCTAAATAAGTTAGCTATATAAATATTTACTAGCTCTTTATTATTAGTATCTTCCTACTATATTTATTCTAGAGGAGCTTGTCTATTTATATAAGAGATATATATTAGAGTAATAGTATAGGTAAGACCTATAGCCTCCTTATTATACTTAGCTAACAGCTTTATCTACTAGGCTAGTCTTATCTATATAATAGAACGCTTAAGGTAGGTATTTAAAATTATTACTTAGAGTAATAACGCAAAGATTCCTATGCTAAACTAGTTATGTAGTATATTCTATTTCTTTCTATATTTAAGGTACCTGCCGTATAATATCTATTCCTTAGGAAAATCTTATTTTAATATAGTAGTTATAGGCTACCTAGATATTAGGTTAGTAAGTTACTCTTTATAGATAGCTAAGAATAATTACTTCTTAGCTAATATTATAAAACCTTAACTTCTCTTAGAGCACTTAGCTTTACTTTATATTAACTTTTTAAGTTTCTTATATTCTATATAGAGAGAGAATATAATCTATTAATACTATATTTTACTAACTAGGGTAACTACTTTATTAGACTATGTAGTAAAGAATAAGTTCCTAAAATTAGCTATATCTAGTATTAAGAGTCTACTACTGTTATTTAAATTTAATAAGGTCTAGGTTAGAGCTATTTAGATATTTTACTATTTAATTATATAGTCTAGCTTATTCTCTAATTTAGATCTAGTAGTAAATAGAATAGAGAATCCCTAGCTATTACCCTTAATAAATAACAGCTAACTCTTATTAAACTATAACTACTATATAGAAAGAACTATAACCTAGTCCTTAATTAATTTAACTATACTAACTGTAATAGCTTTAGTAATTATACTAGTAACTATAGTTACACTAGCACTAATAAATCTCTTAAAGAAATTCTAGTATTAAATCTATTTATTACTTAATAAGGTAATATCTTTGTTAGCTATAGTAACCTCTTAGCTGCTAACTACTATCTGTATAAAAGTAGTATTTAATTATTCTATTAACTTCTTAGTTCTCTTACGTAAATTAGTATTACAGCTCTTCTTAGCCTACTTAGTACTATATACACTATTATTATTAGTATTCCTTTAGTCTATAGCCTCTTCTCTGCTTTTAGTAGTAATACTATTTAGGGTATTATATATAGTAATAACTACCTTAACTAGTTAATATTAATTAATTTACTAGCAGATCTACTCTAATGCGTCTAGTAGATATTATATAATAAATATCTAGGAACCTTTATCTTCTTTTAGTACTACTTAGTACCTAGCAGACTTGCCCTCTAAATACTTAGATATATAGTTAATAAGATTAACTCTTTCTTCTTAACCTATAATATCTAAAGAATATTTCTCTATAGCTACTCTAAGGATAGACGTAGATATTTTAATAACAGAGTTATTATAATAAAGATATACACCCTTATAATTCCTAGACTACTATTTTACCCTAGGTTCTAAGCTTATAGTGTAATACTAATATATATCTTAAAGCTAAGTATATTATATTAGGTTATATAGATATAAAGTTTATTTTTTATTTAGTATAAACTCTGCAGTATTTTATTTAATATAGTAGAAGGAAATAAGATAGCTTTATTCTAAGTATATAATAATAAAACTATTATACTATATCTATAATATTAATATACATAATAATTACTTTTACTTTTATAGTAGATATATTTATATACAGCTAGTAGGAGGAAATACTAAGATAAGAGTTTTATAAGCAGTAATATAGTAGCTGCACTACTATAATAGTAGTAGAAAAGGTTATATATAATATATATTTAAATAGCTAGCATCTCTTAATTTATTAGTACTATATATCTTTATAAAAATATATTAAATATTTATATCTGTCCTTTAATTAAGGTAGATATCTAATATAGAATTATTATCTATATCTTTTACTAATATATAGTGTTACTAGATAAAGTCTTAGCCTACTTTACTAACCTCTATTAAGTACAGACAACTCCTAAGGAATAAAAGGATATATAAGAAGCTGTTATAAGCCTACTAGTATATATTCTATAAACCTTAAAGAAAATATATATAGAGTTTAAGCTTCTACTAATATCTATTAAGGCTATTCTAGAACTTAGAGTCTATAGAAACTCTATTTAATATACTAGCTACCTCCTTATCCTTAGAGAGGATAGTGTAGAAAGAAATATAAAGATATATATCTATAGTTTATACAGCGTAAACGTAGATAGTACCTAAAAACCTTATACTACTATTATAAGCTAGTATTTCTTTACTTTAGTTCTAAAAAGTAGTAATACTACCTTATACTTTAAAGTATACCTAGTATCCTAGGCAGAAAATAATATAGTAGAGCTACTACGCAGTAATAGTATAAGTCTATCCTCTAGTAATAAGCAAGATAAAACCTAGATAGTAGTACTAGGCTTACTAGAAATAACTAATATAGACTTAGAGCTAAACTCTATACTAGAGTAACTTAAAGTATAGTTTTAAAGCGCAGTATACCTTACTAAGTTATATTAAGTAACTAAATACACTATTATCCTAGAAACTCTAGCTATCTAGATAAATCTATAGCTAGAACGTACTAAGTTTTAGTATACTATATAAGAAATATAATAGAGTTAAACGCTAGAATATATAGCTACTCTATATCTAACCTAAGAACTAAAA